CCTCAAATATTCCTCTGAAGTAAGGGAGGCAAATGAGGAAAGCCTTCCCATTGTCTTTTGGCTTACAAATCCTGTCTTGAGGGCGTATTTGTGTATGAATAGGGTGAGCCTGTGACCTGGATTCAGGAACTAAAGTATTAACCATCTCAAAAGAATGTCTGGGCTGCCCAGGTAATGCAATCAGCAACCTTAACTGGTATCCTGGCAGACAGCATTTCTGCTGTAGACCACCACTTATGATGTATGTATGATGATTTTGGGGTGGTCTTTGGCTAAGGGGGTTGGCCAATGTCAAAAGTCTTTAAAGGTTCCTGCACACTTTTGCTCAGAGTCTCTCCTTCCTTGGAAGGAGCAGAGGGAACTCTGTTGCGACAGAAAAATAAAAGCCTGCCTTGCTTTCCACTGGATATGATACGATACAATATGATACAATAATCTTTATTGTCATTGCCCCATACAGAACAACGAAATTGAAAAAAATCTACATCAGACATTCAAAAACCAACAAGCCTGCTATCCCAACTATCCCAGCCTGGGGATACCCCATAATTAAATACAATATACTCCCACAGAGACTACCTTACACTGCGTTTAAAACCAAAATCGCATTTGGATAGAAACTGTTTCTCATGCGGTTAGTCCTAGTCTTTATAACCCTGCACCTTCTTCCAGAAGGCAGAAGCTAGAAGAGATCATTTCCAGGGTGCGCACTATCTCTGCAGCTTTCTTATGGCACCTGGAAGCATAGATTTGATCCAAGGTGGGAAGAGTGCACCCAATTATTCTTTCCACAGTCTTTACAACCCTGGACAGCATTGTTTTTCCCCTGACCGTGCAGCTCCCAAACCACACACAGAGACCATAAGTTAATACACAGTACAATGGTAAAATGCCATCAACAGGTCCTTTGACAGATTTTTTCTGAAGGATTCTCAGAAAATATAACCTCTGTTGTGCTCTCTTTATCAGGTCTTTGCTGTTTTCTCCGCAGGTTAGGTCATCTCTCAACTCCATTCCCAGAAATCGAAACACTGAGACCTGTTCCACACACTTCCCCTCAATAATATTCTGTCTCCATCCATTCTTCTCTGACTGATGATGGACTTAGGACACTCCGAGTCCCATGGGGAGTTGGGCAGCAAAAGCCAAACCCCAATTTTGACATCAAAATATGAGCACTGTTCAAGTAAATATTAAAGTGTTTAAATAACTGCATGTTGCTTTCAGGTGTCCAACCTATGTACTCTTTAGCCATAATAATGATAACACGGAAAAGGTGGGAGCAAGTTTATCCCCCAGTGAGCAAATGGATTATGTGGAATACCGCTTATAAGTTTCCTCCTTGTACCTTCACAAGTTAAAGGGACAGTTTCTCAATTTACAAAGATTTTTAAAAATATTTTTACCCCTTAGGTTCTGGCCCAGTTCTCCCTCTTACAGTGGAACCCCGGGTTAAGAACTTGATTCGTTCTGGAGGTCCATTCTTAACCTGAATCTGTTCTTAACCTGAAGCACCACTTTAGCTAATGGGGCCTCCTGCGGCTGCCATGCCACTGCTGCACAATTTCTGTTCTCATCCTGAAGCAAAGTTCTTAACCCGAGGTACTATTTCTGGGTTAGCGGAGTCTGTAACCTGAAGCGTCTGTAACCCAAGGTACCACTGTATTACTCACCTGGCTTGTAAACTGCAAGTGGAAAATCACCTCCATTTTAAAAAGAACTAAAACAGTGCATAGCAAATTAGCATGTCCAGGAGACAGCTAGGCACTGATCCTTTCCCCCTGACATGCTTGTTTTCTGCATATAGAGGGAGCAGGCATTGCGTTATATGAGCTCCCATCTGCAGGCTGGCACATGCTTGCTACCTCCCTAAGAACTAGGCCACTGTGATGCTTCTTGTACCCTGACTGTATTTTTTTCAGTACAAATGTTTTCAAAAGCCTGGCTTCTGGGAAGTGAGCTGCTCAACAGCCGGCCTGGGATTTTGTCCCAACATGTAGTAAGCGTTCCCATGACCTCACATTCCCTTTGGAGCACGTGCGCCAATTCTTGCTCACAGATGGCAGCAGCTTAATGCCATTCCAGAGAGCTGTTGCTTCTGACATGTTCCTCCCCTTTTCCAACATAACAGGCAGAAGCAAAATACCGTACATACAGCCAGAGGCTGCAAAGAGATGCAGAACCAACTCACGTCTACACATTTTCCTATGTGTTTCATTGTATTCTGTGTCTGCCTGTCAGGAAGTCAGTGGAAAAGAGAAGCTGCAGAATTAAGGATAATATTGGGAAAGTTCTTTAAAAAGGAGAAGGAGAAGGAGGAGAAGGAGGAGGAGAAGGAAAAGGAGAAGAACTGAAATATTATTCTGATATAGTTAGTTTATTAAATAGGTAGTTTATTAAATAGGTGAGTACAACATTTGATTCAGAATATATTTTTTCTTGTTTTCCTCCTCTAAAAACTAGGTGCATCTTATGGAGTGAAAAATGCGGTAAACAGAAAACCCTTTAAAATATCAAAATTACAGTGATTCTACATCAGGGTGGACTCCTTCCCTTCCAGGCCATTTAAAAGCATCACTCTTTGTCTCCAAATCCAAACCTGCAATACCATTTTTCCTGCCCCTGACAGCCCTGCTCCCCACTCTTGCAGGTACTCAGTCTGGAGAATGTCTAATTTTGAAATATACTCGGAGTCCTGTAGTGATTTCATGCTCTTTATTGCAGCTTGTAAAACAGTGATTGAATTGCCCCCCAAACCTCAGGCTTTTATATACATTATTTACACAATGAGTTCCGTCTGATTGGCTGATTCTGCTTCCCTCCTGGAGCCTGATTGGTCTTTTCCTGCAAGCCAATCAGTTGTTGCATTCTAGGATCCTACTTGCCTATTGATCTAGGATCCAAGCTTAGTGCATAACAAATTTAGTGAGTAAGACTCCTTGAAGAAGCATGAATTCCTATTAGCAAGCAAAGCAGCTGAGCAAAGGCTGGTTTCCAAGTGGTCCTAAGTATGCCATTTCATACTCTCTACATCTTCCTGTGGCAGGAAGTTTCAGGAGTTGTTACTAGGTCATTTTACTTAAAAAGAGAATTGTCACATCTTTTTGTTTGACAAGCTGGGCAAGACAGAGCGAATAGATAAGGGCCACCATTAAAGTTTCATCAGTTCCTCAGATCTTCTTCTTCTTCTTCTTTGGCAATCAATCATAGCCAAGTAAGATTGTCTTCCATGAAGGAAGAGATCCCAACAAAAGAAGAGTGGCAGATGAAGTTAATGGACTACGCCAAATTGGCGAAATTAACTGGGAAAATTTGGAACCAGCAGGACGAGACCTTTTTGAAAGACTGGAATAAATTTGCATTGTACTGTATTGGAGAGACAATTGTAAACAATTGGCATCGTTAGTAGGGCTACAATAAGTTTTGTAAGTTTGTAGAGATATCAGCTATTATCAATATGATGTTTAAATGGTGTATTTAAGATTTGGATTTAAGGGTAATAATAATAACAAAATGCAATAGTAGAGTATAATTAGGAAAACCATTAGTTGAGAAGGAGAGAAGTCTCAGGCCAAGATGGCCAAGTGGTTTTTATATATTATATGTAAGATGGATGTTTTGCAATTAAAAAAAAAAAAATCAATAAAAATTATTTTTTTAAAAAAAGATTGTCTTCCATGAACACAGTCTTAACAGTGTGTCCGTAGGTGACTGTAGAGGCCAATTCTGGATCCACACGCCCTTCCACAGTGGGGACATAGTTGAGGGTTGATCATGGTGAGGGTTTGCCAAACATGTCTTCCTCTTAGCATGTTTCTCCCTTTCTCTCTGCACATGACCAGTCCAACAAAGTTAGAATCATAGAATCATAGAGTTGGAATAGACCACAAGGGCCATCGAGTCCAACCCCCTGCCAAGCAGGAAACACCATCAGAGTTGATGTTGAAGAATCACTGCTTCGACACTGGTGATCTTTGCTTCTTACAGTACACTGGCATTTATAAGTGGTCCATGTTTCGCAAGCATACAGTAAGGTTGGTAGTACAATAGCTTTGTAAACAAGCATTTTGGTTTTCCTGTGAATGTCCCGGTCCTCAAACACTCTGCACTTCATTTGGGAGAAAGCTGCACTCACAGAGCTCAGGCAATGCTGGATTTCGGTGTCAATATTGGCGTCAATATCGGCCCTTGTGGATTGACTCCAGCGTTACACCATTGAGTTGGATTTGTGGGACTGCAGAGGGGTTGTTTTGTGCTTGTTGATGCAGCACTTTGGTTTTTTGGATGTTGTGTGATAGGCCAAGCTTTTTGTAAGCTTCTGCAAAGATATTTAGGATGGTTTGGAGGTCATCCTCTGAGCGTGCGCACACTACGTTGTCATCAGCATACCGTACAACAGCATACCGCCCCCACCTCCCTGCTGTTTCTTGTCAGCCAGCTGCAAAAACGTGGACTTCCTTCTTTTTGCTGGCTACATTTAGACAGCCACACTGTTTCTCCTTTCTCACACGCACACAAGAAGGGTGTGCAGTAGCTAGTAGCCACCAGTTACCAAAGGCTAATCCAGTCAGGAATCCAAAAGCACTGGGAGGAGGTAATGGTGCTGATCCAAAGAGGATGCAGGCAACGATCCTTGCAACTCTCTAAATGCCTCCAAGCACCACAAAAGCAGGAGTAGAGAAAGGCCGTACTGCCAGCAGAAACATCCCTTTCCTCCTTTCCCTTTAGTCTAAGGCCTAAGCTGATCCAAAATTCTGCTCGCCTCCCAGAATCTGCCGCTAACCTGGCTTGAAGGTTCAGGTGTGCTGGGAAAGGAAACAGCAAAAAGAAAAGAGCAAGACTCAAGCAACAAGCACCCCTCCCCCCCAAACTTCCACCCTAGCAGTGAGCTAAGGCCTCATACTTCCTCTAACAAAAAGCCACAAAGGAAATGCCCTGCATGTGTGTTTTTTTTCTTTTTATGCACCAGACTCAGCCCTAGAGAGATTTGTCACTTTTCAGGGCTTCAGTCCACTTGTTCAGATGCAAGGAAAGATAGTCCGCCGTGGTGCTTCAGCAGATGACAATGTGATGGAATGAGCCAAGGACAATGGGATCCCGGATCAAGTAAGACCATGGGCTGCAGGGTAGGGGATTGTGTCTGCAAAGCCTGCTCACCTTCACTTTCCTTCGGTTTTAATTCTTCCATGCAGCAAAGTAAATCAGGATCTACCTGAAACTATTCCTCCTCCAACTGACCTGAGAGTTGTATCCCACTAGAACACCTTGCAATGCTGGAGGACATGCTATGGGCCAACTCTTCAAGTTTTGTGTTGTTGGGATAATTAATTGCTGATTCAGGCCAGATGGCCGTGCATGGAAATCTCTTGGCTTGTAAACAGTTTTAGGTCCAGGGTGAACAACCTGTGACCCTCCAGTTGTTGCTAGACTACAGCTTCCATTATCATTATTCCATTATTACTAGTGGCCATGCTGGCAGGAGTTGATGGACATTGGAGTTCAACATCTGGAGGTTCACAGTTGTCCACTCCTGTCTTAGGAGGTCATTGTGTGTGGTGGGATTCTTGAAGAATCAACAGCCATTGGGTTACAAGAGCCAAGACATCACAGAAAATACTGGTAGGATAGGAACAGATAGGATACTCATTTATTTGTCTTCAGAAGCTGGCCATGGTAATAAAGGTCATCTCCTGCAAGGGACTTTGCTCTTCCCGTATTTTGTTTTCTGGTGATGCCACTGATGATATAATGTCTGTTCTAAATGGCAGCTACTTTCCAGATTCTCTTTACCAGTTCTGGTACCTGATATCACTTTTTAACCAGAGAGAACCAGGAAGAATAGTAGAAATATTATTCAGTCTGGTATCTCCAAGGCACAACATTCCTGGCATGAAATTCAGCTCAGGTACTTCAGATAGGCTGCATATAACTTAGGTGCACACAGACTTGTTTATTGCTTCAGTTGCGAGGGCACAATTAACATTTCTGCCCCACCCCAGTCTACCATTTCATGCCTTCCAATTGCCTCTTTATTCCTGACATGTTGGAGCAAAACAAACTAAAGTCTGGCAACTCTGATGTAAGAAAGGAAATACTCAGAGCATGTGCAGTTTCACATTTCAAACTCACAGCACCCTCATGACCGCAGGAATGAAATATTTTTTTGCTTCATTGATCCAAAAAACAACAACTATGAATAAGCACCATTTTGCAAGGAAAAGTACTTGTAAGGCAAAAATAATAGAATGAACATGTGTAACCATGCATATACCTGATCAGGGAATACACACCTTCTGCACATGCAGTCAAAGTGCCAAATAGCCACTATTTTTGGAGACAAATGGTGTATATCTGATCTGACAGGGGAAACTTTGAGATTAACTCCTATGCTGCTTTTGTTTTATGTGACTGAGGATAAGGATGATATAGGCTTAGGAACTACTAGTACAGAGATCCTGTTTAAAGTTGGAAAGATCGAGTGGGCTAGATGCTAGAATATGGCACTCTCAGCAATCTGCATCTAATTGGGATTCGTTATTAAACTGCTTGGAGCTGATATAAATGGACAAATTAACCAAACTGATATGAAGGAAAGAAAGTAGACTCTGAAGTGTTAACTTTACAGAGAGATGGACCTATTTTACAGATTGTTAAAATATATTATATGGAGATGTAAGACTGGAGACTTCAGATATTAAGAATTAAGTTTGCCTCTATCATTTTTGGATCAGTTTGATCATGCTGAAGTCACAGAATGTTGGGAATCAGATGATGATCATGATGATTTATTGAATTTATACACTGCTCTATACCCAGCAGTCTCAGGGTGGTTCACAGAACAAAATCAAAATATAAAACCACAATATATATAATCAAAATAAAAAATAACCCAATAATAACCCCCCCACACAAAAAACCCCCACATTTTACAAGGGCATACGATGTAAATCAGACCAACCAAAGGCCTGGTTAAAAAGGAACATTTTTGCCTGGCGCCTAAAGGTGTATAATGAAGGTGCCAGGTGAATTTCCCTGGGGAGAGCATTCCACAGATGAGGAGCCACTGCAGAGAAGGCCCCGTTCTCGTGTTGCCACCCTCCGGACCTCTTGAGGAGGCGGCACATGAAGAAGGGCCTCAGAAGATGATCTCAGGGTCCGGGTAGGTTCATATGGAAAGAGGCGGTCCTTGAGGTATTGTGGTCCTGAGCCATTTAAGGCTTTATAGGTCAGCACCAGCACTAAAAATGCATACCCACAGACATAGGATGTGTGGCAAAACGTTGCAATTTCCTCACCTCCCGCCTGATCAACGCCCTTGCCAGTCTGCCACACCTTCCTCTTTCCCCTACAACCCAGAATCTTGCTTTTATTTTCCAACATGACAGGCAACATTCTGCGGCTCTTGAGCATGGCCAGTCCTCATTGGGATGGGAGGGGATCTTTTTGGAGGGGCGCCTAAGGGTTTGTCTGTTGTTGTTTTTTATTAAAAAAATACTTCTGCAAACTTGGAGTTTACCAGAACATGCAGATATCTCCCTGTTATCTCTCAGTGGCTCTATTTCTGTCGGTACTCACCACCTGAGTTCAGTATCACAAGAAGTATGTGTGTGTGAATATACTATATTTGTTCTAGTTCGTCATCACACTATTTCCATCGGCTGTTTCCCAAAGGTCTAAAGGCAGGAGTGGGTTAAGGAGAAGTGGGCAGGAAGGGGGGGGAAGGGGGTGCTGACGTCTGTAGCAAATAATTGCACGGGTTAAGGGAAGACTGGGCTGGGAGAAGGGTCTCTCGGTGTGTGGTGGTTTTAATTCTTTGGTGATGGTGGCAGGAGAGAAAGGAGAAGCAGGGGCAGATGGAATTAATGGAGGGTAAGGGTGGCATCTGGAGGAATGAGGGGGAATATGAGAGGCAGAAAGTTGTGTGTGTGTGAGAGAGAGAGAGCTTTAGGTCCTGGTGATCTGGGGAAGAAAGCTGAAGAGGAGGAGGAATTGAGAAGGAGCCTGGCCCACCCATGAGGTGAGGTGAGGCCACTGCGTCAGGCATGAGAAACCCATGAGGCTGTGACCCCATTAGTGCCCCAACCACCCCACCACCTTCACCACCGGTGGAGAAGCAGCACAGGCATTGGCAGTGGTTTCTTTCTGGAGCTCATGAGAACTCATCAAAATATTGTGAGATCTGTGAGTTCTTGCCAGAACTTGTTGCTGCTTTGCCCATACAGAGAGAGACACTTCTCCATCCTTGTAAATATTGTCCAATAAATCCATGGGTCTGCTCAAAGCTCTTCTTCTTGCCTCTTCTTACCGGCTCTGAGTTCCTTGGTCCCTCTTCTCTCTCTTCAGGGAAAATCCTCAGAAAATATTTGATCTGTTCTTTGAAGCTGCCTGTCCAACGCTTGCAGAAGATGGTGAGTCTCATCTATGGTGGGAAGTGGTGCTTTTTGGGGTGGGATGTTTGTGCATCAGTGGGCCAGATTTTTAGGAGGCTCCGGGTAGCCCTTGCTGGGGGAAAGTGGGCTGAGAACCATCCCAAGTCAAAGGTGAGTCCTTTCCCTTTCTGTCTCACTGCTACTATCTCATCCACATCCCAATCACAAACCATAGAATTGTAGAGTTTGAAAGGACCCTGAGAATCACCCAGTCCAACCCCTTTCAGTGCAGAAATATGCAGCTGCCCCCAGGGCCAGATTTAGGTCTGATGAGGCCCTAAGCTACTGAAGGTAATGGGGCCCTTTATATGTCCAGCTGTCCTTTGTCAACAACAAATTGTTGCTGTTTTTTGTGTTGAATATGTTCTATATGGTAATTTATGGACCTAATAGGTATCTAAAGCCATTTGCACATAACAAAATATGTATTTTATCAAAGTAATTGTTGAACTGAAATACAATTAAGAAGTATATTAATAGTGAAATCATTATTAAGCTCTAACTTAAAATGATTTTTTTATTCATAACAAACTTAATAATGCAAACACACTGGCATTTAGCAATAACAAAAGTTCCTTTAGAAACACAATTTACAAAGACTCATAATCTAGTCTCTAGAAACTTCTAAACCATGAAATAACAATAGGTGTAAATATATGATGCAAACTACTAATAATTATAAATAGCAGAATGTAGGCACCCTATATATAGAAATGAGCAAACCAGTGATATTTTAGGGAGCAGGCTAGCAGGCGGGGCCTGTGACTTACATCATAGGAGCCTACACAACACAAAACACTGTTGCTGTATGTTGGTTTTATTTGTTTTTATCTTATATTTTGGAAATGTACATCCAGTTTTTTCCCCATTAAATTTTTTGGGGACCCCCAAGAGAGTGGGGCCCGAAGCTATAGCTTGTTTAGCTTATATGTAAATCTGGCACTGGCCCCATACAGGGATCAAACCTGCAAGCTTGGTGTTATCAGCACCACACTCTAGACAACTGAGCTATCCAGTGGTGCCCATGGGGTTGTATCATCCCATTCTGTCCCTGCAGCCCCAACACTGCAGGGCTGGGAGACCCTCCAGAGCAGATTTAAGAAGAACACAGGGAGGGGGCTGCAGGTGAATCCCTGGACATTGCTCCCCTCCCCATGCCACTGTCAGCTGAGTGACATTTTTGAAACTACCCATTACCTGTGGTGGTCAAAGGAAGTAAAAGTCAGCCACAGCAGTCAAAGCGCTTAGCTCAGCAGCTAGAGTTGGTTTGAGGTTGTCTACTTTCGGGTTGCTTACAAGGCGCTTCCTACAAACTTCTCTCATGGTGGAATGAAATCCTGCACAATGTGGAGAGAATGGGTCAAATATCATTTTTCTCCCCTCTCTCCTCACAACTCAGCACCAGTGGATTGGTAATAGATGCAGAACGGAGAAAACAGAGCCTTTCTTTGCACAGCACAGCAAATAATTAACAAATGGACCTCAAGGTTGCCGTATATTTATTTCTACATCACTTGACTTATACATCGGGGGAAGATTACAATACATTAAAACATGCAAGATGTTAAGATAAGAAAACAGATTGAATTCACACCACCATTTCTAAGCATCTGGGCAGGTTTGCCTAAAGAAGAATGTTTTCAGAGGGCACTGAAAAATATGGCGGTAGCAATTGGCTTAGACCGTTATAAAAGAGTATTAGACAAAGTCATAGAGGGCTAGCTCTTTAAATGGGAGTAAGCTGGGATAGCTCAATACAGCTTCTATGTTCAGATGAAGTTTATCACTCAGAACCAGTTGCCAGGGTGGAACAAGCAATGTGAGCTGCCCAGAAGCATTTGGCTGGCTAAAGTTCAGAACAAGACACTAGACTAGAGGGGTCTTTAGCCAACAACTCAGTACCCCAGGAAGGTGCCACTGTTATTTGACTCCAGCTCCATCATTCACGACTGTTGGCCATCCAGCAACAGGTGGGGGACAACCAACAGCCTACCGCTGCTGTACCTGCTTGGGACGAAACTCAAGGGGCATGTAATTTTGGCAATATTATTTATTTATAATATTTATATCCGCTGTACAGCCTCGAGAGGCTCTCGAAGCAGCTTACGGAAACTGCTGAAATAGAAACACACTCAGTTCTGCTATGACAGCCATGGGGAGCCTTTGGCCTGCAGACCACATTAGGCCTGGGCTGAGTCCTAATTTGATCCACAAGGCTGTTTCCCCCCACCTGCCATCTTTTCCCCCCACCTGCCATCGTATGACATCAGGTGTGGAGCAGGTAAAGCAACCAAGCAGAGGAGCAATGGGCAGGTTCCCGGTTCTTCCTCTGCAAGCTCCTGCTCAGAGCTCTGGAGTGTTGCCAGAGCCTGCCAGGAGTTGCGCTTGCATTCAATGCCAAATGCATGCCCCACTTTCAGCAGGAATTTTTGCAGCTGCAACTTAAAGCCAGGGCTTAAAAGAAAGAACCCAGAATGCACTGAGTGTGCTCCCAATTATATATTTGAATTTGAATCATACAACATCATAGGGCAGTGGGTGATTGCAGTGCCGGATTTACATATAAGCTAAACAAGCTATAGCTTAGGGCCCCACTCTCTTGGGGGGCCCCAAAAAATTTAAAGGAAAAAAAAACCTGGATGTACATTTCCAAAATATAAGATAAAAAACAAATAAAATAAAACCTACATCCAGCAACAGTGTTTTGTGTTGTGTAGGCTCCTGTGATGTAAGTCATGGGCCCCGCCTGCTAGCCTGCTCTCTAAAATATTACTGCTTTGCTCATTTCTATATATAGGGTGCCTACATTCTGCATGGACCGGTTGCATGGCAACATGTGCAAATGGCTTTAGATACCTATTAGGTCCATAAATGACCATATAGCATATATTCAACACAAAAACCAGTGACAATTTGTTGTTGACAAAGGACAGCTGGACATATAAAGGGCCCCATTACCTTCAGTAGTTTAGGGCCTCATCAAACCTAAATCCGGTCCTAGGTGATTGGCAGGTGAGCGGCTCTAGCCACCTGTTAAAAGTGGCTCATAGAGGATGGGCCAGTTCTGGAACTAGCCTGGTATAGGGACAAAAATCACATGGTATCTTTATGGAACCAGCATTTGTTCAGGCAGCACTTCCAGTCTCGTTCTTGTTCTTCACTGAGGCCATAATAGGTGTTTATTGCAGCAGACCTGGCTATAAGCTCACCAGGAGGCACCTCTCTTTGGGGCAATAGAGATATAGCTCAGAGACCAGGGGCAGCAGCAGTGGCTGCTCAGAGGACTCCTAAGGAGAGGAGAGAGGAGAGGAGGCTGGGGGAACCCTCCACAAGGGAGGGTGTCTTAAAGAGGGAGAGAGGCTGCCAGCTCTGCAGGCAAGGGGTGACAGAACTGGGCTCCTGAGCCCTACAGGGGTGCCACAGAAAGAATGGAGTTGGTCAAGGGAGCTGTGGACTAAAAAAGCTTGGAAACTTCTGACCTAAGGGAACTGGTGTCACTATCCACCTGCGCCTCTTCCAGTTCCAGGTGTCCCTATTTGACAGACATAGTGCTTAATTTATGTACCCCTTCCCCCTTGCTGCTGTGGTTTTCTCCAGATGGCTTAAAATGACTGTTGGTGTTATGTACTGAAGTTCTCACCCGGGCCAGCAGGGGGATACTGTAGATAGTTATGCAAATAAGGGATTGAAAGTGACGTTCAGTGATTGGATAGCTTTAGAAAATTGTTACAGTTACATTGTACTGGAGCTCTATATAAGCAGGCTGACTGAACCCTTCAGCTCAGTTCTGTTCTGGCCTCTGAATATACAAGAGCTGTTTGAAGAATCGCTGTGTCGTCTGATATGTTCACCCACAACTTAACAGTTGGATGGTTGTTAAAAATAAGAAAGAGAGGGGAAAGGGAAGTCTCTGCTTAAGCTGTTCTGCTCAAGGAAGCCGGCAAAGGAAGAAACCCCGTCTCTGCCCAGAGGCAGCCCGAGGCAGCATGAAACTCTTTCATCATGTCCCATCCGGTTCTCTCCTTCCTGTGTGTGTGTGTGTGTGTGTGCAGGTTAGTCTGTGCAACTGAGGTGCAGGGTCTCACGCATGCCTGGAAGCCAGGCCTCGAATCTCAGCTGCAATGGGGCTGCGCCTCTTCAGCGGTGAGGGAAATGCGCACATCTTCAGCCTGGAGGCATTTTCTGTTGGCTGTCGCTGCTTTCTAGCACTGAAAACCAGTTTCAGAGTTAGGCACTCCTGGCTTGCAAAAGCTAATCAAGGTATTGGGCCTCATGGTTCACCGTACAGAGGGTTTCTCATTTAGGGCATCTCTGCTCTCAGGTTTCGTCAAATGGATTTCTATTACACACAAGACGGAGGGGGAACTGCACTATTCCTAGCACGTCCACAAATGAAAATAGATGTTTTTGTAACATCCTATTCTTACAACAAGGACTGTCTTCCTTTACTCTTTGATAAATCAGTTGTGCACTGGGCTTCTGGAGCAAAGAGATGTTAGTGAACTGCAAAACAACAACACTACAAACTGGCTTATAAGTATAAAACCAAATTTACTAGAATAATAGCTAGAATAGAGATAGACTTATAACCATTCAAACAACAAACATATTAAGGTGCCATGTGCAAGGCAAAGCCTGAAGATACTGTAAACATGGAGTGGATAAATGTACAACTCTATCTTAACAAGTTACATGTGCAGTAAACGTTATACAGACTGGATAAATGAACCATTCAACAAGTAGCCTAAGTCCAATCACAGAACGGCAGCCCTGTGCCGCCACAACGGCAAGGGTAGCACACTGGAGAGTATCAAAAAGTTTTTCAAAGCTGTTATTCAAAGATTGAACTGGATGAGATATTCTTCAGTGGGTCTTGAGTAGGAAACACAAAGCTGTATGCAATCATGGAAAGGCAAATCAAAGCCACCACCCTGGTGAGAATAACGCAAGTGGGCAAAAGGAGACCTGTTCTCTGGATATATGGTTAGTGAACTGACCATAAAACTGCTTAAAATAATATTTAATTTTATGACCTCTGATTTGCATGGGACAGGGGTGGGTTCTGGAAGAGGATGGAGTTTGAGATGTCTGCTTGGGCGTCTCTGGCTGGTGAGACACTGTCCCATTTTGCTTTATTGAGAGCCCTCCTTTTCCTGATCCTTTTAACCAGAGATAATTAGGGACTGAATCTGGGACCTTTTGCATTGCTCTCCCCTGCAGACCCTCAGAGGGAATTATATGTCCATGGGCATGCATTTGCATGTATTATTGTCAAGATGCATCCACCCAGGAGAGGGTGGGGGGAGCTGCAAACTAAACAACTTTGTGTAGGTGTGTATGCATAATTGCTTTTTTTTTTTTTCAAAAATGCATTCTCAACATCTCCTCTAGAGGTTGGAAGAAATGAGACAGGAACCATGCTTTCACGGAGACAGAAAAACGGGTCATTTTTCTGTTAAATAACAACAGTGGGAGCAAGTGGAAATATGCCCTAAGACTTGCTCAGACCACAATGCAGTGTTTTTTGAGATGAAATTGTCTCTGCAGGGATCCTACAGATGGAGAATGAATGATGATTTGCTGAGGAATGAGCAAATAATTGGTAAGGCCCAAAAGACTCTAAAAGATTACTTTGAGATAAATATGAACTTCGAGATGGAAACAGATTCAATGCTCATTCCCACTTTCGCTTGCCCCATATTTTGATTGTGTACTGATGAATTCCTCCAGGTCTGAGAGCTTTTCTCTCTGTTCCATGGCTGTGCCTTGCAAAAATCAGATCTGACCCACTGAATCAGATCTCATCAGAAGTGCAGGCAAGCCAAAGAGGTATTTTGCTTACTGCGCTTCTGATTCAACAGGTAAAATTGGATTTTCCCAAGGCACAGCCATGGAACGACGAGGAAAGCTCTTGGACTTGGGGAAATTAATTGGTATCCAATCCTATCAAAATATGGGGCAAGCAAAAGTGTGACTCCTGCCTGAAAGTCTGACAACCCAAGGCTAGCCAACAGGGTGCCCTCCAAATGCAGCTGAGCACTGGTACCCATCAGCACCTTGGTCCCTGGTCAGGGTGAATGATGGGAGCTTAAATCCAGCAACCGTTGGAAGGAACCATGTTGGCTGCCTTTGATACAGACAGCTCTGAGCTAGATGGGCCCAGTGGTCTAACTCTGTAACAATGCAGCTTCCTATGTTCCTAATGTTTAAGCAGTCAGCTTTAGGAGGACAACAGTGGCAATCATGATTCCTGCGGCCTGTCCCAAGCAAGCTTGGCTCTCCTATAAATCCATCTGAAATGGGCTATGTCTTTGTTCCATATGCTGACTTCTGCTCTCTTTCCCTGCGCAGATCCTCAAGTGCTTAGACAGTTCCCTCCGGAGTTCGATGACCAGGTCAGTCCCCCTTTGCACAATTGCTGCCCAACTCCACTTTGCATTCCAAAATCATTGCTAGCATGTGCTTGTTGCAGGAATTTATGTATAGGTTGGGGGGGGGGGTTGCCCCTCCAGCAGATATCATGCACATGCAGCCCACTACCAAAACCAGCACAATCGCTTTTGTGACTTTTGTGATTTGTCCCCACAAAACACTTCATCACAGTTTCTTCCTATCTATTCAAAGGGCCTTTGCTGCACAATACCAAATGTAACAATTCACTGATAAATGTTCCTATGTACTGGCTCACAGGGAAAACTTCAGAAATTCATATAGACATGTGAGCTCAGCTACTCAGCAGCCCCTCTGCCTGAGTGATAATCCCTGGCATCCTGATACCTGAGTGCCAGACAGGTAGCCATTCCAGAAATAAGAAACCCAGATGAAGACAAAAGGGTGTGATTAACTTGGCTGGGAAACAGGAAAATTGAAAGATCTCTTTTGTTACACTTGATGGGTGTTTGGTGGAGGGCAAGGAGAACCATGGGGCAGGGTCCAGGATGCTCAGATTACTGCCACCAGACCTCCCCTTTCATGATGTAACCGTGATGTATGAGTGATGTAGTTTGGGGGGTGTAACATGGGGATTAGCAGCTAATAAAAGTTTGGGGGCTCTTTTGTTCGGGGATTCCATCTTGTTCCACCTTGTGGCAGGTGGGAGTCCTGTTGTGACAGTCTTCAATAAAGACCAAGCCTACTGGCTGCTGTTTTGCTCTGGTATTCCTGGCTGGTGTCCTTGTTTTTTGTCCAAGGGAGCCCTCAGATTTCTCCATTAACATGCTCAAGAGTCACCAGCTTTTTCTTCTTCTTCTTCTGGATTTGGGGAAACAACCCGACACACAAAAATTAAACAGGTGAAGCTTTTCCTGGCATGACGATAAAATGGGAGCAATTAAACAGCTTATAGAAGCTAAAGGCATTGGAAGATATTAAATAGAGGCCATTTGCACTGCCTTGTAGGCTAGTAACTTGGCAACACAGAAGAATTCTCAATTTGCAGGCTACAAAGCAAGCTGGCTGCTGTGCCAGTCCTCTTGCATGAAATACCACTTACCCAATGGAATTCCTATGGCTGCCAGGCAAGTTGTTCTAATTCAAGGCTGCATAAGCAACCTTTACTTAAATGTGAAATACTGTGCGTGTGGCAAGGAGAGATTTTGGAGGAAAGTTGTGGAGTATCTGGAAACAGCCCTAGGCACTTTGCCAGGCAGATAGGTGCACACACACTCCATATAAGCCCAAGGGTGGGGATTTACAGTCCAGCAACATCTGGAGGGCGTCCTGTGGTCCAGGATGATGGGAGCAGCTGTCCATCAACATCTGGAGGGCAATAGTTCCCCCTCACTCTTGGTTCTAAGCAGGTGGGGAAACACTGCATGCTTTGCAAATGATTGGCATTCAACTTGCAAAGGAGACCACGGCTGCAGTGCTACTTGCCTGGGACTCAGCCCCATGGAACTGGGGTGGGCACTTCTGAGCAGACCTGCCTAGGATTGTGCTGTAAATTCAGATCATTCCGTACGTGCAGCAGGCTCCTCCTTGCCAACCGAAGGTTTTTCTCAAGGTGCCTCTAAGTTTGTCTGCCGGGTTCAGGCTGTGATAACCGAGGATCCTTCTCTCTTCCTGTAGGATTCAATCCAGATACTGCCCAAGTTTTGCTTCCCCTTTGATGTCGAAAGGTACGTGGTGGCCTGAAAGAATGGGGTCTCCATGCACTTTATGCACCCTTGCAACTTAGGCTCGCCAGCTCTTGAAACCAGCTGTTGCAAGCGGTGCCTTTGGCAGCAATATGATGCACAGAGCACCACACAACAAGAAGCATTATTTGCTGATTTCTACAGATAAAATTGCTGTTGGTCACAACAGTACTTTTCTCCTGGTCAATTAGCAACCCTCATGAAGCCCCCTCTTTGTTTGTAGCTCCCTTCACCTAGCTAGGAAGAGCACCCCAGCGATCAGGATCAATCCTTGTGTAACAAGTTTCCCTTGTAGATATGGACCTGCAGAAGTCTACCCTCGTTGGAGGGAACTTCTTGTCCTCTGCTTCACATTGGCAAAACCATTCTCTCCCATTCCAACTACAGTTGTACCTTGGAAGTCAAACGGAATCCATTCTGGAAGTCCGTTCGACTTCCAAAACGTTCAGAAACCAAAGTGCGGCTTCTGATTGGCTGCAGGAAGCTCCTGCAGCCAATCGGAAGCCACGGAACCCCATCAGACATTTGGCTTCCAAAAGAACGTTCGGAAACCAGAACACTCACTTCTAGTTTTCGATCGTCCGGGAGCCAGAACACTGGGACTCCCAAGGCATTCAGGAGCTGAGGTACGACTGTATTATGGGGTCAGAAGTTCCCACATACAGGTATGTCCCTTGATCTCCTTATTGAACAACACAGCACCTGTTATTTTGACTGTCAACTGCATGTGATGAACTACCTGCATGGAAAGGTTTTATGTTTGGGGGTGATAGGAAGCCTCCATCTGGAAATAAGAAACAAATTAGTAGCATTTACACATTGCACAATGATATAAGATGCTATCATGCCCCTTCCCTACTCACCTTTTTTGCTCTGCATAAAAATGTGCTATAGACCTGTGCCTACCTCTTTCTTAGCCTACCAGCCTGACTATATGGAGAATATTATCTCCTCCTGCATTCATATGACATTTAAACAATTGCTTTGTGCATTCATCTCACTGGGTTTTGCCTACCAAAGCATATGTGCTACTGTATTAGCAGTTTGTCGCTTTAGCCAACTTATTGCAATCTTTCTCCAAAACGGCACCCCCTTACCCAGTCTCCCCACTTCTTTGTTAAGGGTCAAGGAGAGCCCCACGATCCAACATTTCACTTTTGTACTCACCGATATGGACGGAAAGCAGCGCTTTGGTTTCTGCCGCTTGGCCGTGGCCTTCCGCACCTGCCTGTGTATGCTCAGGTAGGATGGTTTGTTCTTCCTCAGCCTCTTCTCATGGATGGGAATTTTCATGTCATGGGGGGAAGCATTTTCTTGGTGTGGATTGACCCCCCCAAACTTACAAAATGTTTTGGCCCACTGGGTGTCAGGGCTGGAGTCAGATGCAAATCAGCACAAAGAAGCAGAGTCCGTTGTCAGTGAAGTTAACTCTTTATTCAAGGAAATGGCATACAACTCAGCAACGCTTCCCAGCAGGTCTTGCCCCTATAGAGCAGTTGCCAGGACTGAAGGTTCCTTGCCTTCTACCCCCGTAACTCTCCTCATCTCCTGGATATTTCCCAAGTGCCTGCACACTCCTGGTCTCTGTTCTGCTCTCCTCATTATTCTGTGCGGTCTTGGAGACCAGGGGAGAGGAGCAGGAGAGGAAGACTCCTGGGATTCTTCAGCAGCCTCTTAAACCCCCACCTCTGCTTCAGCCCCAGAGCCTGAACTGCTCTCTGTCACAGGCTCTTCCTGCTCACTAAACCCTGCTGCCCCTTCAGCATCCAGCCTGCCCTCCCAGTCTTCTCCCTTTGACTTCTCCTCAGTGTCCCACCACCAGTCCCCAGGCTCTGAGCCCTCCTCCCCTGGGGGTTCCCTTGGGGGTTCCCCAGCTGCCGTCTCCCACCATTCCTCATCATTCAGCCAGACCCTGATATCTGGTGTTGCTGAACGACAACTCCCATCAGCCCCACCCAGCGTGGCCAGTGGCCAGGGATGATGGGCACAGTAGTTTAACAAGATCTGGAGGGCAGAGGTTCCGCACACCTGACTAAGCAGAAGTGCAGGCAGGTGCAAGCCTGTCGCAGAAGCCCAGTTGTCACAGATTTACCCATGTGCCTCTCTACTAAGTTGGCATGGGGCCAATTTCACTTCTCTATGCCCTTTTAAAATGTGGCTCTTTTGGGGGGGTGTTATTGGGTTGTTGTTTTTATTTTGGTCATATATATTCTGGTTTTTATGTTGATCTTTTCTGTGAACCGCCCTGAGACCTCCAGGTATAGGGTGGTATATCAATTCAATAAATAATAATAAAGTTCTAATTAAGATACCCTGGCATGTATACTTAGCTAAGGAAGTGCAGGTCCCAATGGCTTTTCTGGAGGGCCAGGGAGGCCCTGCTGAACAACGTGGGATGGGATGCTAGGGAAGTTAATCTAAGGAAATTCATGGAAGCAAAGTTCCCCAACCTTCCCCATAGCAACCCACCACATCCCAGCCCATATAAGTTAAGAGGGGGCCTGTCAACTGGTTGGAGTGGCTTCTGTAGGGGTCTCCGGCAGCTGCAGGAGTAAAATGTAGGAGACGACGGCAAGCTTTCCACCAGTGACCATTCCTAAGTTAACTTACCTTAATATTGAGACCTCTGGTCTCAGAGGAGGCAGCAGCAGATGCTTCTCCTCTGCCTGGTGGTGACTATCACACACACAGCCTTTCTCCATCCCTCCTGCATGAGATGCTGTCAGGGATGGGTGCTGGAACCTTATACAGTGGTACCTCTGGATGCGAACGGGATCTGTTCCGGAGCCCCGTTCGCATCCTGAGTAGAACGTAACATGCGACTGCATGTCTGCGTGTCTGCGCGTGCGTGGGTCGCATTTTGCCGCTTACACGCATGCACGTGATGTCATTTTGAGCGTCTGCGCATCCGTGAGTGGTGAAACCCGGAAGTAACATGTTCCGTTACTTCCGGGTCACCGCGAAGCGTAACCTGAAAACGCTCAACCTGAAGCATATTCAACCCAAAGTATGTCTGTACATACAAACAGTGGGGGGGTGTTGTTTTTTTGAGGCGGTATGCGCCTCCTATTCCCCGCTGCCACCAACCCACAGAGGTGCTATGATGTGACCTTTTTACGACCGCCAGGCAGCTTCCTGGAAGGTGCTTTTTGGGCGATTGTAAAAGGGCCACGGCAAAGTGTCTCCTGGAGGCCATGCCTGCCACCACAGTGGCAGTGGGAGCAGCAACAGGCAAATGGGCAAGGGGTGTGGGAATATTGTGGGTAGCAGGAGAGGATATATTGATTAAATATTATCCTTCCTAACTCACGCTAGTGAGTTTATTCGTACAACAGAGTACATTCCCCTCTAGGAAGCTAGTTGCAGATTTGTTAGGATCTCTTAAGTTCTATTATTCCTGGTAAGACCCCTTTGATTCCCTCCTAAAAGAATGAAGACTCAACAGTCTTCTTTTAAAAGTAATAAGAAGTTTACTCACATTCAGTTCACAGTTGGATCCCTGAAGGCAGACTTTAGCTTAGAGTTACAGAAGAGGGCTTGAGTTCATCCCATATGGGAACTCATCCCACATGCTGCTGACTAAGAGCCAACAGTGCAGTCCAAGAGAAGAAAAGGAATTAAAAGAGGAAGGTGGTTGTGTGACTGGACCTTTTGTGGGGGGCTGGAAGGGTCACGCCCACCTACCTGGTCACATGCAAAGGAAGGATGCTCCAGACCAGGTGTAACAGGAAGTTCAACTGGCTGCACCAACATTCCCCTGCATGACCACTCTAGGCAAACAGGAAATGTTGTATTTGACTGCTTATGTTACATCCCACAAGGGAGAAGGGGGATTGGGTGGGCGGGCAAGTGACCATAGTAGTAGGATGGTGTCAGGGTTTGTGTGAGAGAGCAAAGCAAATGAGGGTGGGATGGGAGGAGTTGAGGGCATGGTGCAAACTGGTCCCTTTCCCCATATAAATACAGCACTGTGTGCAAAGGATGTGCTCTGCCTCTGAGAGACAGCCATGTTCAGAGCAGCATGAAGCTGCCTTATAAGGAGTCAGTGCACCATTGATGCCTTTAAGCCCAGCACAGATTCCTCTGACTAGCCGTGGCTGCCTGGGGGTCTTTGCCAGCCCTGCCAACCAGGGAGGGCAAGGACTGGACAATGGAAGCTTCTGGCATGAAGCACATGCTGCCCTTTGCAGGGCCGTCTTTACCCGGGGGTGCAAGAGGTGTGCGGCACCAAGGTGCTGAACTCTGGGGGGCGCCCGCCGCCCGCCACTGAGGCCCCCTAAGTTCTTAACTATCTACCTGTTATGAAATAATAAATAGTTTTGATCAAGCTAGAAAAACAAAATACATATATACCTAAGTACAGCGGTACCTCGGGTTACATACACTTCAGGTTACAGACTCCGCTAATCCAGAAATAGTACCTCGGGTTAAGAACTTTGCTTCAGGATGAGAACAGAAATTGTGCGGCAATGGCGCAGCAGCAGCAGCGGGAGGCCCCATTAGCTAAAGTGGTGCTTCAGGTTAAGAACAGTTTCAGGTTAAGAATGGACCTCCGGAACGAATTAAGTATGTAACCTGAGGTACCACTGTATTCACTGTATTACCAAAATGTATACCTACTGTTTCACTAAAGGACTTTCGACTTTGTGCGCTCATTTACCAAAGACACGCTGCGCCAGCAGCGGCACTTGTCATTCACAACGACAGCGCTTGTCATTCTCTTTTTGTTTGTTTGTTTGTTTTTGAATATTTTTTATTGATTTGAACATATAAATTATAAAATGTACCACAAAACTTATCACTTATAAAATCTTTTTAGACTTCCATCAGCACCTCTGATGATCCACCGTTTTAACCACTTCTTATGCATTTCTTAACTTTATATTGCCTTTACATCTCTTAACAAATCATCCTTCCCCTTCTCCATTTTTGCAATACTTCCAATAATACTCCTCACAAAACTTCTTGCAAACCTACAAACGTCGTCTGATCTTCACAAATACTTCTCAAATAGTCCGTAAATTTACTCCAGTCTTCTGTGAATTTCTGGTCCCGCCGGTTTCGAATCCTTCCTGTTAGTTTATCTAGTTCTGCATAGTTCTGTGCTTTTCATTCTCAATGGCACCGTGCACTCCAGATTAACTCTTACATCAAATATTATGTTACGTATTGCGTTGAGCTGCTATGTGGGGTCAGTGGCACCTTTGACACGACTGATGTTTCTCCTAAGTAGGTGCCTAAGCAATACTTATAAGTTTAAGTGTGGTGGTCTTAATTTGGGGGCTAAACTAAATTTGGGAGCACTGGTCTGATCTTTGCACCCCGGTGACGCATATGCTAAAGACAGCGCTGGCCCCTTGCCTGGTCAGTTGTGCCCCTGACGCTGATTCTCTTTGCAGCTACGTGCCCTGGTTTGAAGTTTTCTACAAGATCTTGAACTACATCGCAGACAACTTGGCCAAGGAGCAGGTGAGGTCAGAAATTCTGGATTCCTTGCAGAGCCCAGCAAGTTGCCCTGTGCTGTTCCCACCCACACCCCCAGATTCCTAGCATTCCCATTTAAACACCAATCTCTGCCTTTATCTCCTCTCTCACTAGTTCACAGAGCTGGATGTGTTCTTGTCTGCACTTTATCTCCACCCTGTGCCTGACCTCAGCAGCCCCATCAGCCTTGAATTTGTAAGTTCTCACCTCTCTGACACAGAAGAATCTGCTCCCATAGATACGCAAAAAATCTTTAAACAGCTGAGCGTTGAGTCCTATTGCCATGATTTGTTGTTTTCCTGGTAGTGCCTTTAAACAACTGTGTGGGCTTCCTGTGAGGGATGGGGGCACTCCAAGAGTCAAAGGGGGGCATCTTTGCATTTTGCAGGACCCCTGGCATGTCGCCATCCCTGCATCTATACACAGGAAAGAGTTAGTGGGGAGGGTGATAATTATTGGAATCTTTGTTCCCCCACTTCATTCCAGGGGGAAATTTCGCCCTCTGAAGTTGGAATTTGCATTAGGAGGGAATCTTCCCCACCTCCAAGAGGTGCAAATGAAGAATTTCCCTCAATACAATGCCATGGGAGGAAAGTCTTAAATTTTAACAACAACAACAACAACAACAACGTGTTTTTTATACCCTGCCCATCTGACTAGGTTGCCCCAGCCACTCTAGGCAGCTTCCAACAAATTATAAAACCACAGTAAAACATCAGACATTAAACTCTTCCTTATACAGAGCTGCCTTCAGATATCTTCTGAAAGTCAGATTGTTGTTTATGTCCTTTACATCTGATGGATGTCAAGGAAATTTTAGGCAGTGTACAGAATTTGTCTATTTACAACTGTCAGTAAAATTAGCCTGCACTTATCCTGATAATTACCACACACACCTGCAGCTGATGCTATTTCCTTTTTAAAAAGCTCAAAACCATCATAGTGGGGTTTTTTTGAGGGGGAAATTTTGAAGAGAAAAAAAAAAGCTCAACATTTTTGGGCAAAACCTTCATATTTTTCAAAAAAAAAGCTTTGCCATAAAAAGCTCAACACCTTTTGAGTTCACTGGGTCCATCTTGTATAGGTGATGGATTGGGGATTAAATCTGTAGATTGAAATTTAAACCTCCTATGCCACATGTATAGGAGAAATACAAAAAGTAACACTGTGTTACCAGATGCATTTTGCAAACTATCACTCATTCGAGCTGCAGTCTCTCCTTTCTTAGCACAGACCAGCTGTTCCAATGTCTATGTCAATATCCCTGAACTCCTCAATTTAGTAAACTGGTATAAAATGTTTTCTACGATGCCTCCAGATTATATGGAATTGGAAGTATGTGGAGTTTAATGAACGGAGGTGGTGTTGTTGTTTTTTAAATAGATGCATTATTGTTGAAAGACTAAAAATGTAAACCATTCCTCATCCATCTTCTTTTAATTTGTTGTGGGGTGTATGTGTTCCCCTTTTTAACCATTTCTTGTTGTCTTGCAAGGATCTAAAGATGACCAAATTGAAAATTTCCACTGAGAAGGATCCAAACAAACAAGACAAGAGACAGGATCTGGACTATGGGACTGCATCAGTGAGTCAGGAGTCGGGGGCGGGGGGCTGTGTCCTTTACAGGGAATGAAGAACCCTAAAAACGAAGAACAGAGAAGGCAACTTGATTTTGCCCATCAGCAGTTGGCATCTGGAAAGCAGACTGAGAAAGACTGAGACTGGAAAGACTGAGAAGGCACACAAATCACCTGGTCACTTTCTTGCCCTAATGTATTTCTATTCAATTTTTTTCCCCCAGAGGGGCAGCCATGCTAGTCTATTGCAGCAAAAACAACTGAGTCTTGCAGCATCTTAAAGACTAACAAGTCTGAGTCCACAAATGTTCTTCTATAATAAATGTGTTAGTCTTTAAGATGCCCCAAGACCCCTTGATTATTTAAATTATGGCAATTTTCTAAATTTGCACCAAGACATCTAGTTTTGCATATATGCATCCTTTATACAAATCTGTCCTTTTTCTGGGGATGCCCAAGATCTCCTATTGGGAGATCAGCCAAGAATCTAGGTGGGGCTGCCCTTGAGACTGACCCAGAAACTCCAGCAGGTGCAGAATGCTGCAGCGAGACTCCTTATGGGGTCCTCTCCGCGGGATCACATTCACCCGGTGCTATACCAGCTGCACTGGCTCCCGGTGGAGTACAGGATCAGGTTTATTGTGCTGGTTTTAACCTTTAAAGCCCTATACGGCCTAGGACCCTCATACCTACGGGACCACCTCTTCTGGTATGTCCCATGGAGGATCTTACAGTCTTCAAACAAAAACATCTTGGAGGTCCTGGGCCACAGGGAGGTTAGACTGGCCTCAACCAGAGCCAGGGCTTTTTCGGCTGTGGCCCCGATCTGGTGGAACGCTCTGTCACAAGAGACTAGGGCCCTGCAGGACTTGACATCTTTCTGCAGGGCCTGCAAGACAGAGCTGTTCCACCAGGCCTTTGGCCAAGGCACTGGTCTGACCCCCTCCTTTGGTAATCCTCACAGAACTCTATCCCAATGGTTGCCATTAATTTGATTTTGAATTGATTTTAGAATGAATTGATTTTAGAATGCTGTGTTACTTTTATTGTTGTTAGCCGCTCTGAGCCCGGCTTCGGCTGGGGAGGGCAGGATATAAATTTTAACAAAATTATTATTATTATTATTATTATTATTATTATTAAATGCGTTGCTTGATCTGGTGTAATATGCTGGTTGGCCAGTCAGCTACTATCCATAAAAATAAGGGGTGTGTGTGAGAGAGAGAGAGACTCGGACCACTGCCACAATTTTTGTTTCACAGAGTCTTCTTCTAGCTGGACCAGATCATCACCAACCTCTTTCTTCCTCTTTTCCAGGTTTATTTCATTGCCCCTGACCAAGGCAAACTCCCCACCATCCCTGAAAGTGTAAGTCACATTTGCAGCGTCTCATGGAGCTTTGAGAGAGGTGGTTGTGGTTTGTAGGGGCAGTGTTTGCTTTCACAATTGTGGAAATGATGTCTCCTTAATCATCAGCCTTAATCCACCAGAGTGGCATAATGTAGGTCACACAAGCCTAGTTCCCTTGCTGGCGCCCAAAATCCGCTTCAGCTCCCACATGGTAGGGGGCGACCCCAGAAAAACCTGATGACATTGAGGAGGAAAAAGAAGGGAGCAGGATGTAGATTCTGTGTGTGGCGTGACTGCCAATACAATAGCTCTTGTTGCAGTGGAGTGGCAAGGAGAGATCACCCACACTTTTGCTTTCCATGTGCTTAGAAAGCATGATTCTGAGAGATTGTCTGCTAGTGGTTTTCTCTTTGCGCCACTGGAAAGCTCACTCTTTCGCACTGAATTGGAGCAGACGGCAAACTGCAGGAAACCCAACTGACAGTTGCTCAAAGCGGCGGGGAAAGTGGAAGTCTGGACGAGCCCTGAATGGGCTGGGGGTAGGACATGGTCTGGCAATGCTATGAAGATTTCAAAATAGAGAGAAGAGTGATTCATTGCAAAAGGGCATTTTCTTCAAGCAGGGTTGGGGATTGGGCAGGAGTATAATGTGCAATGAATGGCAAACATAGTCAGGTGCAACCTAGGGGAAGGAGGGGATTGTGAAAAGTGGGAATAGGAGGGCAAGATGGGGATTTTTGCTGGATTTTTGTGGACAGGCCGCTGCTGCTGCACTTTAAACAGCTATAATAATAATTTAATAATAATTTATTATTTATACCCCGCCCATCTGGCTGGGTTTCCCCAGCCATGCTGGGCAGCTTCCAACCGAATATTAAAAACAATACAGTGTCAGACATTAAAAGCTTCCCTAAACAGGGCCGCCTTCAGTTGTCTTTTAAAAGTAAAATAGTTGTTTATTGCCTTGACATCTGCTGGGACAGGTAAGCAATGCAAGAGCTGGACCTGTTCCTAGCACAAGAGATGAAAGAGGAGAGAAATGGATTGTATTTCAGTGGCAGAGCACAAGACCTGCAAGCAAAAGGTCCCTGGTCCAATGCCTGCCATCTCTAGTTTCAGAAGATCAGGCAGCAGTTGATGGGAGAAAGACTTCTGCTGGAGACCAACCGTCAGAGTAGGCAGTGCTGAATTATATGCCAAAAGTATGGAGAGGACCAGGTTGAGACTTTCACTCCAGTAGTCAAAATACACCACCATCAGGATGCTTTTAAGCAGAGCAGTTGCTAGGCAAAATAGAGGTGAGGCCCATAGACATTGGAACAGCTGGTCCACGCTAAGAAAGGAGAGACTGCAGCTCGAATGAGTGATAATGTGCAAAATGCATTCAGATACACAGGGTTCCTTTTTGTATTTCTCCTACACACAGGGGATAGGTTTAAATTTCGATCTACAGATTTAATCCCCAATCCATCGCCTACAAGATGGACCCAGTGAACTCAAAAGGTGTTGAGCATTTTATGGCAAAGCTTTTTTTGCAAAATATGAAGGTTTTGCCCCAAAATGTTGAGCTTTTTGAAAAAATCTCCCCACTCACCCCCACAAAAAACACATGTTGGTTCTGAGCTTTTTTTAAAGGAAATTCGCTAAAATCTACACTTCCGACATTGGTTGCCATATGTCTGGATTTTCCCAGACATTAAAGCGATTTCTGTGCTGCAACTGGGTATTTCCTGGTGTAATGTTGTTCCTAGAAAAAAAGACAACAGAAGATGAACACGAAGTAAGAGAGCTGGAAGCATTGTACTGCCATTAGTGACACAAAGTACAATAGAGGACAGAGAACAATTGGGGGGGATGCCAAATTTGCACTGGAGAACCTAACCGGACATTGGCTCCTTCCCACAGAGGAACCTGACAGAATTTGTTGTGGCCGTGGATGCAAACAACATGTTACGCCTGTATGCGAGCCTGCTCCATGAGCGACGGATCCTGCTCACCACCAGAAAACTCAGCACGGTGAGGGCAAGTGGATGCTTGGGGGTGAGGGAGAGGAGGGTGGAATCTAGACACATATAAAAAATGCTTTCAGGAAAAACGTTTAAAATATATATTGAATTTGCCGTTAGCTCACCATCGCCATCTAGTGTCACAGTTCTGGAATGCATTCAAAACACACTAAAAATGTTGTGTTTGCAGCTGTATAGCTGAGTCGCAGGTCTCAGGGAGGAGAGAGTTGCCAGGTCTCCTTTGGCTCAAGCCCCAAATTGCAAGGAGCAGAGGTCTGGGAGTTTGGGGAGGATTGCCTGGTAGGGAGAGGTCTAGCAGTGTTGACATAGACATGGACATAGTGGAAAATAGGCTAGCTTGACACCTACCCACCCACCCTCTGAATCTGGAGGAGACCCCAAAACCAGGCCAAAATCCTGGCAATTTTCAGGAAGAGGACAAGGCTGATCCTTCTACAGGGGCAAAATCCACCTGTAAGGCACAGGCTGTAACTTAGAGGGTGGTTCTGGTCTTCTGAGCAGAGTCAGGCCATCCTAAGGGAAATCTCCTAACCCCCCCCCTCTCTCTCCCTGCAGCTCACAGCATGTGTTCAGGCCTCCCTCTCCATGTTGTATCCCATGCACTGGCAGCACATCTACATCCCGGTGCTGCCTTCGCACCTCCTTGACTACTGCTGGTGAGCCTTTTCATTTCTTCTTTTTGAAGCACTGGGCAGGGCAGGGGGTAAGACTGAAAGCTGGATGTGTGTGGTGCTGTGGTCTAAACCACTGAGCCTCTTGGGCTTGCCGATCAGAAGGTCGGCAGTTCGAATCCCGGCGATGGGGTGAGCTCCCGTTGCTCTGTCTCAGCTCCTGCCTGTACAGTGCCGGATTTACATATAAGCTAAACAAACTATAGCTTAGGGCCCCACTCTCTTGGGGCACCCCAGAAAATGTAAAGGGGATAAAAACCTGGATGTACATTTCCAAAATATAAGATAAAAAACAAATAAAATAAAACCTACATGTAGCAACAGTGTTTTGTGTTGTGTAGGCTCCTATGATGTAAGTAATGGGCCCCGCCTGCTAGCCTGCTCCCTTAAATATCACTGGTTTGCTCATTTCTATATATAGGGTGCCTACATTCTGCATGGACGGGTTGCATGGCAACATGTGCAAATGGCTTTGGATACCTATTAGGTCCATAAATGACCATATAGCATATATTCAACACACAAAAAGTGACAATTTGTTGTTGACAAAGGACAGCTGGACATATAAAGGGGCCCATTGCCTTCAGTAGCTTTAGGGCCTCATCGAACCTCAATCCACCCTCTTCCTGGCATCTGACTTGAGGGGTGTTTGCTGGGGAAATGGCCTATAAATAAACAGGCAGCGATAGTGATGTCTGCAATGAATCAACAGCGAGAGCAAGGCAGGCACCAGGCATAGACCCTCAGCAGCCAGTTGCTGTTTCTTATCCTGACAATTTGAGTCTCTGCTGCTGTGATTTGGGAAGCTGTCGTTCAAATCAAGTCTCTGTTGTAGACAAAGGACAGAAAAGTGGAGCATCGAGAGCTGAACAATAGAAAAAGAAGTCTTTGCCTGTACTCCCACCCTGGGCTTGCCCCCCCCCCAATGTCTGTGGCATCCGCTGTGAGGAGGCTTGGACCCTTCCCAGGAACCTTCCCAGGGCCTAGGGGTGATTATAAGAGGTCCTTGTTCCTAATTCATTGCAAATGAGCTGTGGACTTCAATGCACATTAGAAGCAGGAATCTTTGGTGTGTTTAAAGACATCAATTTTGTGTGTGTGTGTGTGTGTGTGTGTGTGTGAAATGAAAGACAATGCGTAGAAGTAACATTGTTTTCCCTGGAAAGCCCTTACCAATCTGATCTGTTTTGAGCCTGGGTGTGGCGCCTCACGGAAGGAAGGACTTTCCCCTGTTCTCAAGGGCATGTCTCCCCGCCAGGGGCAAAGTCAGGCAGGGTTCAATGGAGCCACCCAGGGCCGTAGCTAGGGGATGGTGAGGAAGGCCCTCGCTAGGGGCACAGGTGAAGTGGGGGTGTGAAAAATCAGCTAAAGGATATGTTCATAACTATGTCTATAAATAAAAATATTGATTATTGCCTCATAAGAAAAGATTTTAAATACAGTGGTACCTTGCAAGATGAATGCCTCGCAAGACAAAAAACTCGCTAGACGAAAGGGTTTTTTGTTTTTTGAGCTGCTTCGCAAGACGATTTTCGCTATGGGCTTGCTTCGCAAGACGGAAACGTCTTGCAAGTTTGTTTTCTTTTTCTTAACACCGTTAATACAGTTGCGACTTGACTTCGAGGAGCAACTCATAGAACGCGGTGTGGTAGCCTTTTTTGAGGTTTTTAAAGACTTTGGTGATTATTGAAGCTTTTCCAAAACTTTCCCGACACCGTGCTTCGCAAGACGAAAAAAATCGCAAGACGACAAAACTCGCGGAACGAATTAATTTCGTCTTGCGAGGCACCACTGTAGAGGGTCTTTATCCGGGGTAGGGTGGGGTGGAGGATGGAGGAGAGGCAGAAAAAAGAGCTAATTTGTCCATGGCTAGGGGGTTCAATCTGGACGGTTCAGCCAGGGGCTCTGAGCCCACCTGAATCTGGAACCAGTTCTGACTTTCTTTCCTTCCTTTCTTTCCTCGACAGTGCCCCCATGCCCTACCTCATAGGAATCCACACCAGCTTCATGGAGGTGAGCTTACCAATCCATTCTTCCCCTGGCCTCACAGGTCAGTTCTCACGAGCCTTCAGCTGAGTCCTGCAATCCCTGGCCCCAGAGGCACAGAACAGCCATGTAATGAAGAGTAGGGGAACCCACATGTTCCATGAATAGGTGCAAGAGGATGGACGGGTGGTTGGGTGGGTGGGAAGAAGTTCTGGTCAACATCAACGGAGCCTCGACACCCAGGGCAGCCGCCATTTTGTGGTCACTCGTAGTGTGGGCTGTACGGTACTGTTGAGCAAAGTCTGTTTGTTCCATACTTCAGTCTCAACTCAACAGCTGTGCCTGACATTGCCAGTGACATTGCCAAGGATTCTGGGCCTAAACCTCTGGGATTGCAGCCTTCTTCTTTGATGGCAGTCAATAGATCCATCACTCTGGACTGTTGGAAACACGCCCAGGAAGGCCGCCATCTTCCCAAGACATCGGGGCTTCTCTCCGGTGGTCCTCCCTGGCTGTAAATCTCCCTCAGTCCAGAGAGACCGGTGATAAGCGATCCCTCTCTCCTGAGAGAAACACACTCGTCTTTTGGCATATCATTGCAGAAGAAAGAATCAATCAATAGCTCTAAAACTACTTTATTTACAGTCTATAATACAAAGACTCCATCAGCACTTCTGTGCTCTTTGAGCACATCAACAAAGGGACGCGGGTGGTGCTGTGGGTTAAACCACAGAGCCTAGGGCTTGCCGATCAGAAGGTCGGTGGTTCGAATCCCCACGACGGGGTGAGCTCCCGTTGCTCGGTCCCTGCTCCTGCCAACCTAACAGTTTGAAAGCATGTCAAAGTGCAAGTAGATAAGTAGGTACCACTCCGATGGGAAGGTAAATGGCGTTTCTGTGTGCTGCTCTGGTTCGCCAGAAGCGGCTTTGTCATGCTGGCCACATGACCCGGAAGCTGTACTCCAACTCCCTTGGCCAATAAAGCAAGATGAGCGCTGCAACCCGAGAGTCGGTCACAACTGGACCTAATGGTCAGGGGTACCTTTACCTTTACCTTTACCTTTACCTTTACAGAATAGCAACACATTCAGAAGTGAAACCAACTTCCAACAGTACTCCAACAGTACTCAGACTTCCTGTCTCATGCTCTCTTAGACACTCACATAATGTATACAAAAACAGTACAACAGTACCACTCACTGGAGCAGCTCGAATAGATAAAAATCCTAACATGCTTGTGCAGTCCAGATGACATGATCCTGGGCTTAAGTTGATGGAGGCTTGGTGTGTGGCAGGCAGGCAGGTGGTCCTGCCTTTACTGTTGGTGGGTTGAGTATAAGCCCTTTGGCCCACCCATCTCTTCTGTTTCTATGATGCTTAGAACCTAAGAATAGCCTGCTGGATCCGGCCAGTGGTCCATCTAGTCCAGCATCCTGTTCTCACAGTGGCCAACCACATGCTTGTGGGAAACTGGCAAGCAGAACATAAGCACCAAAACACTCTCCTCTCCCACGGTTTCCAGAAATTGGAACTGTGGAGGCAGAGCACAGACATCGTGCCCACTTTGTAGGAACAACTCAGTGCTGTGAGCCAGGGATCCCTCCCCAAGAGTGGTGAGACATCAGGTGGAGCTGGGTCACATTTAACATTCATGACAGCAGTTTGTAAAGGCAGCGAACAGAGGAGCAAGCAGTGTCTCTCTTTTAGTTTCTCTCTTTTGTCTTTGATTCCTCCAGAGAGTGAGGAGCAAGGCCCTGGAAGATGTCGTCATTCTCAACATTGACAGCAACACCTTTGAATCGCCCTTTCAGGACCTGGAAAACCTCCCAAGTGATGTAGTTAGTATTGATTTCATAAAATGATGATGATGATGATGATGATGATGATGATGATAAATAACAACAATAAACTATAGTGCAGGTAGTTTTGATGTCCTTCTGAGCACCCTGGGTCCTTTGTGGTTTGCTTCTATTATTCTTTTCTTCCACTATTAGTCCCTCTTCCTCCCCACTGCTATGAATTATCATGCGGGTGGCGCTGTGGGTTAAACCACAGAGCCTAGGGCTTGCCGATCGGAAGGTCGGCGGTTCAAAACCCCCTGATGGGGTGAGCTCCCGTTGCTTGGTCCCAGCTCCTGCCAACCTAGCAGTTGCAAAGCACAAAGTGCAAGTAGATAAAGTTTACCTCCGGCAGGAAGGTAAACAGCGTTTGTGTGTGCTGCTTTGGGTCGCCAGAAGCGGCTTAGTCATGCTGGCCACATGACCCGGAAGCTGTACGCCGGCTCCCTCAGCCAATAAAGCGAAATGAGCGCCGCAACCTCAGAGTCGTCTGCGACTGGACCTAACAGTCAGGGGTCCCTTTACCTTTACCTTTATCTTCTAACAGTTATTTTTTATGTATGCAAACTTTAGCTTCCAGTACTAAACTTTCACTTTAAAGCAACTGATTCATTGCTGCCCCCTCCTCTTTTCTGAAAATATATCAGCTGAAAATGTATTAGCAGAACTGGAAGATGGGTAATGGCCCTGCATAAACTCTTGGGCTATTTTGTGAAATTTGTGAAATGTGTGAAAATTGCCATTTTCTGCTGTGTTCTTATAGAGGGAGTTGAGCTTTTTGAGAGAGAGTTTATTTTTTTGCTTAGTATTGTTCTTTAACTCTCTAACTTCCAAATACGATTCATAAAACAATTCAGGTTTTGAGCTTTCTCAGGTACATTCCATACAGATGAAGGTCATAAACTCCTAATGACTGCCATGTAACTCCCATACAGTGGCTTTTACAAAAAGTACACTTATTAAAATCAATGGGCCTAACTTAAGGCTCGTCCACACTTATGATTGTCATGTGCCTAGAAAACACGACTCCCCTTGCCCTGATCCTTTCCCAGGGACTACCCGCTCTTTAGCTCTAAATCGGAACAAGCGGCAATCCATGAAAAACCCAAATTGCTGTTTGCTCTGATTGAGTGCAAAAGAGCAGTTTTCCCTAGGGGAAGTGGCGGGACGAGAGGAAATGTGGATAAACCTTTAGTGATGTTCATAAATGTCAGCTGGTCTATTCTAATACTAAATTGAATACCATTGTGGGCTGGCATTCAACATAGTGCTACATGGGGTATGAACATGGGAAATGAGGTCTGCCTGCTCAGTGGGAATTTCTTCCTCTCCTCTCCCCTGTATGCCCCCTAAAGCTGTTCTGGGGGTTTCCCAACTCTCCAGAGAAGATTTGGAGAACCCTGAATGGACCTTGTTCTGTGCACACAACTTATTTTAATCCCTCCCTAAATAAATTGAGAGAGTGTCTGTTTTTGAACCTGCTGTTTGCATGCAACTGATATCACATCCTCCAGTGCCATGTTAGTCATATTTGAATTCCAAGAGCACTATTTGTGTATCTACCCTCAAATATTCTTTCTGCAATGACTAATTTGGCATAAACAGGAAACAGAATTTCAGCTCATTTTATGTGTGTGTGTGTGTGTGTGTGTGTGTGTGTGTGTGGCCTCTCCCTTCAGATAAATGAGAACAGAAAGCAAAAGTGCCATTACATAATTCTATGGTGTAGCCACATGTACAGCTTTTGGGTGTTCATCTCATAAAAAATATTGTCAGGTGGGATAAAGGAATAGAAAAAGAAAGTAAAATTACATATGTATGGTGTACTTTCATACGAAGAAAGACTAAAGTTTTTGTTTGCGTTTAGTTTAGGTGGGGAATATATGCAAGAGGGAACATGCCAGAAGTTTATAAAATTATGAATGGTTGGAAAGATGAGGCAATATACATTTTTCTCTCCCTTTCTTAAATTTTGGGGTCTCCCAGTGTAGCTGATCAGCAGAAGAGTGGTTTTAAGTTTTCAAATTCAGCGCTGTTTTTAATAGGGCAAAATATTTACATGGAACTGGTGTGTTTTTAGTTGTGTCTCTTCTCATTTATGTCATTTCCACCTTGAGAAAGGTAGAAAATAAAACACTATGAAATGCTAACCAGAAAGTGACAAGCTGGCACGCAAGACTGCCAAATATCCCATGACTCCAACAGTGCCACAACTTACATTTTGTCTATGTCGCCCAAAATCACAGACATAGCATTGGCATGGGGGATAGGATATTTATTTTTGTATTTATAAAAGCATTTTTATACCACCTTCTATACCGTCCTAAGGGAGGCGGGTGGCACTGTGGGTTAAACCACAGAGCCTAGGACTTGCCGATCAGAAGGTCAGCGGTTCAAATCCCCACGACGGGGTGAGCTCCCGTTGCTCGGTCCCTGCTCCTGGCAACCTAGCATTTCGAAAGCACATCAAAGTGCAAGTAGATAAATAGGTACTGCTCCAGCGAGAAGGTAAATGGGATTTCCCTGTGCTGCTCTGGTTCGCCAGAAGCGGCTTAGTCATGCTGGCCACATGACCCCGGAAGCTCCCTCGGCCAGTAAAGCGAGATGAGCGCCGCAACCCCAGAGTCGGCCATGACTGGACCTAATGGTCAGGGGTCCCTTTACCTTTACCTATAACAGGAACAATTGTCCAGCATGCTGTTCTCACACTGGCCAGCCAGAGACCCACAGAAAGCCCACAAACAGGTGCTGGGGACAAAAGCACACTTCCCTTCCTGTGGTTTCTGGAAATTGGACCAATTATCTGAGACAGCTTCCTATGTCCCAGAGTTAAATTATTCAATCTTAAAACCACAAAGAGCCAAGTAGCGTAACAGTGTTTTTTTACTGCCTACAGAAAAGCTATCAAGGTTGTGGCCTACCTGACCTCCACAGACCAATCTCCCTAGGGAGAGAATTCTATGACCAGGGTGCCGCCGCAGAAAAGGCCCTGCCCTGCATTCCTTACCAATGGAAACTCCTATGGCAGTGATTTTCACATTCTCCTGATTTTACAATCATCTTGACATTTTAAAACTTGACTTCCTTCCCCCTCTTCCTGCAATTCCTTAAATTTATTTTTAATATCTTCTGCATATCCGAATTCACTTAATTTACTCATCTTTTTATCTTCTTTAAAAATATACCCTTATGTAACTGCAGGTTATTACAATAATCCTGTTAGTGTTTTTATCTGTTTGCAATTTATCTGTAAACATCCCATAAACCATTTCCATTCTTTTATATATATAAAAAAAGTTTGCTATTTTGATTTCTTAATTCTTCTGGTAAGTTTTGCCATTTCTGCATATTCCATAAGTTTTTGTATCCATTCTTCCTTTGCTGGGACTACTTCTTCTTCTTTTTTGAAATATGGCAACCCTATGGCAGTGGGACATATGACAGGGCCCTGGCACTTGGTTGGGGCTTCTGGGTACAAATTGTGGTTGAGACACCCTCTTGCGATTTGTGGGAGGACCTCCTGGTCAAAGAAGAGTTTGTAACCCTCCTCCTCTCCCCGCACAGGTCTCTCTGTTGAAGTTCCAGTTGAAGAAACAGACAGCGACTACTGGGGATGGAGTCGCCCGAGCTTTCCTTAGGGCACAGGCACTGCTGTTTGGCAGCTACCGCGAGGCTCTCGTTTGCAACCCGGTGAGTAGCTGGGCTCCTCTTGGTTCAAAGTTTGTGCAAAGAAATCATGATGAATGCTCAGTAAACAGGCTGCCTGGAAGCAACTTCTCCTTATCCCATGTGAACACTTACTATTCATACCTATATTAGGGTTACCAGACATCCCCGTTTCCCAGTGACAGTCCCCAGATTTGTGAATAAATCCCCGGACAAATTCCGGAATTGAGAGAAGATGGCGTCTGCCAGCAGCGAAATGACTTTTGGATTGATTCAGCATAAACACCAGCGTGTGAGGAGATACTGCAACAACAGTGGAGAGTCATACGCATAAAATCCACACAGAAACACATCACTGCTTATTTCAACTCGCTTGTGGAAACAACTCAGAGGCCATGAAAGAAGGAAAGTTAACAACATAAGATTTAAAGGAACTATTGGAAAGACTATTCAAGGCAGGAGAGATATGAGATGATCAGAGCCCCACCAAACTTGAAGCATGGGAAGTCCCCCCAAAAATTTATAATTTAGGCAGAATATTTGGACTACAGTGGTACCTCAGGTTAAGTACTTAATTCGTTCCGCAGGTCCGTACTTAACCTGAAACTGTTCTTAACCTGAAGCACCAATTTAGCTAATGGGGCCTCCTGCTGCTGCCACACCGCTGGAGCATGATTTCTGTTCTCAACCTGAAGCAAAGTTCTTAACCTGAAGCATAACCCGAGGTACCACTGTATTTGATATATATTTGAATAATTTGGAACATTCAATGTGATTTGATTGGATTGTTAAAATGGGAAACTTAATAAAAATGATTTAAAAAATAAAATAAATCCCCGGACAAATTCCATCTCCGGAATGTCCCCAGATTTTATCTAATGTCCCTGGGAAAAGCAGCGTCGGCAGTCTCAGCAGACCGGAGCAGTTGGCTCTGGCTGGCTTCAGGAGCTGCTCACAAGTCCCCATATGATGGTGATGCAGGGGCTCCAAGATGCTGCTTCCGGGCTGCCTCCACTTTCCCTGACCTCAGCAACTAAGCTGTGAAAGGAGGCTTCATGCTGCCTATCGGAGCAGCCTCCCAACTCCTACTTGTGTGCAAGCAGGAGCGGGGCGGGGATCTCTCAGCTGTGAAGGGAGGCTTCACAGGACAGGGCAGGGATCTCTCAGTTAGGCAACGGGAGGCCTCCCTTCCCAGCTGCGGGATCCCCGCCCCCTCCTGCTTGCATGCAAGTAGGAATGGGATTGGGGCTGCTCCGATGGGAAGGGAGGCATCACGCTGCCCGAGCCTCGCCGCTACTGCCACTCTCGGCCCTCCTTGCCTGACCCACAGCACACCGCTTCCCCACCACCACCACCGAAGAACCAACAACTCAGGGGCTGCCCAGGCTCATGGAGAAAGGAGATAGAAGCCTTGGAGGAAGGGGAAACGTGGCGGTTGAGGTCAAGGTGGCGGCTGCCCCTCTGCCACCACCGTAGCTGCAGCATCAATGACTCGAACGTGTAGTAATTAATTAATTAATGTGTCCCCAGATTCATTGAAAAAAATCTGGTAACCTTAACCTATATTGCTTGCAAGGGTCTCTCTCTCCCACCCTCCAGCCACACTGACTATTACCTCCCAACTTTTCTCTCTTCTCTCTGCAGGGAGAGCCCATCTCCTTCTGCAAAGACACCTTCTTGCAACAAGGCTCCAGTGCCATGCAGGCTTTCCTCCAGCGGGCCGTGCACCTGCAGCTCTTCAAGCAGGTATGGACTGATGGAGAAACCCAAGCAGGTCTTCCAAACAAGATGATTTCCCACAATTTAAGCACCGCTATCAAATCGACAGGCAAAAGGCATTTGACTGTTCTCCTCTTCCTTTGTGTGTACCGGTTGCTGACACTGTGCGTGCTTCCTTCTCCCATGGAAGATGACTTCTTCCTGCATATTTTCTAATGACTTCCTTTGTTTCTCTCCCCAACGCTGCACCCAACCTCAACTCCACCAGTTCGTAGATGACCGCCTAGAGAAGCTGAATGCAGGAGAGGACTTCTCTGACCTCTTTGAGCAGGAGATCAACAGAAGCCTGTCCCCAGGTAGGGCAGAATCTCCCTTGTTTTTGCTGTTCGGCTGATAACATGGAAATGGATCCACCAACGATCCACCAAGCCACAGCCCTAGGTCGTATGGCCTCCTCAACACCCCTCCCTTTGTGGGGTGAAGGTGAAGCTTTGACAACAACAAAGTCTCAGCAAGAATTTTTTTTTTAATGATATTTATTAAAAGTTTAAAAATTACAGAAAAAAGAAAAAAAGAAAACAGCAAAAAATTTGACAAAACATGCATTACAATACATAAAAAGAAAAGCATAAAAAACAATACGATACAGCAAAAAAAGGAAAAAAAACAATAACATTAAAACACACATCCAATGTTCCATATCTTTATCTTTCATTTACTTGTTTCATCGACCTCCTCACACCTCCCTTTTTGTATTCTAATTTAATTAATTGTTTCAGCAAATTCTTTCCATCTTTCTCAATTTTTTTATATAATTTATCTTAACAATCTAACCTTTTAATTAACTCAACAAATCCTTTCCATCTTTCACTATATTCTGTCATTCAATTTACCTTAATTTATTTAACCTTATCTTACCATAAAAAAGAAAACCTTAAACCTTAAAACTTAATACTTATTTGTACATAACTCCTTACATCATTTCTACTAAAGCCAAATAGTTTCATTCCAACAATTTTCCTAATACTCGCCAATTTTACACTAATTCTCAAAATAATTTTTAAAAAAAACTTTCTTCCAATCTTCATCCAACGTCTCTTCTTCCTGTTCTCGGGTTTTGTCAGTCCTTCTTGTCCATTCCATCTAGTCCATCAACCTGGTGATCTTATGTCCGAGGCTCTTAAGTCTTTTCCATGTCCCTTCTGCAGATCTTCTTCTTGTTTATACCTGCACTTTACTTTGTCTTTTGTTGATCTTTTTCTTAATTTCTTTCCTTTCTCATTGGGGGGTAGGTCTCGGGAGGACTCCAATCCAAAAATATCTCCATCTCCATCTCCCCTCAGCAGATCAGCCCATTCCCCACAGTCCCATTCCCCACAGTCAACACTGTAATCCAGAAAGTATTTAAAAGCATGTTTCAAAGTCCTTCCAAAATTAAGAGCCCTCACAACTCCAGACCCCCCCTGGTCCACTCCAGATTCAAACTTCAAGAACAGCAGCTTATGCTCCTGCAAGGCCTCGGATCTCTCCATTTGTGTTACTTGAGGTTCAACAGCAATCTCCTCCATTATCTTCTGCACATGCGCTTGCCCTGTCAAAACAAGTTCCTGGGCTGGTTCCTGAATGGTTTCTATATGGGTATTCGCCGTTTGTCCAAAGCTTTTAACTGCAACAGTCATCAAATCCATCTTCTCATGCATCTGCTCCAGCAAAGCGCTTGTCTTGCAAAAAGCAAGCACCAAAACTTCTTCTAAACACATTTTTATTCAAGGTCACAGTCTGGTCTCACGATCCTAATCTTACAGCTGTGAAATCCCCAGATCAACTCCGGCAACAAATTAACAAACTCCCTCTAGAGGAGACAATTTCTATTTGTATCCATCTTTTGAAAGCAGGACCAACAAAAGAAAATTACTTTCATTTTTCAAATATTTTGTTTCTTTTGAATGCAAGAAGCAACATTGGAGTCAATTTGTTTCTCTTTTTTTACAATCTGTCAAAAGACGTTCCATTCACAGTCGATGAACTTCCCCATAAATTTCTGTCTCTGACACCCCGTTCCCAGGTTTGAGACGGTGGAAATTTATCTTTCTTTACTCTCTCTCCTGCAGGCTTAAACAGTCAAAAATTCCCCCCCTTTTCTCCTGCTTCCAAGAGGGATTTTGGTGGTAATAACTGAAGGAAATTTAGACCTTTATATACGACTTTCCAGACTTTAGCTTACAAAGTTTTTGCTTCAATTTATTTACAAAAACGGGAGGCGGACTTCCTGTTTAGAGCCTTCCCGCTTCAGTGCCAAATTAAAATGTTTCTTAATCCAATTTTCCGTTCTACTCACGGGTACTTGTTTAGAGTCCAATTGTCCACAGGAACAAGTCAGCACTCTAACGGCTGTGCGGCTTCACTCCGTAAAAGTAGCGGTTGATTCAAAACACCGCGCCACTCACCCCACGTCGCTTCGGATCCCCGAAAAAGGGTTTCCCTGCGAGTAGGGGAGGCGCTCCTGGTGTCAGCCGAATCCCACGTTCCCAGGCTTCCTCTGCCTGGGAGTTTTAGAGGGTCTCCGCCTTCGCCGCGGCAGCAAGACCCGATTTTCACGGAGCGGGTTCCTCTCGGTCAGAGGAACTCCGTCATTGCCGATGGCTCTAACCCGGAAGTCTCCAAAGTCTCAGCAAGAATTTACTGGGAGACTCCTGAGATTGTAGGATGCTTCCACATTAGTAACCAGTTACTCCGACATAGAGTAGACTGATAGAAAGCAATGGACATGACTCACTTAGGTCCATTAATTGTGGGTCTCCCATGAGTGTAACTTGATTGGATACAGCCTTAGGGAAGGTGTGGTTAGCAACACTTTCCAATGATATACCGTATTTTTCGCTCTATAGGACACACCGGACCATAGGAGGGGGAGAACAGGGGGGGTGTCTTGTTCTCCCCCTCTAAAACAAGGTGTGTTCTGTGCGTTCAAGGTGCGTTCACCCAAAGCCTCCAGAGCCCAGCAGGAGTTCAAGCTGGGCTCCGGAGGCTTTGAGTTCCTTTCAACCTGTTCTTTGGGGCTGGCGGGGGGAAGCGCTGCTTTTCCCCACCGCCAGCCCCAAAGACCAGGTCGGGGAGCAGCGCAAAGGCGGCACACCGCCTTCCCACTGCCCCCCAAGCTTGTGGGGCTGGCGGTGGGGGGAAGCGCTGCTTTTCCCAACCGGCAGCCTCAAAGACCAAGTCGGGGAGCAGCGCAAAGGCGGCACACCGCCTTCCCGCTGCAGCCTCGGAGCCATCCGCAGCTAGCACAGTCGAGACGTGCTCCGCAGCGCTTCCCCCACCGTTCTGCTGGACAGCCTTCACAGCCTCCGCAGGGCAGTGGGGTGAAGGCAACACTTCATCGCAGCGCTCCATCTCCCTGTTCTGGCTTTGGGCTTAGCCGCGCAGTCTGCATTCACTCTATAGGACGCACACACATTTCCCCTTAATTTTTGGAGGGGAAAAAGTGCGACCTATAGAGCGAAAAATACGGTATAAACTCTGGAACTCCCTGCCTATTGATATCAAGCAGGCACCTTTACGGTATTCCTTTTGGTGCCTGCTGAATACATTCTTATTCAATAATAATAATAAAATTATTATTTATACTGTGCCCATCTGGCTGGGTTGCCCCAGACAAGCCTACACAGATGTTTGGAAAATATATAGGAGTTATAATTTGCTTCAGTCTTATTTTATTGTGATTTTAAGGAAGGGTTGCCCTAGGTCCAGAATTTCCTGGACATAGTTGGAAAAATGTCGCTTAAATGTCCATGAAAATCTGTATGGCAACACATGTTGGCAGTGTCGCTTTTGGCAATTTCCCTTAAAAATTGCTCAAAACCTAAGGAAAGCTCAACAACTTGGCCCCACCCTCCAAAAAAAGCTCAACAATTTTCCAAAGAAAGCTGAACAACTTTTTGAAATATGGCAACCCTATTTTTAATCTTCTGTATGTTTTAAATTACGGTCGTACATTTTAGTGATAAGTATATTGTTTTATCTTTTTTTTGGGAAACTGCTTTGAGGTCCCCCCCCCCCCTTCAAGCGGCATAGAATTTCAATAAAATAAGTAAGTGGATAAGTTTGTGGGAATCCCATGCCGTTTCCCCACCAGCACCCACCCACACATTTCCCCCTACATTTAGGAGCCTTTTTTGTGTAGGGAATGTGTTCAGAGCTGCCTTCTGCGTCCAGTTCTTCACAGGATGTGGGTCCTTTGTACACTGGTTGGCAGATATAAGGAGTTACTCTGAATATACAGTTCAAATCTCTGTGAAGGCAAAGTCAAGGCCCTCAGGGACACTCACCTGTACTCTCTTCTCTCCCCAGGTAGCATGCATTCCTATCAGCTTTGGGTGGAGAACCTAAAGGTAAATGAATGAAACTCCATCCATCTTCTTTTACCTTGTGATCTCGTTTCCTCACAGCTACCTGTTTTGTTTGCGCTGAGGTCTTTTCTAGGCTGTCTTTTAGGGCCAAGCCCCCAGAAAGCAGCTTACATAATATAAGCGTGAAATTATAAAATTAGGACGTTTGATTAAAAATGCATCCACCATAATTGTAAACAATGTGGTCACGGAAGAAATATCTATAGAAAAGGTACACGACAGGGGTGCCCAATATCCCCTTTACTTTTTATATTAGTCCTGGAGGTTTTGTTAAACATGATTAGAGGAGACCAGTTGGTTAAAGGAGTACAAGTCGGAGCTAGACATTACAAGCTAAGGGCATTTGCAGATGACCTAGTATTGACCTTGCAACAGCCAGATACTAGTACTAAAAGAGTATTAGAACTAATTGAGATATTTGGTCAAGTAGCAGGATTTAAACTGAACAAGCAGAAAACGAAAGTGTTGGACAAAAATTTAACATTGGCTGAAAAAGAGAAGTTTCAGAATGAAACAGGTTTAGTGATAACGAAAAAAGTAAAGTATCTGGGGGTAAACTTAACATCTAAGAATGTCAATTTATTTAAGGACAATTATGACAAATGTTGGACAGAGGTAAAGAAAGATCTAGAAATATGGTCAAGGTTGAAACTCTCTTTGTTAGGTCGAATTGCTGTTATCAAGATGAATGTATTGCCTAGAATGTTGTTTTTATTCCAGACATTGCAGATTTTGGACAAGATGGACTGTTTCAAGAAGTGGCAGAAAGATATATCTAAATTTGTCTGGCAGGGCAAAAGCCCAGAATAAAATTTAAGATTCTAACTGATGCAAAAGATAGAGGGGGTTTGCCCTGCCGGACTTAAGACTCTACTATGAATCGGCGGCTTTCTGCTGGTTGAAACATTGGCTACTTCTTGAGAATACAGACATTTTGGATCTAGAAGGGTTTGACAATAGATTTGGCTGGCATGCATATATATGGTATGATAAGGTAAAACTGCATAAAGGTTTCAAAAACCATATTGTTAGGAAAGCATTATATAATGTTTGGATGCGGTATAAAGATTTACTGGAAAGTAAAACTCCCAGGTGGTTGTCACCAATGGAAGCTAAAGAGGTGAAAAAACTTAATATGGAGTCTAAATGGCCAAAATATTGTGAAATTTTAGAACAAGATGGGGAAAAGTTAAATTACAGAGTTATGAGAAATTAAAGTCCAAAGTGCGAGATTGGTTGCACTACCTTCAGATAAACGAGACATTTAAACAGGACAGGAAAATAGGTTTCCAGATGGAGAGGTCAAAATTAGAAACAGAACTGTTAGAACCCAATACTAAGAATCTGTCGAGAATGTATAATCTGCTGTTGAAATGGAACACACAGGATGAAACGGTGAAATCAGCTATGATAAAATGGGCACAAGACATTGGTTATAACATTATGTTTGCTGACTGGGAACAGCTCTGGACCACCGGTACTAAATTTACGGCATGTAATGCCTTAAGAGAAAACATTATGAAAATGATGTACAGGTGGTACATGACCCCAGTCAAGCTTGCAAAAATTTATCATCTGCCCAATAACAAATGTTGGAAATGTAATGAGACTGAAGGTACTTTTTATCACCTTTGGTGGACCTGCCCGAGGATAAAAGCTTTTTGGGAAATGATCTATTGCATCCACCATAAAGTATCGTGAAAGACTAAAGGTAAAGGTAAAGGGACCCCTGACCATTAAGTCCAGTCCTGGCCAACTCTGGGGTTGCAGCGCTCATCTCGCTTTATTGGCCGAGGGAGCCGGCGTACAGCTTCCTGGTCATGTGGCCAGAATGACCAAGCCGCTTCTGGCAAAACAGAGCAGAGCATGGAAATGCTGTTTCCCTTTCCGCCACAGCGGTACCTATTTATCTACTTGCACTTTGATGTGCTTTCGAACTGCTAGGTTGGCAGGAGCTGGGACAGCAACGGGAGCTCACCCCGTCGCGGGGATTCGAACCACTGACTTTCTGATCGGCAAGTCCTAGGCTCTGTGGTTTAACCCACAGCACCACCCACGTCCCTCATGAAAGACTACACTAGGAATAAATAAAGATAGAATAGCAGTGGAACCAAAACAGTGATAAATAACATTCATCTCAGGATAATACCATACAAACATGTAAAGCTCTTCAGCACCTTTTATTCTCATCTTTTTAAAAAATGTGACTTGACTTCAGGGAGGTTTGGTTTTGTATTTTTATCTTTAGAGAGGCTACAAATAAATTTTGCTGTGATTATTAACAGTATGGCCATAAACATGCTTGTGCTGTTGAGGAAGAAAACCTAAGAAAGGGGTTTGCCCAAGGCCGCTTGTGGCAGATGTGGGACTTGAACCCTTGACTTCCAGATCCAAGCCCAACTCTAGATGTCTGGGTCTCTTGACCTTGCAATGAGTAGGTAAAAAAAAAGGTAAATGACCCCTGGACGGTTAAGTCCAGTCAAAGGCAACTATGAGGTTGTGGTGCTCATCTCGCTTTCAGGCCAAGAGAGCCAGCGTTTGTCCACAGACAGCTTTCTGGGTCATGTGGTCAGCATGGCTAAACCGCTTCTGGCGCAATGGGACACCGTGACGTAAACCAGAGCTCATGGAAATGCCATTTACTTTTTTAAAAAAATAATATTTATTATTTTTCCAAAAACTTAAACACTAAAAAGACAATACAATACAATACATTAAATTAACAAAACAAAACAAAAACAATAAAATAAATCAAACAATTTCATTATCCCATCTTTCATTCACTTATTTCCACGACCTCCTCACACCTCCCTTTTTGTATTCCACTTCTGTTAATTATTTCAGCAATTCCTTTCCATCTTCCTCTGTTTTCTATCCTATAATTATCTTAACTCATTCTAACCTTATTTTTTCCTTTAATGCTCTATTAATCTATCTGTACTTGATTCTTATAACATTTCTACTAAAGCCATATAACTTCATTCCAACATTTTTCTAACATTCATTAATTTTACAGTATTTCTGTAAATAGTCTTTAAATTTTTTCCAATCTTCTTCCACCGACTCTTCTCCCTGGTCTCGGATTCTGCCAGTCATTTCCGCCAGTTCCATATAGTCCATCAACTTCATCTGCCATTCTTCCCGGGTGGGTAAATCTTGTGTCTTCCAATATTTTGCGATGAGTATCCTTGCTGCTGTTGTTGCATACATAAAGAAAGTTCTGTCCTTCTTTGACACCAATTGGCCAACCATGCCCAGGAGAAAAGCCTCTGGTTTCTTCAAAAAGGTATATTTAAATACCTTTTTCATTTGATTATAAATCATCTCCCAGAATGTCTTAATCCTTGGGCATGTCCACCAAAGGTGAAAGAATGTGCCTTCAGTCTCGTTACATTTCCAACATTTATTTTCGGGCAAATGGTAAATTTTTGCAAGCTTGACTGGTGTCATGTACCACCTATAAATCATTTTCATTAAGTTTTCTCTTAGGGCATTACATGCCGTAAATTTCATACCTGTGGTCCATAACTGTTCCCAGTCAGCCATCATTATGTTATGTCCAACATCTTGTGCCCATTTTATCATAGCTGATTTCACCGTTTCATCCTGAGTGTTCCATTTCAACAGCAAGTTATACATTTTTGACAAATTCTTAATTTTTGAATCTAACAATTCTGTTTCCAATTTTGATTTTTCCACCTAGAAGCCAACTTTTTTGTCCAAATTGTATGCCTCCATTATTTGATAATAATGGAGCCAATCTCGCACTCTATTTTTCAATTTTTCAAAGCTCTGCAATTTTAATCTATCTCCATCTTGTTCCAAAATTTCCCAATATTTCGGCCATCTGGCCTCCATATTGATTTTTTTCTGTGCCTCCGCTTCCATTGGTGACAACCATCTTGGGGTTTTCTTTTCTAAGAAATCTTTATATCTTATCCAAACATTAAACAATGCTTTTCTAACAATATGATTTTTAAACGCTTTATGTGCTTTTACCTTATCGTACCACAAATATGCATGCCAACCAAATACATTATTGAAACCTTCTAAATCCAACACGTCAGTGTTTTCAAGAAGCAGCCATTCTCTTAGCCAGCAAAAAGCCGCTGATTCATAATAAAGTTTAAAGTCTGGCAGGGCAAATCCACCTCTTTCTTTAGCATCAGTTAATATCTTAAATTTTATTCGAGGCTTCTTGCCCTGCCAAACAAATCTGGAAATATCTTTCTGCCACTTCTTGAAACAATCCATCTTATCCGAAATTTGTTATGTTTGAAACAAAAACAACATCCTTGGCAGCACATTCATTTTTATCACAGCAATTCGGCCTAACAGTGATAACTTCAAATTTGACCATATTTCTAAATCCTTTTTCACTTCAATCCAACATTTTTCATAATTATCCTTAAATAGATTCACATTTTTAGCAGTCATGTTAACCCCTAAATATTTCACTTTCTTAACCAGTGTTAGTCCTGTCTCTTCCTGAAACTTCTCTCTCTCATTCACAGTTAATTTTTTCTCTAAGACCTTAGTTTTTGTCTTATTCAGCTTGAAACCTGCTACTTGTCCAAATTCTTGAATCCGTTCCAATACCCTTTTTGTACTGGATTCTGGCTCCTGTAAGGTCAATACCTTCCCACTGCAGTGGTACCTATTTATCTACTTGCACTGGTGTGCTTTCAAACTGCTAGGTTGGCAGAAGCTGGAAAAGCAGAATGGGAGCTCACCCAGTTGTGGGGATTTGAACCACCGACCTTCTGATCAGAAAGCCCAAGAGGCTCAGTGGTTTAGACCACAGCGCCACCTGCGTCCCATGCAATGAATAGAATTCACCCAGCCATGAGCCACCATTAAGTGTAGCAGAGTGGGAGAGGTCAGGATCTGACCATTGCACGGGAGAGGGGGCTGGCCACAGGAATCACAGTTGGAGCAGGGTCTGGAGCCGAGAAAGCAGTGGTGTGATTCTGCCAATCCACCAGGCAGGGCAGGATGAACACAGGCCTCCAGGATTCTCCAAGCTCTGTGTTTTTGTCCTTGATGTGGGCTGGTGAAATATAATAGCTAAGGGTCAGAGCATGAATTTCTCTCTCAACATCAGCACGCATCTGCAGTATGGAGGTAATAGTGGTGACCTACTTTGCAAGATTATTGCTTTTTTTTTGTTTCTTTTTGGTTGGCCAGGAATTAAATCAAGCTCCCTTGCTAGCATCCTTGCCCACTAGTGCTTTTTGAGTGTGTTGTTCCTAATAGATGTGTGCCTAAGCTTCATCTCTCTCTCTCTCTCCTTAGAAAGGTGGAGGAGCCCTGATAAGTACCGTGAAAAACAAGGCCAATCCAGCCGTCAGGAATGCATATCAATATGTAAGGCATTTTTTTTTTCATAGAATCACATACTTGTAGAGTTTGAAAAGACCCTATGGGTCATCTGGTTCTTGCAATGCAGGAATCTCAACTCAAGCATCCATGACAGAGGGCCATCCAATGTCTGCTTAAAAATCTCCAAGGAAGGAAAGGTACACAACCTCTCGAGGGCGTCCGTTCCACTGCTGAACAGCTCTTACTGCTAGAAAGTCTTTCCTAATACGGTATTTAGTCAGAATCTCCTTTCTTGTAACTTGAAGCCACTGGTTCGGGTCCTAGCCTCCAGACCTCCAGAGCAAGAGAAAACAAGCTTGCTCCATCCTCCATGTGTTAACAGAGAAATCTGAGGGTTCCCGTGGACAAAAAACAAGGACACCAGCCAGGAATACCAGAGCAAAACAGCAGCCAGTAGGCTTGGTCTTTATTGAAGACTGTCGCAACAGGACTCCCACCTGCCACAAGGTGGAACAAGATGGAAGCCCCGAACAAAAGAGCCCTCAAACTTTTATTAGCTGCTAATCCCCACGTTAAGGGACGCGGGTGGTGCTGTGGGTTAAACCACAGAGCCTAGGACTTGCCGATCAGAAGGTCGGTGGTTCGAATCCCCACGACGGGGTGAGCTCCCGTTGCTTGGTCCCAGCTCCTGCCAACCTAGCAGTTCGAAAGCACGTCAAAGTGCAAGTAGATAAATAGGTACCGCTCTGGCGGGAAGGTAAACGGTGTTTCTGTGTGCTGCTCTGGTTCGCCAGAAGCAGCTTAGTCATGCTGGCCACATGACCTGGAACCTGTACGCCGGCTCCCTCGGCCAATAAAGCGAGATGAGCGCCACAACCCCAGAGTCGGCCACGACTGGACCTAATGGTCAGGGGTCCCTTTACCTTTACCTTTAATCCCCATGTTACACCCCCCCCCCCCCAAACTACATCACTCATCATGGTTACATCATGAAAGGAGAGGTCTGGTGGCAGTAATCTGATCATCCTGGACCCTACCCCATGGTTCCCCTTGCCCTCCACCAAACACCTGTCAAGTGGAACAAAAGAGATCTTTCCATTTCCCTGTTTCCCAGCCAAGTTAATCACACCCTTTTGTCTTCATCTGGGTTTGTTATTTCTGGAATGGCTACCTGTCTGGCACTCAGGTATCAGGATGCCAGGGATTATCACTCAGGCAGAGGGGCTGCTGAGTAGCTGAGCTCACATGTCTATATGAATTTCTGAAGTTTTCCCAGTGAGCCAGTACATAGATACATTTATCAGTGAATTGTTACATTTGGTATTGTGCAGCAGAGGCCCTTTGAATAGATAGGAAGAAACTGTGATGAAGTGTTTTGTGGGGACAAATCACAAGTCACAAAAGTGATTGTGCTGATTTTGGTAGTGGGCTGCATGTGCATGATATCTGCTGGAGAGGCAACCCCCAACCAACCTATACATAAATTCCTGCAACACATGTGACAGCCCGTTAGATATTTGAAGATGGCTATCATATCCCCTCTTTTCCAGGGTAAACATCCCCAACTCCCTCAACTGTTCCTCATAAGGCTTAGTTTCCAGACCCTTGATCATCTTGGTTGCCCTCCTCAGCACACGTTCCAGGTTGTCAATATCCTTCGTAAATTGTGGCACCTAGAACGGGACACAAGACTCCAGGTGTTGTCTGACCAAGGCAGAGTAGAGTGATACTATTACTTCCCTTGATCTGGACGCTAGACTTCTGTTGATGCAGCCTAGAACAGCATTAGCTTTCTTTTGCTACTGCATCACACTGTTGACTCATGTTAAAGCTTGTGGTCCACTAAGACCCCAGATTTCTCACATGCACTGCTAATAATCCAGGTTCCCTATCTTATATTTGTGCATCTGGTTCTTCCTCAGTGTAGAACCTTATGAACCCTATTGAATTTCATTCTGTTTGTTTGGTCCCAGTTCTCCAGTCTGTTAAGGTTGTTTTAATCCTGATTGTGTCTTCTGCAGCATTAGCTACCCAGTTGGTGTCACCTGCAAATTTGATGAGCACCCCCTCAGTTCCCAGCAATCCTTAACAAACTACGTTGCCCAGAATTCTTTCAGGGGGGAAATGTACCGGTACTTTGAATGTGCTTTTAAGTACAGCCGTACCTTGGAAGTTGAACGGAATCCGTTCTGGAAGTCCGTTCAACTTCCAAAATGTTCGGAAACCAAAGTGCAGCTTCTGATTGGCTGCAGGAAGCTCCTGCAGCCAATCAGAAGCCTCTGTCGGACGTTTGGCTTCCAAAAATAGTTCGCAAACCGGAACAGTCACTTCTGGGTTTGCGGCGTTTGGGAGCCAAAACGTTCGAGAACTAAGCTGTTCAAAAACCAAGGTATGACTGTAGTTGCAATGAGGGTTTTGCAAATTCCAACTACTTGGATGCAATGCTGAAGACTGCACAAAATGGCTCTTTTTTTTACACCCTAAACCTAAAGCCCACCCCGTGTGTGTGCAGCCTTGAGAAGCTACACATTTCAATCGACTGATCTATTTTTTCTTTGTCCTTGAAATTCTGGGAAGTATTGAACTAAGTTCTACTCAGAGTAGAACCTTGCGTTAGTTGTGTAGTATATTATTGTCAATGGGCAGGGACAGTAGGCGAAACAGGAAGGTGCAGCTGCCCCCTAACACTGCCCCTGCGCTGGAGTCCTCCTTTCCAGGGTCATCTGAATATCAGTGGAATCTGCTGCCATCACCTCTCTTCACTTCTGCAGCGGCAGGGGTAGGCAGGGGGCAGGTGGGGACAGTGCCCCATGGGATTCTGGCACAAGATGGTGGCTGCCTCAGCCCTTCTCATGGGCAGGCCAGCCCTGTCAGTGGGTCTCCTCTGAGTAAAACTAGCTTTGGCCCAAACCCTCTGTTTGGAGTGCTGCATATCTCCTCACACCCCCTCCGTGTTCTGTCTAGGCCAAAGGCCATGCCAAAATGCGGCTGAAGAATATGCGGAGCCGTCTGATGGAAAAGGTAAGCCACTCCAGACTTCTTCCTTAAAATGATTAAAGGTGATGTACTGCTGGGTGAGTGTTCAGTGGCTCTTGTTTTGCATTTGTTTAAAACCCAGTTGAAAATTGCTTTTAGAGGTTTTTTAAAATTAAATTTCTGCTTTAGATGTTAGAATATTCACTTAAACAACCATAAAATATCAATAATAATAATATTATAATAATAATTTTTTAAAAAAATATTTATACCCCACCCTTCCTGGTTTAAAAACCAGGCTCAGGGCGGCTAACAGCAAATTTAAAACACTGATTAAAATGCAACTTGAAAACAGCATAAAACAGCATAGAATACAACATAAAATGCAATATCAATAAAATTCAAAAATTTAGGGTCATTGACTTCCCTTCCTCTCTTTCCATGGTTCATTTTGCACAACATAAATCCCTTTGTATTTTATATAAACTGAACCATTCAGTATTCCATTATTACATCCATCAAAACTTATTTACACTGTGGAATTTATCTTAATGCTGCCCAGGTTTTCAAATAAACACAGTTCCCCCCCATATATACAATAAACATTTTCAAATCTTCTTTAAACCTATGTTCTCCTTGTTCTCTTGTTCTAGATGTAAGGTCCACAAGCTGCGCATATTCCATCAATTTAAGTTGCCAATCTTATTTAGTTGGGACTTCTCTTGTTTTCCATTTTTGGCCGAACAAAACACGAGCCGCGGTAGTGGCATACATAAATAACCTTTTCCAACACCTGGGTGAAAATTGTTTTTAAATATGATTGAATGTTTTACGAACAGAAGAAGAGACTATTGGATCAGGCCGATGCTCTACCTAGTCTAGCATCATGTTTTCACCTTGGCCAGCCAGGTGTTTCTTGGAAACCCGCAAGGGCAACAAGAGCAACACTCTCCCTTCTTGTGGTTTCCAGCAACTGATGTTCAGCAGCATTAATGCCTCCAACTGTAGAGGCATAACATATGGTAGTCATCATGGCTGGTAGCCATCCATAGTCCTCACCTCCAGGAATTTGTCTAATCCTCTTTTAAAGCCATTGGGGTGGGTGACCATCACTTACTCCTGTGGGAGGGAGTTCCATAGATTAACTAAGCACAGTGGCGAAGGAACCCTCTCCAGCACCCAGGATGGGATGCTGAGGGGCAGGGCGAACTGCCCAATGGTGCACATGCAGCAGTCCATATGGTCGCCGTGTGAGAGGACGCCCGTATGGACGGTGTACGAGAGAGGCAGCCATACTAACTGCGTGCGCACACTCAGCCACTCTACAGCTGGGGGGCAGTGGGTCATCTTGTCACACACACCCCAAGTGATGCCCAGGGCAGCCTGCCCCGCCTTTGTACACCCTTGACTATGCGCTGCATGAATAAGTACTAAACGGCTGTGATCCTGTATACCTGAAGGAGCGTCTCCACCCCCATCGTCCAGCCTGGACACTGAGGTCCAGTGCCGAGGGCCTTCTGGAGTTCCTTCACTGCGAGAAGTGAGGTTACAGGGAACCAGGCAGAGGGCCTTCTTGGTAGTGGCACCTGCCCTGTGGAACGCCCGCCCATCAGATGTCAAGGCAATAACCAACTATCTTACTTTTAAAAGACATCTGAAGGCAGCCCTGTTTAGGGAGGTTTTTAATGTTTAATGCTGTATTGTGCTTTTAATTTTTGGTTGGGAGCTGCCCAGAGTGGCTGGGAAAACCCAGCCAGATGGGTGGGGTATAAATTATTATTATTATTATCATCATCATCATCATCATCATCATCATTTTCTTTTATGTGTCCTGAATCTTCCAACACTGTGTTGCCAGGGGCAGGGGAGATACTTTTCTCTATCCGCTTTCTCTATGCCATGCATAATTTTATAATTCCTTTCCAATTCTGTGCTGCTAGTAGACATGACTCAAAGAAAAGTAACCAAGTTCCAATTGCCCTTCTTTAAAAACAGTTAACTATCTTAAACTCAGGGTACATTCCACATATTGACCTGCAATATAGCTTATTTCTGTAAATACCCCCTGCCAGAAGGGGAGCCAGTGTGGTGTAGTGGTTAAGAGCAGTGGACTCATAATCTGGGGAACCGGGTTCGCATCTCCCGCTCCTCCACCTGCAGCTGCTGGGTGACCTTGGGCCAGTCACACTTCTCTGAGGTCTCTCAGCCCCACTCACCTCACAGAGTGTTTGTTGTGGGGGAGGAAGGGAAAGGAGAATGTGAGTCGCTTTGAGACTCCTTTGGGTAGTGATAAAGCAGGATATCAAATCCAAACTCTTCTTTATACACAAGGCTGTTCAAATGAAGTTTTTGAGCTGTTTTTAAGGGAAATTGCCCAAAATGACACTGCCGACATGGGTTGCCATACATCCGGATTTTCCTGCACATTTTTAGCAATTTCTGCCGGACGCTGCTTCTGGCTGCAGTATTCCAGATACGTCCAGGAAATTCTGGACATATGGCAACCCTAACTATTGCAGCCTCTCCAGTTAGCTTCTTCTTTGACAAGCTAGCTGCTGGTGTGGGGTCTGGATCAGGGCTGGATTTAGGTTGGATGAGGCCCTAAGCTACTGAAGGTAATGGGGCCCTTTATATGTCCAGCTGTCCTTTGTCAACAACAAATTGTCACTGTTTTTTGTGTTGAATATATGCTATATGGTAATTTATGGACCTAATAGGTATCTAAAGCCATTTGCGCATAACAAAATATGTATTTTATCAAAGTAATTATTACAACCAGTCAATGCAGAATGCAGGCACCCTATATATAGAAATGAGCAAATCAGTAATATTTTAGGGAACAGGCTAGCAGGTGGGGCCCATTACTTACATCATAGGAGCCTACACAAAACAAAACACTGTTGCTGTACATAGGTTTTATTTTTTATCTTAAATTTTGGAAATGTACATCCGCTTTCTTTTTCCTTTAGTTTTTTTGGGGGCCCCAAGAGAGTGGAGCCCTAAGCTATAGCTTGTTTAGCTTATACATAAATCCGGCACTGGTCAGGATGGGAAGCAAAGCTTATGCTCAGAATAATCTTGTCCTCTCTAGGATTCCAGTACAGGCCCTCATCGACAGCGAGGGCATTCCTCGAACTGTGACCATATCTCCGACCCCATCATGCCCACCAGGAATAGGCAGTCTGAAAGCTTGCAAAGCCGGTTGCCCATCACCCAGCACTTTGGGAAGGTAAGGGGGGAACTGAGTAATTGAAAATGGGTGGGGAGCCTGCACTGCCGCCACCACCCTGAGATAGTGTTGGACTGTAGCTTCCATCAAGCCTGGCAGTTGACTGGAGCTGATGGGAACTGGGAATCTTGAAAGGTCATAATTTCCCTATCCCTCACCTAAAACAACATGCGAGGAAAAGAAGAGGAACCGGGTCAGGGGGCACCCGGAAGAGGATTCCCTCAAGAGTGTACAGTGGTACCTTGGGTTACAGACGCTTCAGGTTACAGACGCTTCAGGTTACAGACACCGCTAACCCAGAAATAGTACTTCAGGTTAAGAACTTTGCTTCAGCATGAACAGAAATTGTGTGGCGGCAGTGGGAGGCCCCATTAGCTAAAGTGGTGCCTCAGGTTAAGAACAGTTTCAGGTTAAGAACGGACCTCCGGAAAGAATTAAGTTCTTAACTCGAGGTACCACTGTATCTGCATTGGTGCAAATGGGCAGCCTTAACACTTGCTGCATGCACTCTGTGCAAATGTGGAGTCACGGATGTTCCTGTGCAGGAGATCAGTGCAAGAACTTGTCTGATAGTCGCAAGCCAGTTGCATCAACAACACAACAGGCAGAATCTGTGACCCGCAGAGGTTGTTGAATTCCAACTCCCACCAGCCCCAGTCACTATGGCCCAACAGTCGAGCAATATCTGGCGGGCCCAGGTTGCTTACCTCTAACACAGGTGTAATAAATCAAAATCTGCCCTTATTCCCTTATGGGGGACACAAGAGCCCTTATAGAGTCCTTTGTAGGTTCTTCATCGGTCGGAGACAAGAACAGAGGCCAACCAGAGAATACTGAGAAGCAAAGCAGCTTGTAAGCCTGATCTTTATTGAACTGTTGCAACAGGGTGCTCCCCTCACACACAGGAAAAGGAGGACCCAGGACCCAGGTGTGCCCGCCCTTATATAGACATATTAAATTGCCAGCCTTGGAGTCCAAGACCGCCCCCAGACACATCATACCTACATCACAGAAAGGGGTGTAGCTCAAGAGATATCTGAGTGCTTTGTTTACCTCCTGTCTGGCAAGTTACCTGTTAATGCTTACTTGATTGGATACCCTGGGGAGCCTGGCCAGTCTTTTGTAATGATAAATACTTAGTTCCTGAGCCAGGTCACAGGCTCACCCTATTCATACACAGACATACCCTTAAAACGGGATTTGTTAATGAAAAGAAAATGGGGAACCTTTTCCATTTTCCTTTGACTTTGCAGAGAAAACATTTGGTCAGTTTAGGAGTCAAAATGGTTCCAGGACTGTTTTCCTGTGCTGCTTCAGACATGTGGTTTATATATTTATGTACGTGTTTGCTTGGTACATTTATGAACATTTATTATATATATAAGACCTTAATTTTTTATTTCACAGGGGTCAGCAAACTTTTTCAGCAGGGGGCCGGTCCACTGTCCCTCAGACCTTGTGGGGGGCCAGACTATATTTGAAAAAACAAAATGATGCAAAAGCACCACGAGCCCGGTGGCTGCTTACCTGTGTCTTGCCAGCGTCAGGGGCTGGCAAAGGTGGCACAATGAGCGGTGCACGAAAGGGCTCTGGAGAGGGTCTGCTTTAAATGGCGGCCGCTCGAGCGCTGCTGCTGCTGGCACCAACAAAGCCCATCCCCCTCCCTCCTCTAGGCAGGGCGAGGAGAAGCCAGGAGGAGGGAGGGAGGAGGCACTGCCGCTGCCGCCGCCGTGTGAGGGAGAGGGAAAGAACGTATGCCCTGGCGATCCACGCGGCGATTCCTGGACCGTCCATGGGCCAGATCCAGAAGGCAATTGGGCCTGATCCGGCCTGCTGGCCTTAGTTTGCTGACCCATGCTCTAACATAAGGAAATGAGCAGATTAGTGCAGCTCCCATTGTTTTATAGAAATGTTCTGCAAATTTTGCCTGTGTCTGGCTTTATATGCAAAAGGCATCAGTATGCAAAAGTTAAGGAATAAATAAATTGGGAGTAAATAAGTAAAGAAACAGGGGCAGATGATTTTTTTTTAAATGCTACCTTAAGGCTCCCATGTATGGCTAGCTCCTAAATATGTTATTCAGAAGGAAGCCCTTATAGGTTCAGTGGATCTTACCGCCTAATATCCCCTTGCATTCAAAAGTCTACTTCTGACTGTGCTTCTTTGTGTCAAATGTAGAGAGCAGCACTGTAATCATGAGAGCTGAGTTCACATTTGTACCGAAAAATAAGTTACAATATGCAAAGCAGAAAAACGGGATAGAAAATTTGGCTGAATTACAGTGGTACCTCACAAGACAAATGCCTCACAAGATGAAAAACGCGCAAGACGAAAGAGTTTTTCGTTTTTTGAGGTGCTTCGCAAGACGAATTTCCCTATGGGCTTGCTTCGCGAGACGAAAACGTCTTGCGAGTTTGTTTCCTTTTTCTTAAAACCGTTAATACCGTTAAAACCGTGCTTCGCAAGACGAAAAAAATCGCAAGACGAAAAAACTCGCAGAACGAATTAATTTCGTCTTGCGAGGCACCACTGTAGTTGCACAACACATATGGGCATTGTGTACTATTTAACTGCCATGTCTTCTGCTAAAGAATACAGGGAATTGTAGTTTGTTGAGAGTGCTCAGATATTCTCTGTTGGAGATCCTTAGCTCTCCTTGCAGATCAACAATTCCCTGGTGAGAGGGAATGACTGAAAGCGGGTTTGTTGGCAGTAAAGAGACATCCAGTGTTAAGGATTGCCAAGGATGATGGCTAATGTTTAGGGAAGTTTTTAATGTTTGATGTTTTATCACTTTTTATTATTATTAATATTCTGTTGGGAGCCACCCAGAGTGGCTGGGGAAACCCAGCCAGATGGGTGGGGTATAAATAACAAATTAGTAGTAGTAGTAGTAGTAGTAGTATTACTAATGGAGAAAGCAGCCTGGCTGTCCTGAGAGTCTCCAGCTGAATCCATGCCCCACCTTACACTAGAGTGGGGAATATGTAGTTTTGAATAATGGAGAAAGGGCCGCTAATCACCAGGACATTTTGTTCTGGACAAGGGGATCAGAACCCTTACAGGTGTGTGTCCAGTGCCGGATTTACATATAAGCTAAACACGGGTGGCACTATGGACACGGGTGGCGCCAGTGGCGTAGCGTGGGGGGTGCAGGGGGGCTGGCCACACCGGGCACAACATCTGGGGGGGGCGCGCTCGCACTCGCAGCTCTCTGCCCCTACCTGGCTCACTCACTCTCTCTCACTGCAGTGCTGGCTGTGCGAATCCGATCCGAGTCGCTGGGTCGCCGCCCACTGTGGAGGGGGTGGGTGCCAGGCGTGCGGTGCGGAGAGAGAGCGAGGGACTATCTGGGGAAGGGACAGTGCAGCGGCCGCCCAGCGCAGCGCTGAGCGCGGGAGAGAACCACACCAGACCAGACCAGGCAGCAGCAAGAAGAAGCTGGCAGCGGCGGCAGGTTAGGGGTTAGGGGGCACAAATTACTTGCCTTGCCCCGGGTTAGGGGGCGCAAATTACTTGCCTTGCCCTGGGTTAGGGGGCGCAAATTACTTGCCTTGCCCCGGGTTAGGGGGCGCAAATTACTTGCCTTGCCCCGGGTGCTGACAACCCACGCTACGCCGCTGGGTGGCGCTGTGGGTTAAACCACAGAGCCTAGGACTTGCTAATCAGAAGGTCGGCGGTTCGAATCCCTGCGACGGGGTGAGCTCCTGTTGCTCAGTCCCTGATCCTGCCAACCTAGCAGTTCGAAAGCACGTCAAAGTGCAAGTAGATAAATAGGTACTGCTCCGGCGGGAAGGTAAACGGTGTTTCCGTGTGCTGCTCTGGTTCGCCAGAAGCGGCTTAGTCATGCTGGCCACATGACCGGGAAGCTGTACGCCGGCTCCCTCGGCCAGTAAAGCGAGATGAGCGCCGTAATCCTAGAGTCAGTCACGACTGGAGCTAATGGTCAGGGGTCCCTTTACCTTTGCCTTAAACAAGCTATAGCTTAGGGCCCCACTCTCTTGGGCCCCCCAAAAAAATTAAAGGAAAAAAACCTGGGTGTACATTTCTAAAATATAAGATAAAAAACAAATAACATAAAACCTACGTACAGAAACAGTGTTTTGTGTTGTGTAGACTCCTCTGATGTAAGTCATGGGTCCCCAATCATTTTAAGTTAGAGCTTAATAATTATTTCACTTCTTCTTAATTGTATTGCACTGTTAATATACTTCTTCTTAATTGTATTTCAGTTCAACTATTACTTTGATAAAATTACATATTTTGTTATGTGCAAATGGCTTTAGATACCTATTAGGTCCATAAATTACCATATAGCATAAATGTTGTGCTCTCTTTCTCTTCACAGTCTCGCCCCAGGCGACCACAAAGACAGAGCAGCAGTACAGAATTGGAGTCACAAAGGTAAGGCCTGCTTACCCCCCGCTCTCTCTTTGCTGTTCTCAGCTCTGCTTCCCACATCCTGTGAGTGTTTCAGGGCTGGCCCAGCAGGTGGATCAGAATCTGCTGGGAAATGATCCTACACAAGCCTCGCTGCAATGAATTAGGTTCTGTGACTGGGGGGAAACCATGTTCAGTTAAACCTCTTGGGCTACAGTGTTGTGCACCCTTAAATCTGAGAATAAGTCTCACTGAGCTCAGAGGAAGTTTCCTAGTTCTGAGTAAACCTATAGGGATGGGAGGATTATCTCTAGGGGAAACCATCACTGCTCTTGGGGGTGTCATTGTGTTCCAGAGTTCCACAGATGTTTAAACAAATAATTTCCAAACTGATTAAAAAACAAACAGACCCGTGGTTTTACTCATCTGTTCTTCCATAAACACTCAGGGATGAGGTATTTGTTGTGTCTTGTTAAATGATTAAAAATAATCATAAGCTGCCATCATCTTTTTGTGGTAAAAACAGAAGAGTCTGCTGGCACCTTGAGGAAAAACTGTTCTACTGTTTAGTTAATTTGTCTTCTAGGTTCATGATTTTCAAATCTGAAATAGTAATTTAGACAGCCAAACAGAACATCCCCTCTGAATCGCGCTTCTGCGGAGGAATTTATGTATTTATTTATAAACCTCGTTTTTTAAAAAAGAAGTAAAGTGTGGCATAAGCTTTTATGGTCCAGAGCTCACTACTAGCAGATTGTTGCTCCTTTGCCAGTAGGATTAAATCACATGCTAGTAAATTCAAGTTGTGCAGTTAAAGTAGATTTGAAACTCACTCCGCTGCACCAAATTGAACTTTATGCAGTAAGCAAAGTGATGGGGAAATGCACAGGTAAAAAGTGGGTTGACAACTGCTTGGCAGTTGACAGGGCATCAGGTGCCATTAGCCAGTCACAGTTCTATTGTGCTTTTCCATGGGCAATGGAATGGGTAATATTCCAGCAAAATATTAAAATACAATAATGCATCAAATATTAAAATCTTCGCTAAACAAGGCTGCCTTCAAATGTCTTCTAAAAGTCAGGTACTTGTTTATTTCTTTGACATCTGGTGGGAAGGCATTCCACAGGGCGGACGCCACCACCGAGAAGGCCCTGTGCCTGGTTCCCTGTAACTTTACTTCTCGCAGTGAGGGAACCACCAGAAGGCCCTCAGATCTGGACCTCAGTGTCCAGGCTGAACGATGGGGGTGGAGACGCTCCTTCAGGTATACTGGGCAGAGGACGTTTAAGGCTTTAAAAGTCAGCACCAACACTTTGAATTGTGCCCGGAAACATACTGGGAGCCAATGTAGGTCTTTCAAGACCGGTGTTATATGGTCTCGGTGGACGCTCCCAGTCACCAGTCAAACTGCCGCATTCTGGATTAGTTGCAGTTTCTGGGTCACCTTCAAAGGTAGCCCCACGTAGAGCACATTGCAGTAGTCTAGGGGTCAGCAACCTTTTTCAGCCGTAGGCCAGTCCACCATCCCTCAGACCATGTGGTGGGCCAGACTATATTTTGAAAAAAATAATGAACGAATTCCTATGCCCCACAAATAACCCAGAGATGCATTTTAAATAGAAGCACACATTCTACTCATGTAAAAACACCAGGCAGGCCCCACAAATAACCCAGAGATGCATTTTAAATAAAAGGACACATTCTACTCATGTAAAAACACGCCGATTCCCGGACCGTCTAAGGGCCGGATTGAGAAGGCGATTGGGTCGCATCTGGCCCCTGGGCCTTATGTTTCCCACCGCTGCAGTAGTCCAAGCGGGAGATAACCAGAGCATGCACTGGTTCCTGCCATCTGAGAGCACAGAAAAGTGTTGGAAGGAGAAGAGTAGTAGCACCATCTCTGCAGATTTCCTTAGCACTATTCTCTCTTTTTTTTTTTTAAGGAGAGGCATGTATTTAATGTGCATAGTGACATATCAAATGGACAGAAAATATCCGCCCTCTTCAAAGCATGGAAAGGTGCCAGGAGCTGTCTATGTAGAAATGCCTCTTTAAAAAAACCCACACAGCAATGCAAGAGACAGCAGGAACTGTGTCCCATTAATAGGCGGAGCCCTGATTAATACCAGAGCGGGTGTGATTAACTTGCAGATATACAGCACTGGTGAAAAATTAGCATTACAACAAGGCAGAATGCATAGTGGGGCATTGCCTTTCTATAGCAAGATGGCTCCTCCCACAGGATCATATCTGCTAATGAATTCAAACTGGCTTCTCTTGAATTCTTTAGCAAACAGGACAATGTCGTACAGTGGTACCTCAGGTTAAGTACTTAATTCGTTCCGGAGGTCCGTACTTAACCTGAAACTGTTCTTAACCTGAAGCACCACTTTAGCTAATGGGGCCTCCTGCTGCCGCCATGCTGCCGGAGCCCGATTTCTGTTCTCATCCTGAAGCAATGTTCTTAACCTGAAGCACTATTTCTGGGTTAGCGGAGTCTGTAACCTGAAGCGTATGTGACCTGAAGCATATGTAACCTGAGGTACCACTGTACTTGGAGTAGTTGCACAGCCCCTCCTGTAAAGACGCGTAAGCCATGCCCTGTGGCCATCCAAGCTGAGTTTTGTTTTTGTGAAGTCCCTGTGAGTTTTGCTCCACAGAAATTTTGCAGAGAGCATGGATGTGGTGAGAGGGTAACAGAACAGGCCCAAACAAGCTTTTACAGGTCACCTACACCCAAAATAAATTTGGGAGCTGTTCTGTGGTGCAGTTCAACTGTCGTGCAGGTAATGTGATAATTAGCAGTGTTTAGCTCAAGCGCTGCCCGGGGCTAGTCTATAAACAATCACAACAACGCAAATCCACCTACCAACCTACTGCCTTTCACATGGGAGAGGGGGAACTGAACATACCCAGGTTCAAAACAAGGATGAATTGCCTTTCCAGCTTTCTTCATAAACTACAGAAGTCAAAATCTTGCTGAGTGGGGCCAGAAACAATACAAGGAGGGACAAATAAGGCTGGTTCCCTTGGCCATTGTGTTGCATGAACATGCTGATCTCCCATGTCACTTTACATGGACCTTTCGAACGTCGTTGTTTTCATGTACCGCAGGGGTCAGCAACCTAAGGCCCAGGGGCCGGATGCAGCCCAATTGCCTTCTAAATCTGGCCCATGGACTGTCCGGGAATCAGCTTGTTTTTACATGAGTAGAATGTGTCCTTTTATTTAAAATGCATCTCTGGGTTATTTGTGGGGCCTGCCTGGTGTTTTGACAAGAGTAGAATGTGTGCTTTTATTTAAAATGCATCTCTGGGTTATTTGTGGGGCATAGGAATTCGTTCATTTCCCCCCAAAAAAATATAGTCCGGCCCACCACATGGTCTGAGGGACGGTGGACCGGCCCACGGCTGAAAAAGCTGACCCCTGATGTACTGTACAGCATTTTATTCCTGATCACATTTCTCATGTGAAACATATATTCTTTCAGGGAAGTTTCCAACTCTTCCAGCTCAAGCTCGCTGGATTGTTCTTTGGAGCCTGGAGAAACTGAAAATCTGCACCCGGACTTTCTGGATACAGGTGGGATTGATCTCTTAGGTGAAATCTTTGAGACTCTAAACTTGCTGGAGCCAAGCCAAGCCCAGCGGCCACTCTATGGGACGCGGAGCCTGGACTTCTGCAACCTAGAAGAGAGGAACTTCTATACCAAGGTAAGCCCTCCTAGTTTGGCTCTCTGTGCACCTGTCAAAGAGGCCAAGCGTGGACAGCAGCAAATTCCAACTCAGTCTCTTTGTCTGTTGTAGCAGAGGCCCAGCAGGAACACACTCCATGAACCCCTGTCTGAGGAAAAGGATGATGGTGGTGATGATGATGATGATGATGACTCATTGTCCGAGGGCACCCTGCTCCCAGCCTCTCCGGATCAGGAGCATGTGCAGAATGCTCTGCTAGTGTCCACCAGAGCAGCAGAAAATAGCTTTGAGAAGTGGGACCGTGACGTCCCTGAACCCGAAGAGATTCCTTGCCCTGAGAAGTCAGCAGTTCCATCGCAAGGGGAGACAGCAGTTGTTACCACTGGCTATGAGCTGCCGCAAGTGGCATGGACCCGGAATACAGACCACGAGAACTCCAGCACAAATGAAAATGGAACTGAAAGCTGCACTGAGGTGGAGTCCGGACAGGAGTCTAGGACTGACCCGATGCTCAAACTCACTTCAGCCATTGCCGCCGCCAAGGCAGAGCCACCAGCAACCAATTGCTCCGGCATCCAGTCACCTGCGGCTTTGTCCCAAAGAAAAGTGAATGTGGACACCGACTTCAAGACCAAGCACGGTGTGTCAGCCCTTGGGGTGGTCACTAGACCACCATACTCCTTGACTTCCCGGCCCTTGGCCAAAGTGTCAGAGCTGAAGAAAAGATTCGAGGCCTAGAAAGTGAGTGAGGAGTCTGTAGCCTTGGAAGAGGAACACCTGTCTGTTTTTTGATTTCCGGGGTGAAGTAGTAGCTTCTGTGGCCGGAGGCTGCACTACAGGCCTCTCCTCTGGTGCCACAAGGCAGCTCCGGGCTTTGAAAGGCACTGAGGGAAACACCCCATCGCTCCGGGAATCAATAGTGACTTCTAGAAGCAGAAGTGGGTTCTCCTCCTAGTCCCAGTGCATAGGACTCGCTTGCTGCCTGACTTGTAACCTGCCCCCTGCTCACTACTAGAAGACAGTAGTGCTTTTTTTCTGGGGATACTCATACACCTGAACATTTTGTGAATCTACGTTTGGCCTCATTGAAGGGCAGAATTTCAATATGAGTAGGAAAATGAGAGTACCCCTAAACATTTTTAAAGAAAAAATCAATGTGTGTGTGTGTGTGTGGTGTGTGTGTGTGTGTACAGTCATATTCCTGGGACTGGGGGAAAGACTGCTTTAGCACCATTCCTCTCCTAAACACATGAAATTGCTCTTCATGTAACTTTTCCCAATATGGAAACCATATCAGGGAAAGTATGTAACTGGAAAAGGACAAGCTATCATCATGGGGTGGTTCAACATATGTACTGCTTGCTACTCAGTGGCTGCAACATCAGTTAATTTGGGGGGGTGCGCACATGTGAATAAACATAAATAAAACCAAGGAACTTTAGCTCCAGATGTGGTACTTGCGCTGGTGTGTTTCAAACTGCTAGATTGGCAGGCGCTGGGACAGAGCAATGGGAGCTCACCCTGTTGTGGAGATTTGAACCGCCGACCTTCTGATCAGCAAGCCCAAGAGGCTCAGTGGTTTAGACCACAGCACCACCCATGTCCCACAAATAGTTCTATCTTTGGTCTGACCCACCAAAGGCATCCTTATGCCCCTGATGTTTTTGCACTGAATCAGTTCATTCCATCATCCTGTGCCTGGGCACTCTAGTGAAATCCATGTAGTTTGTGTTATTTTTTCTGCAGAGATGAAGCCAGACAGCCATCTTAGTACTAACTGGGAAACATGTGTGACTCTTCCAGGTTATAGCTGTCATATGCAGATGGTAAAACTTGTTTCTCAGAGAATGAATAATGGAGCAGGAAGGAGCGGCCAGGAACAGCCTCTATCAGCATCAGTGTAATGTTTACACAGCGAAGAGCAGCCCTTTTTCAAGGGGTACAGATGATACCTATATTTCCAGCCATTCCAAACACTACAGAATCATAGGATCTTAGAGCTGGAAGGTACCCAAGGATCACCTAGTCCAACCCCCTGCAATGCAGGAATCTTGGCTAAAGCACCCACAACAGAGAGCCATCCAGCCTCTGCTTAAAAACCTAAAAGGAAGGAAAACTTCCTTTCTAGAGGAAAGGTTGCCAGAGGGAGACTAGAGCAAGCAACTATCAGATGGAATATCTGTCCACAATCTCTCTCCCACCTCTTCCTGCTGCTGCTGATAATAATAATAATAATAATAATAATAATAATAATAATTTAATATTTATACGCTGCTCATCTGACTGGGTTTCCCCAGCCATTCTGGGCAGCATCAAACATTAAAAACTTCCCTTAACAGGGCTGCCTTCAGATGTCTTCTAAAAGTCAGATAGTTGCTTATTTCCTTGACATCTGATGGGAGGGTGTTCCAGAGGGCGGGCGCCACTACCAAGAAGGCCGTCTGCCTGGTTCCCTGTAACTTCGCTTCTCGCAGGGAGGGAACCGCCAGAAGGCCCTCGGAGCTGGACCTCAGTGTCTGGGCTGAACGATGGGCCAGCAGTTTTTGTTTGGGGGTATTTTTACTTCACAGTGCCCAGCCGACGCACATGAAAGCAGAGGACGTTAGACTTTGCAGATGAGGGTAAGCTTTGAATTTTCTGAGACGACTTGCAAAGGGAATAGGGACCCTATCCCCCACCCCCAATCTTATTGAACTGCAACCTCCATCATCCCCATTTATCCATGGTGGCTGTTTGGGGCTGCTGATTCCTCATCCATGCATTAGAGTACCTGTTGCTGGCACAAGGCATTAGGGAAATAAAGTCATCTGTACATAAGAACTTGCAGGAGTAGGGGAATACTTATGGACAGGGCAGTGCCTATGTTCGCAGAGCACAAGGTAACACCACTGGCTTCCCATACGTCTTGTCTTCTCAAAGCATCAACAGAAACCAGCAACAATATAAAAAATCAGTTTATTTTAGGAAAAGGGAGGAGGAAGAGTTTCAGTGAAGAAAGAATAGTGGATTGACTTCGCAATGAGAAGGAAGAGAGAGGTACCCTTCCTTCTCTGTAACAGATGCTAACCGTTCCTCCTCTAGGGTGGAAGCTTTCCATGTTGAGGCATTGCACAATGCTACTGCCTTATGGGGAGATGGATCTGCAAGCAGTGGAGCCTGTTGGCTTGTGGAGGGGGACCTGATCCACCGGGAGATCCACCAGGGAATCATACAGCAATAGTGGTTTCACTTCTGGCATCAGAGTTGCACGTTTTAGCAACTGTCATATTTGATTTGGCTGAGTATCCCACCTGTTCAAGGATGTGAAAGAACAATTGGATCAGGGGTGCAAGGACATACAAGGAGACATCTCAGCATTCAGACTTAGAAGAGTACATTTCTAAGTTGCCTTCTCCCTCCTCCTAAAAAACAGGGACATAATATAACTCGTGCACATTGCCTTGCCTTTGCAAACAGCTTGGTAAAATGCCTCTCATGGCAAAATGCTACTGAGGAAACATCACAGAAGCCCAATGCAACCTCCTGTTGCACATGCCTAGATATGACATGCATTTGTACCTTATCAAGCATACAGTGGTTGTCAAACTTAATCCGTTCCAGGAGTCCGTTTGACTCCCGAAACCATTCGAAAACCAAGGCGCGGCTTCCGATTGGCTGCAGGAGCCATTCAGCTTCCAAAGAACGTTCGCAGCCCAGAAGACTTACTTCCGGGTTTTCAGCATTCGGGAGCCAAAACATATGAGTACCAAGGCATTCGGGAACCAAGGTATGACTTTAGATGTAAAAACGTGTGATGAGATCCTGATTATTATAGTGAAAAGCCAATTGAGATGCTGTCGTATATTGCATCGATTACTGTGGACTGAACCACTAAGCGGAGGACAAAAGTCAATAGACCCATTTCCCGATTGGCTTTTGTTTCATTCGGTCTGCATTATAAACATTAACACCCACAATAACCATTCAAGTTTTCCGTGACAGTGGTTTCAAGTTTGGAAAGATATCGTGTAAATAATATTGTTTGAGAAGCTTAAGGAAACCCAGAACTAAAAGCAAGCAGTGTCCCATAAATGCTGTGTCTTTTTAATGATATTTTGTTGGAAACATAACATGAGTGAGAGCCAAACCCCTATTCCTCAAGGCCACAGCCACAGTTTACAAAGACCTATGCCAGTGGCTGACACTTCCAAGTGGCAGGCTTTTGGATGGCCTTAGAGCTGCAGATAGCCAAACTGACCCACAGGACAACATTCCCCAGAGATGTTTTCCTACAGACATCCCACTGAGGCAAAAGGGAGCTGTAGAAAAGCCCCACAAGCGCATGCAGGAAAAATTCCTCATTGAAATTTAAAGTACATTCCCCGCTTCAAAAAAGAATCCCGAGAATTGTAGCTCTGTGAGGGGTAAGCTACAGTTCTCAGGATTTTAGGGTGCTTTAAATGTATGGCACAAGTCTTTGTAACCAGCCTTAATTGTCCATTGGCATTTTAGGCTAACTCTAGTTTATACCAAGACAATCTGTTGAGTGGCCCCTCCCTTTAAGAAACGAAAAACAAAACTAGAGGGCAGGTTCATGGACCAAGTGCTTCAAACAGTGGAGACTTCTGAAAGGAAAAAAACAACAACAGGGTTGCTTGTCTGCCCTCATTCACACAGGGTCAATGAGGGCTGAAACACCTGTTATTCTGGCATTTCAAGGGGTTGGATTAAATGACCCCCAAGTTACCTTTCAACTCTACAGTTCTAGGATTCAATGGGAGATTTATCTATTTTTTTATGTATTGTGCAGCTCTGCCAATTTGAAACGGTGTGTCTGTAGGCAAGTTGCAGTCTCCAGCCCACTTTCCCCAGGTAAAACATGGTGCGTTTCCAAATCCAAGAGGCACGGAGGTGGAAACAGAGCAAAGCACAATCACCTTTCCTTGGGAGAACTAAGAGAGTCATGGATCAGAAAGGAAGTGCAAAAAAAACCCAGAGCTGCCCTTAAAAAAAGTTCCCTTAAAGAGACAGGACTTTGGTGGCACAGAACCGCTGAAACCCGTTGTGCAATGCAGTTCTGCCACCTAGTGCCTGTGGTGGGATACGAGACTTTGCCACCCTTTGAATTGTCACTCTTCCACTGAACCAGGTCCTGTCAGGTTATTTGGCTGACCTGATCAACATCCCATACCCTTTTAAAATGTGGCTCTTTGGGGGGTGGTATTATTGGGTTATTGTTTTTATCTTGATTTTATATACTGTGATCTTTTTATGTGAACTACCCTGATACCTCCAGGTATAGGGAATAATAATAATAATAATAATAATAATAATAATAATAATAATTTGGATGCCAGGGTAGCTCTTTGCCCTCTGGAGAAAATAATAATAATTACTCCTTTCTAGGAATATAATAGAAACACAATCTGAACTCTATCCAGTTGATGGCAAATGGGAGAAAAGTCAAAGGAGACATGCACAAATGTGAAGGGTCAAAAACAAGCCGCAAGAAAGGGCATCATTTGTAAAGTCAGGGAAGGGGGAGATTTTTTTACCACCCCCCAATAGGTTTAAGTCTCCCAAAAGGGTAGGTTTCTGTTTTTTTAAAGTTAGTCTGAGGAGGCTTCTGGAAAGGGCACATAAAATATCTAGGATCAACCCCCGCCCCAGCTCAAGGCACAAGGCTGCTGCTCAAAATTACTGCCTGGAAGGAGCTGCCAGAACTGTACAATTCAAATACCTTCCACAACTGAGCTTTGGGCAGCTCCTAATTATGCTCTAGTACAGCTCCCGTGAGCTGGAATGGGACTTAGGCAGGAGAGCACCCGGTGGGTTGTGCTTTATATTAATTAGCAACAGTGTTGTTGTGGTTGGAGTTCACTCCTCAGGCACACAAGTGCCCTGGCTTCACCATCAACTTGAGACAGACCAGATATCTTGCACTGTAGGGTGAGGCACGGCATCCAATTTGCCCCGTGGAGATAGCCACTGTACAAAGAGATTTTAACAGTAACCGCGTGGCAGCCTGTCTGCACATCTTGCCAGGCAATTACTGGCCACATCTGGACCTATGAACCTTGGCTTCATAACATGCACACAGCCCAATCACTCATATGTCAATCTTCCCTTCATAGGAGCAGATAAATAAGCCAGGAAGGGCAAGTCAATTTGTGTTACATCTGAATGCAGGCTCAGGGTTGGTTTCTCCCTAGCAAACCAACAAAAAACCTTGATTTAAGACAAGCTAGGGTTGCCATATTTCAAAAAGTGAAAATCCGGACAGAAAAGTTGTTGAGCTTTCATTTGGGAGAGGGGCAAAGTTGTTGAGCTTTCTTTTTGGGGGGTGGCAAAGTTGTTGAGCTAATTTTGAGGGAAATTGCCCAAAATGACACTGCCAACATCAGTTGCCGTACACCCAGATTTTCCCGGACGTTTCACCGATTTCCACCCAGACACTGTTTCCGACGGCCAATTGCCGGCTATTTTCGGGGAATTCTGGAGATATGGCAACCCTACGTCAAGCTAGCTGATTAGGGAGAAACGAACCAGGATCCCAAGTCTGGATGTAATGCTAAAATCCCATCCTAGTCTTACCAACTTGCGCAAAGTGGGAGCAGCAGGCTTTGTGCATCAACCTGCAGTTCATGCAGAGTGTAGCTTTTTAAGCCAAGGCTTATCAGTTTGTGCAGTCAGTACCTGAGCCTAGCCTAACTTGGAGCTGTGACAATAAAATGGGGAAAGGAAAATTCTATATAAGGGTAAAATGAACATGGAACTCTTCCACATCCACCCCCTCCTTAAGAGGGCCTTGGGGTTAATACAGGCATAGGCAAACTCCGCCCTCCAGATGTTTTGGGATTACAACTCCCATCATCCCTAGCTAACAGGACCAGTGGTCAGGGATGATGGGAGTTGTAGTCCCAAAACATCTGGAGCACCGAGTTCGCCTAATACAAATGCGAAGCAAAGGTTTCCAATGGGACCTTCTGACATTTCCCACCCACATAAACACACTTTATTTGGTTGTGAACCTCCTGCATTGTGTCTGTTGCAGTCCTTAGGCAGAGGTTAGATAGGATATCCAAAGTGGAACAAGGGTTGGAAGACCTGCAATGGCAGTTGCCTTTGATGGAGGCTGACGTGGAGCAAAAGCTAGGAGATTGAATGAGAATCAGGAAGGCCTCAGTTCAAATCATGCGTTCATGTGGATGACTTGGGCTGGCCTAGATGTTCCCTCCCAGTCTGTAATACGGGAATAATAATGCTGACCTACCCCTTACAGTGTTGTTGGAAAAACTTGAAATAATGTGTATAAGGTGCTTTTGAACAGGCTAAAGCAGACTTGAAATGCCTAAAGCAAAGTTTTGGAATCGGGTTAACAATACAGTGGTACCTCGGGTTAAGAACTTAATTCGTTCTGGAGGTCTGTTCTTAACCTGAAACTGTTCTTCACCTGAAGCACCACTTTAGCTAAAAGGACCTCCTGCTGCCACCGCGCCACCAGAGCATGATTTCTGTTTTCATCTTAACCCGAGGTACTATTTCTGGGTTAGCGGAGTCTGTAACCTGAAGCATATGTAACCCGAGGTACCACTGTATCTTGTTGAGACCCTTTTGGGGGCCTGCCTCTGTTTATTTGCTGGGTTTCCATTTGGTATGGTCCTCCTTTAGGTCATTTAAAACAGGGCTGAGAGAATCTGTGGCCCTGCTGCTGGACTCCAGCTCCCACCAGCCCCGGCCAGAATGGCAAAATTGTAGCCCAAGAGCCCCTAGAAGGGCCACAGCTCTCCCCTTCCCTATTATGAAACATTTAAGATTCACCTGCCGACTCAAACTGGCCAACCGTAAGGCAATGGGATAATAACACTCTAGGTTGTGTCGACTTTTCTCTTGCCAGAGAAGGGAGATTCATTTTTATTAAATAGTGGCATACTGAAAGGCACAGCGCAATACATTTTCTTTAAAAACAAAAGAGGCAAGCCTGCCCCAGATCTCACGCGGCAGGACCCTTGAAGCCAAGAGCAGCCTCCCCACCCACCCTCTGCTCTTGTCCTGTTCACACAAAAGCAACAACTCCTGTGTCAGCTCGAGTGGCAATTCCACGCACTCCCACTTAGAGTCAGAAGAGTTCGTTCTTTGGGGCAGCAAAGAGAAGGGAGATCTAGCACTGGGCGGTTGGCATTGCGTGAGCTGAGGGGGGCAGCCCTCTCTCTTCTGTGTGTCCAGAGAGGCAGGATCCAATCTTGCCTTGAACTGTCTGCCTCTAGCCATTCCCGGCAGTGTGCATGCATGAGATCCAGCCGCTCCTCAAAGCCCATTCTAAAACACATGTGTCTCCTGTGTGCAGCAGTTCACATCCAGCCCGCAGGGAAAGCTTTAAGAGACTTGCTGGGAAACCTCAAGCCTGGCAGCAGCAGAAGCACCCTTTTAAATGTTAGTGTTTTTTGGTTTTTTGGAGTCCAGTGTGTTGAGCGGCTCCATCCAAGCTGAGACCCAAAAGCAGAGCCCATTCCCCCATCTCAGATGAGTCGCTCTTCCGGGGGAAGCTTGAGGTTGGTGTTAGTTTCGACGCGGGCACCCACCTGCTCCTCGCTGCTGGGCCGGTAAGTGCCCTCTGTCTGCCGCTTCTCCCGGATTTTGAGTCCCATAAAAACCAGGAGGCCGATCAGCAGGAGGCCCCCAAAAACACAGGGCACAGCGATGGCTGCCGCCAGCTCCGACTTCTGCCACGGGGAAAGAAAAAGGGGGAGAACATCGTTACAGCGGAGGAAAGTGAGGCAGGGCCTAACACTGTGAGGTCCAGCACCGAGGGCCTTCTGGCGGTTCCCTCGCTGTGAGAAGCCAAGTTACAGGGAACCAGGCAGAGGGCCTTCTTGGTAGTGGCACCCGCCCTGTGGAACACCCTCCCACCAGATGTCAAGGAGAACGACAACTACCAGACTTTTAGAAGACATCTGAAGGTAGCCCTCTTTAGGAAAGCTTTTAATGTTTTACAGACTACTGTGTTTTAATACTTTGTTGGAAGCCGCCCAGAGTGGCTGGGGAAACCCAGCCAGATGGGCGGGGTATAAATTTATTATTATTATTATTATTATTATTATTATTATTATTATTATTATAACATGCCGCGAGGGGGAGGAAGCCTGGTTTCCCCTGCATGCTCCTTAGACTTGCACACCTTAACTGCACAAATCAAAATGCGCAGTGTAGATTCATGGGCATCTCTTGAAAATATGGCTGCCCTGATCAACAGCTTGGCTTGCTGGTGTGGCTGCACCAATTGTTATGAGCAAACTGATGGGCAGCCCAGCACCAGGAGGGTCATGTGTCAGATGCAAACCTGAACTGCAAGCCAGGATTTAAGCCCAGAGATGCTGCCCAAACCCAGTCCTTTGTCGTCAACATTGCTGCTAACGTAACATACCATCATCAACTGACCACAGCAGAGGGAGGGGGCCAAATCCAGCCCTCTTCCATTTTTTCCCCTTGAATTTTTTACCATGTTGTCTCAATGGGCCGTAGTTATTTTTGGGTAGTGGTGATAACAGCTGCCTCGAGCATGTAAATATTTATCTATTTGCCACTGCAGGCAAGAGCTTCAAAAGACCCAAAGTGCCCTTGCCTGGGGTAAGGAAAGGCAGATCGAGCTAAGCTATGATCAGTCTGCACCTGCCTTACCCAGACAATGAAGCCCCCCCTTTAGGCAGCATTAGATGCCCACTTCAAGATCACCCCCCCAAAAAATGCTGACACACACAGACCTGCCCAAGAAAGACAGACATACATACCGAAAGGCCATATGAAGGAGAGGGAGGCAAGGATGTGGTTTCCACTGGAGTGCTGTTAGTGCCTTGTTTTGGAGAGAGACAAACAGTAGGCGTTAGAGAAGAATATGGGTAGGCAAATTAAGGCCCAGGGGCTGGATTCGGCCCAATCGCCTTCTAAATCCAGCCTGCGGACAGTCCAGGAATCAGCGTGCTTTTACATGAGTAGAATGTGTCCTTTTATTTAAAATGAATCTCTGGGTTATTTGTAGGGCCTGCCTGATGTTTTTACATGAGTAGAATGTCTGTTTTTATTTAAAATGCATCTCTGAGTTATTTGTGGGGCATAGGTATTTCCCCCCAAAAAATATAGTCCGGCCCCCCACAAGGTCTGAGGGACAGTGGACCGGCCCCCTGCTGAAAAAGGTTGCTGATCCCTGGAGAAGGAGAAGGGACAAGCTTCCACCTGACTCAGGCCATCTTTTGCCAGGCAACAAATCATTTTACACTCCTCCCTGTTTCATTAGACCACAGCCAAGAAGCAACATGCGACATAGGGCACTCTCCCCATGGAGAGCCGTATTGCAGAATGGCCCAATACATGACACACTTTTTTAAAATAAATAATTTTATTAAAAGATTTTCATGAATTACAAAAGAATGTGCAATGTCTCTTTTTTAGGGGTTCAGATTAGACGACAAAGAATGCACTGAAGATACACCTTTTAACCAAGAGCATGTGAATCTGACATGCAGAGAGGAAAGATAAGGGGGGTATTGTTGTTCCTTGCAGTGATTTGTTACTTACGACATAAAATGTTTCATACTGACTCCTAACTGTAAAAGCATAAAGGTAAAGGTAAAGGGACCCCTGACCATTAGGTCCAGTCGTGGCCGACTCTGGGGTTGCGGCGCTCATCTCGCTTTGTTGGCCGAGGGAGCCGGCGTGCAGCTTCCGGGTCATGTGGCCAGCATGACTAAGCTGCTTCTGGCGAACCAGAGCAGCACACGGAAACGCCGTTTACCTTCCCACCGGAGTGGTACCTATTTATCTACTTGCACTTTAAGGTGCTTTTGAACTGCTAGGTTGGCAGGAGCAGGGACCGAGAAACAGGAGCTCACCCCGTCATGGGGATTCGAACCGCCGACCTTCTGATCGGCAAGCCCTGGGCTCTGTGGTTTAACCCACAGTGCCACCCACGTCCCTTGTATGTATGTAAAAGTATACATAATAACAAATTTAAAACAGGATTGAAAAGTTTCCACACGTTAGTTTTGGCTTCTGCACAGCAGAGGTCAACAGTGCACCCAACTGAACACCATGTACCCATGAGGCACATTCACACATTTATTCCACTGCATGTGCACTGCAAACAAACACTGCAGAAAGCTGTTGCCAGAGCATGTATCAGTGATGTGCACACATGGAGAAACAAACAGCATCTCACACACTACGGTCTCTAGGGAATGGGGGGTCAGCGGTGGGAGAAGCTGCTCGGGCGCCTGGCGGGCCGCACCATGGGGCTTCTGGAGTCTGCTTGCCTCCTCCCACTCAGCCGCCCCTACAGCTGGGGGGAAGGCAGCAGACGGACCGTTTGGACAGCATGGAGCCTGTGCGCACCCAAGCCACCGCTTCTCTCCCAGGAGAGATGCATGGCTCAGGGGTGTTGCAGGCCCCGCGGTGAGTGCCGCCCGGCATTTTGTCCCCGCTCCCCGGTGGTGACATTCAGGGTGGACTGCACCCACCACACACCCCCTCCTCCATGCCTGTGGGGGGTGTCAGGGTTTGAGTTTTATTTCTTACCTGCTGGTTAGTGGGTGGGTGTATTGCTTTTGCTGAGGCATCCAGGAGTTATTTATTAAGTCTATCATGTGCCTGGAAGAGCAAACCTTGGACTGCTTGAGGGAAGCATCAGAGAGCCCAATTCCGGTGGTCATGGACAAGCAGAGATTTGACACTGGATCAACAGTGAACCAGTTGAAGAGAGCTCACTTCAGACCTTTGGAGTCTGGACTGTGGCACAGGCAAATACAGCCTGTGTCATGTCCTGACCCTTTTTCCATCTCAAGATTTGGTGGTGACTATGCCAGCTTGACCTGGGTCTCTGGGTGCTGCTTGAAAATGCCAGGTTGGACCATAATAAGGTGTCCCTCACCCACAATTTAATCAAGGATGAAGAAGCCGATGGGGCATCTATAACTAAGGCCTGGGTGGGGCAGCAGTGTGGGGTCGGCCTCCACCAGCAATGCCCCCCGAGTACCAAGTGTACCTCCAGGGTGTGATTGGGGGCTGGCTGGAGGGGGCAGGCAGTCACTGTGATTGCCCAACTGATTCTCTACCTGAGCTATCAAACGTGGTTTCAGACCTGGCATTGTGGCCCCCAAGACTGTTAGACTTGGAAGATGTCAACATTCACCACCAAGAAGGCCCTCTTGCCTGGTTCCCTGTAGCCTCACTTCTCACAGTGAGGGAACCGCCAGAAGGCCTTCGGAGCTGACCTCAGTGTCCGGGCTGAACGATGGGGGTGGAGACACTCCTTCAGGTATACTGGGCTGAGGCCGTTTAGGGCTTTAAAAGACAGCACCAATACTTTGAATTGTGCTCAGAAAAATTGTGTTCAGTGTAGATCCTTTAGGACCAGTATTATATGGTCCCAGCAGCCACTCCCAGTCACCAGTCTGCCAGCCACATTCTGGATTAGTTGTAGTTTCTGAGTCACCTTCAAAGGTAGTCCCACATAGAGCCCATTTCAGTAGTCCAAGAGGGAGATAACCAGTGCATGAACCACTTTGTTAAGATGCTGTGGTAAACAGGTAGGGTCTCAGCCAGTGTACCAGATGGAGCTGGTAGACAGCTGCCCTGGACACAGAATTGACCTGCACCTCTATGGACAGCTGTGAGTCCAAACTGACTCCCAGGCTGAGAACCTGGTCCTTCAGGGGCACAGTTACTCCATTCAGGAACAGGGAGTCTACTAAACCTGTCCACCCCTGTCCCCTGCCCAAAACAGTACTTTTGTTTAATGACGGACCAACTAGTCCTCAGGCTCTGCACTCTTCATGGGGATTCTTCATCAATGACACGTGATGCGGAGACAGGTGCATTTCAGAAAGGACCTCCCTTGGGCACATGAGGCCTTAATTACTAGACCTGCACCTCCTCCGGAAGCCTTCACTTACAGAGCTAAGCCCATGGCTTTCAATCTCTCCTGGGACAGGTGTGGTTCTTGTTGAGACAGTTCTTTCTCTTAGGCATTCAGTTTCCATTTCAGGCTGGGCACTGCCCAGGAACCAGAGGATGCATGGTTTGTGCCTTCTCTCGGGGAATCCACACCCACTGTGCTGGGGACGGCACGAGTGAGTCAGACAGAGCTCACTCCGTGGGCCAAGGGAGCCAGAGGCACGCCCTGAAAGTGCTTTGCAATTGACAGGTGAAGCCTACGAAAACACTTCAAGGAAGTCCAGAGTGGCTCTGACACATTCCTAGAAAAAGGAGCTCCGTTCTGCTTTCTGGGATGACCTGGCCTCTTTCCTTGAAACTATTTCAGGATCAAGAATGATCCAAAGACCTATCCACCCTTAAATTGAATCCTAGCAAGAAGCGTGCGTGACTTTGACCCCCAAAAGGAATTTGCATGAAGGAATTTGCTTCCCCCCCCTTTTTTTGAAAATTTTAAAGTTAAATATTCTTCAGACAATCTACATCTGTATTTGTACTGAGAACCGTTTTTTGACAATCCTTGCTATTTTGATAGAATCTCAACATTTAGTAGTTGCGATCCAAGAGTACAGTCATACCTCATGTTACGTTTGCTTCATGTTACGTTTTTTCAGTACCGGAAAGGGTTACTTCTGGGTTTTGCCGCTCGCGCATGTGCAGAAGCGCTAAATCGCGCTGCGCACCTGCACAGATATGGCGCTTCAGGTTGCCGGCTTTTCATGTTGCGAACGGGCTTCCGGAATGGATCCCGTTCTCAAGCAGAGGACAGTGGTACCTTGGGTTAAGAACTTAATTCGTTCTGGAGGTCCGTTCTTAACCTGAAACTGTTCTTAACCTGAAGCACCACTTTAGCTAGTGGGGCCTCCCGCTGCTGCCGCTCTGCCACCACGCAAATTCTATTCTCATCCTGAAGCAAAGTTCTCAACCCGAGGTACTATTTCTGGGTTAGCAGAGTCTGTAACCTGAAGTGTCTGTAACCTGAAGCGTCTGTAACCCGAGGTATCACTGTATTCTATTGCTGACATGCAACACTGTTTGGCAAGATACAACATCTAACAGTGTTTTATATTGAATAGTATGTGAAGGCTGAAACAGCGACAGAGCAAGCCAAACGGGCACCTGGGAAAGCGTGTGTGCCCTGCGCCCAGGGGTGGGGCCAGCTGCCCATGGGGCGGGGCCAGCTGGGGCAGGACGCTCCGCAGGGCCTCTAAGGCCTGCCTCCTCCCACTCAGCCACCCTACAACTGGGGGGGGGGGGAGGCAGCAGTGGACCGTTTGGGCAGAGCGGAGCCTGCGTGCGCCCAAGCCACTGAGTCTCTCCCAGGAGAGACGTGTGGCTCAGGCGCGCTGGAGGCCCCGTAGTGAGTTCCACCCGGCATTTTGTCACCCCCCTCAGTGGTGACACCCAGGGCGGCCTGCCCCCACCTTCCTCTGCCCCTGGGCTGACATTCAGTAATACCTAGGAACTTAAAGGTTCCCAGGTATGAATGGCTTCCTCCACCCCCTACCCCCGGCTGCCCCCAAAAAGGTTAACCTATGGCAGGCTTGCATTTAACAAATCGACCAGGAACTCCATGCAGGTGAGTGGGTGGGTTCACAGAGGAGTGACAGCTCTCTCCATTCCTCCTCCACCCACAGCTAGCACAGAAGCCAAGCAGAATGGTAAAGGGGACCCTGCCCCCCCCCCCCCGCCCCCAACCAGCTTGTTTGGTTCAAAACATGTTTCTTTATTAGCTTGAGGAATTCAGCACCCCGCTAACATTACCATTCCATCACGCCAAGCAATTTGGCTTGCCAGACAGAACAATCCCCTCCCCATGTGCTGTTCTGGGTGTTCTCCCAATTTCCACAGAGTCCATTTTAAGGGGGAGAGTGCAGTGGGTGCAAGGGTAGGAGAGCGGGGGGAAGAACCATTGCACAAGCAGAAGTCCTTGCTGGTGGGACTCATTTGTTGAATCCCACCCTATGTTTCCATGCAGGGGGGCTTCCCCTCTGGCCAGCACGAAAACACAGGCTTCTAGCCGCTTAGCAGGTTCTTTTCTTTTTTAAGGCATGCCAGTAACTTTTATGGCTTCTTTGCATGGTTGACTCATGGCAGGTTTCCAGGGGGCGGTTCTGTTACACTGAGATCCATGCTAATGCCAAAGGGGGAGATTTGTTGATACTGGGGTTGGGGAAGGCGATTTTAATAATAATAATTTTTTATTTATACCCCACCCTTCCCAGTTCAGAAAACCGGGCTCAGGGCAGCTAACAACAAATTTAAAACACTTACCGTATTTTTTGCTCTATGAGACTCACTTTTTCCCTCCTAAAAAGTAAGGGGAAATGTGTGTGCGTCTTATGGAGCGAATGCAGGCTGCGCAGCTATCCCAGAAGCCAGAACAGCAAGAGGGATTGTTGCTTTCACTGCGCAGCAATCCCTCTTGCTGTTCTGGCTTCTGAGATTCAGAATATTTTTTTTCTTGTTTTCCTCCTCCAAAAACTAGGTGCGTCTTGTGGTCTGGTGCGTCTTATAGAGCGAAAAATACGGTAATTGATGCAAACAATTGATTTTAGAGAAAGCTTTCTGCCTGTTGGTCACTGAATGCTCTCTAAGCACTTAGTGCAGCAGGGGGAAACCCTTTTGCAGGCCTAGGGCCTCTCCCCAGCTGTAGAGAGGCCGAGGGTGTGCGCAGTCAGTATGGGCGCCTCTTGCACAGCGACCGTATGGGCTGCCGCGCATGTGCAATCTGTACGGGATGCCGCACATGCGCTGTATGGACGGCATGCACGAGCGACAGCCCGTACGGATGCTGTGCGAGTGACAGCCCGTATGGAGTGCGCATGTGCAGCATGCTGTACAGAGTGCGCATGTGCAGAAACCCATGCGGTCGCATGTGTGCACCTCATACGGGATGCCACACATGCGCACCCCGTACAGATGTCGCACGTGAGCCACCAGGCAGTGAGCCACCAGGCCCCACCACTGATTGCAGCCAGACAAAAAACATTCAAGGAAGATTTGAAGCAAGGTAAATGAGACTTAGGGACGAGGGTGGCGCTGTGGGTTAAACCACAGAGCCTAGGACTTGCTGATCAGATGGTCGGCGGTTCGAATCCCCACGACGGGGTGAGCTCCCGTTGTTCGGTCCCAGCTCCTACCAACCTAGCAGTTCAAAAGCATGCCAGTGCAAGTAGATAAATAGGTACCGCTCCGGCGGGAAGGTAAACGGCTTTTCCGTGCGCTGCTCTGGTTCACCAGAAGCGGCTTAGTCATGCTGGCCACATGACCTGGAAGCTGTACGCCAGCTCCCTTGGCCAAAAAAGCGAGATGAGCGCACAACCCCAGAGTTGGTCACGACTGGACCTATTGGTCAGGGGTCCCTTTACCTAAATGAGGCTTGGGGAAGAAGTTGTGGTTGTGGAGGGAACATGGTCCTGGGAGAGTTCTAAGGGCCAGAGATATAGGCCAGTGCGCACACAGACACACCATACTGATCACTTTTCCTCTGTTTGCAACAGCGAAGGGAGCACTCACCTTGACACAAAGTGGGCTGTAAGCAGGACTGGAGAGAGACTGCCAGAAGGAATCCAAGCTGTTTCAAGCGAGCCATCACCCTCCTCCCCAGCCAGGAGTGGGGCAAGGGGAAGGCAGAGGTTACCCCACTGCCTCCACCAAGGAAGGAAGGGAAGCCACAGGCCCAGATGCTCCCTTTGCCCCGCAGCTGCCTCCAAAACACTTCAGCCGGTTTAAAGTCCTGCAATATCCGACGGTGGAGTTAAAGGCCTGAATTTTTAAAGAGAGGGAGAGAGAAAGGAAATCTGTGATACTCCAAAATCTACGGCTACTTCTGCTACCTGCATTTGCAGGGATGGAAAAACCTGAACACACTCAGACTTTGCTGGCCTCCAGCTCCCAGCATCCCTGACAACATGGAAATTTATTATTTTATATTATTTATACCCCACATTTGAGGAAAACTTTCCTGAAAAGGCAAAGTTACAAAAACTACCAATATATATGAACTACTTATTTTAAAAGCAGTACAGTGGTACCTTGGTTCTCAAACTTAATCCATTCCTGAAGTCCGTTCCAAAACCAAAGCGTTCCAAAACCAAGGCGTGCTTTCCCATAGAAAGTAATGCAAAATGGATTAATGCGTTCCAGACTTTGAAAAACAACCCCTAAAACAGCTATTTAACATGATTTTTACTATCTAACAAGATCATTGATGAAAGCAATAAACAATGTACTGCAGTCACACAATCAATCCATCAGGAGCTGAACTGGGTTCCACACAGTCACAAAAACAAAACAAAAAAGCCGCAAAAACAAAAATGCAAAATAAGTAGCAGAAACAGACAGACCTCAGCGTAACACTCAAAACAGAAGTGTGACACTCAAAACGGTGTGTCCGATATGTATGTGACCGCACACGCGTGCATCGTGCCGAACCCGGAAGCGACCCAAAAACATCACAAAAAGGGGCGGAAGTGACATGGGGTGTTTGCAGGCTTTTTCAATAGGTGTTCTGAGTATACGCAAGTTCACGCACGCGCACAATGACCTGGAACACAACCGCCATGCAAACAGGGAGTTGCCTCTACTTAAAAATGTAATGTAAACTTGCAAATGTGTATGTGTGTGTGTGTGCAGGTCCACTCATCAGGGAGCCAGAACTAGCTGCTCCTTCCTGTCCAATATACTCAGGGATGGCATGTCAGTTTAAGAGAGGCCCCAAGTGAGCTGGCAAGGTCTATCCTAGCAACACTCCCTAAGTGGATCTGCGAAAGAGCAAGTCCAAGCAGCTCACCAATTATCAGGGTCATAATGCCCTTTTTCCTGTTCTGCCCTTTTTTTCTTTTCTAGGGGCCGGCACCACACCCTGCAGCTATACCTATTAAAAATAGGGACTGTGTGTTTTTCTTACTCACTATGGTAATGAATAGTGCGTACTAAATTTGCTGCTGTTCTATAATAACAATCTGTAGCGTTTCTTGCATAAAATAAAATAAAAAATAAATAAAAATAATTTATTATTTATACCCCACCCATCTGGCTGGGTTTCCCCAGCCACGCTGGACGGCTTCCAACAAACACTAAAATACAGTAACCTATTAAACATTAAAAGCTTCCCTAAACAGGGCTGCCTTTAGATGTCTTCTAAAAGTTTGGTAGTTATTTTTCTCTTTGACATCTGGTGGGAGGGTATTCCACTGGGCGGGTGCCACTACCGAGAAGGCCCTCTGCCTTCTTTTGTTGTGCTTTGTTATAGGGATCGGGAATCTGTGCCCTACCAGAGGCTGTTGTACTCAAACTCCCGTCAGCCCCAGCCAGCAAGGGCAATAATAGTCAGGGATGATATGGAGTTCTAGTCCAACAATATCTGGAGGGTCCACGGCTTCCATTAATAGTAAGATGGGGATGCAGGTGGCACTGTGGTCTAAACCACTGAGCCTCTTGGGCTGGCTGATTGGAAGGTCGGCAGTTCGAGTCGGCACAACCTAGCAGTTCAAAAGCACTCCAGTGCAAGTAGATAAATAGGTACCGCTGTGGCAGGAAGGTAAACCATGTTTCTGTGCGTTCTGGTTTCCATCACGGTGTCCCATTGCACCAGAAGCAGTTTAGTCCTGCTGGCCACATGACCCGGAAAGCTGTCTGTGGACAAACGCCGGCTCCCTCGGCCTGGAAGCGAGATGAGTGCCGCCACCCCATAGTCACCTTTGACTGGACTTAACCATCCAGGGGTCCTTTACTTATTATTTATTCATTTAATTCCTATGCCAGAAACTCATGTAAAATCTAAACAAATGCTAACAAATAAGAATTTAGGTTATCATTTTAGTGTCGTTTATGTCAAATTCTGGCCAAACCACCACAAGCTACAGGGGAGAGAGGGACAGAGCAAGTGGTGCCTGTCTTCTGAAGTATGTGAATTTACACATCAGGCCCACCTCATCCATGAAGGGAAGAAGAGATGCATCGCCCTGAGTGTTTTTCCTACTAAATGCAGTCACGTAAAAGTAGCATACAATAAATTATTTACCAATATTAGATTCCTTCTACAACTTCTTGCCTCTCCACAGTCACCAGTTACCATAAATCTGTGGGCCATTTGTTACATTCTGTTGTGGTTGAGGTAAAAAGAAGAGGCTTAAAGACTCTCTCAAGGCAAATCTACAAAAATGTAGTATAAACAGCGGCAAATGGGAAACACTGGCCTATGAGCACCAATTGGAGAACAGCCTTTACCAAAGGTGTCATGGGCTTCAAAGATGCTCGAACTCAGGATGAAAGGGAGAAATGTGCTAAGAGGAAGGCATGTCTGGCAAACCCTCACAGTGATCAACTCCTGCCCGGAAACCTATGTTCCCACTGTGGAAGGATGTGTGGATCCAGAATTGACCTCCACTTACGGACTCATTGTTAAGATAGTGTTCATGGAAGACAATCTTACTCGACTATGAGTGATCGCCAAAGAAGAAGAAGAAGAAGAAAGATATTCTGTTGTCACCAAAGTCCACCCAAAGCAACCCTGTGCGAGACTTCATCATGCATGCGATTACCAGGGCCTCTTCACACATTACACTATCAAGATAACCCATGGGCAATGAGCAGGTGTTCAAAAATGTGTGCCTCATTTAGGTATACTTGTTGGAGACCCAGGATTGGCCGTAACTCATTTTTCAGAAGACACACAGTGTTGGGGCGCAAAGTGGGAGAAACCTCAAGAGTTGTTGCTGGGAAATGTGTGAAATAGCAGGCAGTGGAGCCAAGCTGACAAAGGGTTGCAATCTTTTCACGTTTACTTCGAAATAAGTCCCACTGAAACCTATGACTTAACTTCCACTAGCACAGCATGGTGGTTCAGTAGCTGAGCTATGAACCAGAAAACCCCAGTTTGGATCACTTCAGGCAGGAACTCTTGGGCTGGGCTTTAGGCAAGCCACTGATTGATCTGTCCCTGCACTGAGAGTACATAACACAGGCCTACATAACAAAGAGTTGCAAAACTGACCCAGATTAAGCTTGGAACACTCAGAGGCAATGTGCTATAAAGGCAACAGATTAGCATTTAAATGATGCTGCCTAGGGGGGTAACAATGGATTTTCCTGGATTTGGAAGAGTTGGTTCTTGCCTCTGGCAAGACACATTCTCAGCCTAAACCTCACCTCAAGGACGTTGTGGGGAAACATAAAGTGACACAGGCCCTATCATCAACATCATCATCATTATAGGGTTATACTGTAATTTAATGCTCAAACCTTCAGGGTTGGGTGGGAAAGAGGTCTAAAAATAGCCAGCTTGCATTCATAAGCTGGGGCTAGGCAAGAGTCACCGAGTGACAGAGTTATTTCACATGATGACATCAGTCCCTGTAAGCAACATCACACTTCCAGACATGGAGGAAACCTGAGGGAGGGAAGAAAACATGGCAGAAGAACAGAGCTTGGCATTGCAACATCACACAGGAACTGGGAAGGAAGGAAGGAAGGCAAGCTAAGAGCATATTTATTTATTTAAATCACACCTGGGCAGGATCTCTCTTCCTGGCTCAACTTCCCCCACTTTTGGCAAGCAGCCCAAAGCGAAGTGGGGAGTCTTGTTGAACAACCTTTAAGCAGGACTCACTGCCTCTTCCCACCCCCACCCCCACCCCGCACTGTTCCACCCACCTACCTTTTTTGAAGTATTGTACCCAAGCTCTTTCAAGGTACCATATAGCCCCCTCTTTGACTAGAGTTTCACGCTGTACTATTTTCTGGTTATATTATAATATTATTGCGCCATTATTGTTGTTGTTATTTCTGTAGGACACCCTGGGAGTGCCAGCAACATTGAAGGGGTAGCGATACAATTTCAGAAATAAGAAAACATACAAACATACCTGTGACATGCTATAAAGTTATCAGTGATTTGAACACTGATCTCAGTCACCTGCTCTGCCAGTATTCTGGCTGGACTGCAAGAAGATCAAACCTATCCATTCTGAAGGAAATCAGCCCTGAGTGCTCACTGGAAGGACAGATCATGAAGTTGAGGCTCCAATACTTTGGCCACCTCAGGAGAAGGGAAGACTCCCTGGAAAAGACCCTGATGTTGAGAAAGATTGAGGGCACAAGGAGAAGGGGACGACAGAGGACGAGATGGTTGGACAGTGTTCTTGAAGCTACCAGCATGAGTTTGACCAAACTGCAGAAGGCAGTGGAAGACAGGAGGTGCCTGGCGTGCTCTGGTCCATGGGGTCACGAAGAGTCGGACACAACTAAACAGCTAGATAACAACAAAAGTGTATATATTGTTATAAGTTTGGGGAGGGGATCCCCTAACCCTAGAAATTAATAAATGGCAAGATTTTGATTATTTGGGATATGAAGGGAGAAATACAAGCTGCAGAGGAATTCCTGAGCTAGCCTGTGCAAATTACCTGGCCAAGCTAAAGCTATTAAGAAACAACAGAGGGCCACTGAAGGTCATTGGCAATGCAAGAGAACTGTCCTCCCCCCTCTCACCGCTGTGAAAAGAGACTGGGAATTTTGAAGGTTACTAGGTAAATGGGTATACCCCACCCATCTGGCTGGGTTTCCCCAGCCACTCTGGGTGGCTTACAGCACATAAAAAATTGTAAAACATTAGACATTAAAAATTTCCCGATACAGGGTTGCCTTCAGGGCACAGACCCTGGTTGAGGGCCAAGACTCCTGGAGCACAGCTCTGGAAGGATTGAGGGGGCAGTAACAACATTCATTGCTTATTCTTTTAAAGCAGGGATGAGGAATCTGTGGCCCTCCAGATGTTGCCGCAACATCAGCCCTGACCACTGGCTCTGCTGGCTGGGACAGATGTGAGTCAGGAGTCTAGCAACACCCCGATTGAAACATTTGTTTGCCATTTCAGAAATGAAGATCCATTTTAGAGGAGCAGAAAGATTGTTCTGAGCAGGGTGGAGGGGGAAGGTCAATTTTTGACATTACAATGCTCATCGGTCGGCACTCTTTCACTGCCAGCCTCTGCTGCAAAACAGCACAACGACATTTCCACCCACAGCTGCTCTCAAGTGCTCAAACAACTTGTATCTGTACTCACCCTTAGTGTTAAGTTGTGGGCAAACATATCAGACAACACAGCGATTCTTCCAAAGCAGCTCTTTAGTTGTAAGCTGGAACAGAATTGAACTGAGGAGCTCAGTCAGCCTGCTTATATAGAGCTCCACTAGAATGCAACAGTAACCATTTTCTGTAACTAGCCAATCACTGAACGTCACTTTCGATCCTTCATTTGCATACAAACTATCCAATCACTGAACGTCACTTTCGATCCTTCATTTGCATAACTATCTACAGTATCCCCCTGCTGGCCCAGGATGATAACCCCCCCTGTATGAAGTCCTCACCCCACCCCATCTCTCCACGGCTTAATCCAAACGCAAAATGGTTGCTACTTTCTCAGGCTGAAGAAGCACTTTGATTCAGATGGAAGACATCTGTAAGCCTCTACACCCAGGAAAGGGAAGCCCACAGCAACTCCTTTCTGCTGGGTGAACTACAACCCCCATCATGCAGGCTGAGGCCAACTGAAACTGTAGTCCAAAATATCTGAAGGGCGTCATGTTAGAGGGGAGGCTGTCTTATGCCATAGCCACCTCCCCAATGTTAGCAGGCCCCCACATGTTAACAGTCCTCAGGCCTTATGTACATTCTAGACATTGTTGTTTGCTGAGAAGCATGACTTTCTGCCACAGCCAACTACATCGAAGTCTGCAACCGTCTATAACTGGGGGGAAATCCACATATTTATTCTTGCTTCCACTTCCTGTGTGTCAAGTCTTAGTCTGCAAGCTCCTCACACCAGGGACCTGCAGTCTTGTTCTCTGCAAAGCACACGGCACATTGAAGCCACTATATAAACAACACTCCAAAGACCTTGGGCCTCAAGGAGCTCTGTGAAGTTCTAGTACATGGGTAGGCAAACTAAGGCCCGTGGTCGGATCTGGCCCAATCACCTTCTAAATCTGGCCCGCGGACGGTCCAGGAATCAGCGTGTTTTTACCTGAGTAGAATGTGTCCTTTTATTTAAAATGCACCTATGGGTTATTTCTGGGGCCTGCCTGGTGTGTTTTTACATGAGTAGAATGTGCTTTTATTTAAAATGCATCTCTGGGTTATTTGCGGGGCATAGGAATTCATTCATTATTTTTTTTCAAAATATAGTCCGGCCCACCACCTGGTCTGAGGGACAGTGGACCGGCCCCCTGCTGAAAAAGTCTGCTGACTCCTGTTCTAGTACTTCATTGGTGCCTTCCGTTTTCAGGCGATTTCGGTAATCTTTCACACACAAGCAAAAACACACAAGCACCCCACCAGCTTCGCAGCAGAACATTTCAAACTGAACATTCCCCAGATTACTGGTTCAGTGGGAGTACACGTCAAGCACCGCTCCATTTCCAGCGCTGGAAACAAAACTGCACCATTGCATAATAGTCATGTCGGCAGGAATTTTAATTTACTGAGTCAGATCCATCAATCATCCACCTAAGCCCAGCTTTCTGCCTGCAACAATACCATGAGATGTGCCTAGCAAGTTCACCAGCAAGACACATCTGGCAGCCACAACCGTCAACAACACAAAAGGTTGCCTCTTGTAGTTACTGTGTCTGGTACCCACCAGTGAATCAATCTAATCCCTTTCTAAAAGCTTGACCACGTCCTGTGGCGATGAATTCTTTTGCTTAATTACACATTGGAGGGGATCCAAAGGACTGTTTTCGGTATGCCCGTGGGCTTCGATGTGCTCCCCCCGCCATGGGATTTTTGCCTCCCGCCACCACCACTTGGAACTGCGGACAGACACACTTGCATAAACCATCACCACCACATTACAAGCGGCTCTAGCAAAGATCGGGAGGGCACCAGGTTGGGGAAGGCCGATTACCTTAATGACCTTATGGCACCTAACAAATTTGGAGATAACTGGGGAGTCAACTATTTCGCCTCTTGCTCTGCTCAAGAGCTTCCCAGGGGCATCTAACTGGCCACAATACTAGACTAGCTGGGCCTTTTATCAATTAATTAATTTTCTACCAATACAGTGGTACCTCGGTTTGCGAACTCAATCCTTTCCGGAAGTCCGTTCTTAAACCGAAACCATTCTTAAACTGAGGCACGCTTTCCCTAATGAGGCCTCCCGCCACTGGTACCCTTCCATCGTTTAGATTCCGTTCTTAGACCGATAAATCATAAAACACGACATCTGACACAAAAAAGCATCACTGGAGGTGTGTAAAATACGGTTCTTAATATATTATTTTACAGGGTACAATAATGAGGTGATTACAGTCACCCAGTCCAATGAATTATTCAATAAATAAACTTGGAAAATACACAATAATAGGAGTGAGCTAGAATATTGCCTGCATATCTACACCCTAGTGCGATATATGCTGGTTCTTTTGTATATTTAATAAAATCATACCATACAGTGAAAAAAGTGTCTTGTTTTTTCTCTCCTCTTGCCGCCTTCAATTTTTGCAACAACCTTTCCATTATAGCTGTTTACCAGACTATATTACACCAGTGATCAACATTCATTAATTGCAAGTTAATTTTCCAAGTTCTGGCTATTTCCATTCTAGCTGCTGTTAACATATATGCTATTAATTCTCTACTTTTTAATTGGTCCATATCTGAAGTACCGGTATATAAATTAAGTAAGGCTAAAGCTAGAGTCATTGGGATTGCCTGAACTGTAATCGGAAGTAACTCTTTAGAAACTTTCTCCCAACATTGTTCTATTTGTGGACATTCCCTCCACATATGTTGGTATGTACCTATAATCTAGAATCCTCTCCAACATGCCGAGGAGCTATTGGGCTTTATATAAGATAGGCACCTTGGTGCTATCATATGAAAGAGCAAACATTCGCATTGTATTCTGCTCCTTGCCTGGGGCTCCTATGCAAGACATCCTTGCAGTTTCAAATTCCTTGGCAAAGAGAAGTCTAGGTCAGAAAGGCAGCTTCAAGACAAAGACTCATTCCCATGACCTTTGCAGGTTTCTGTGAGTCATCTTTCAAAATGGGAGGTGATACCAATTCTATGGAAGCATGACAAGCTCCTTTTATGTTGAGTGAAGTAACTGTGTGACGTTGAATCACAGTGTGAGGCTGGATCCTTGTCAGGAACAAATTATTATCATTATTATATATTACGTCTTTATTCATGCCCTGCCTTCTTCCCTGACGGGACTCAAAATGCCAGCATCACAATCAATGGTGCAAAGCAAGAAAGCAAACATACCCAGAAAGACTGAGCAAGCGCCAGAACTACGTACACCACATCATGCACAAATTGCCCACAAGGCTCACGGCTAGCTAGCCCAAGACATTTTGCTGCCCGAGATGAAGGACAAGATAGTGACACATCCCATACCCCCTGTTCCACTTACAGAAGCTGACTGAACTGGCAACCGGATCTTACTTCAACGCCAGAGCCAGAAAAAGGTCCTCCACCATGCCCGAGGGCAGCAGGCGACTTTAGGGGGCACAGTGCAGACCATATGGCACACAGGGCTCTCTTCTCCAACTGCCACTCTGTGCCCCCAGGTACCCCCCTCTCTGACCAGTATACCTGAAGGAGCATCTCCACCAACATTGTTCTTCCCGGACACTGAAGTCCAGCTCTGAGGGCCTTCTGGCGGTTCCCTCACTGCAAGAAGCGAGGTTACAGGGAACCAGGTAGAGGGCCTTCTCGGTAGTGGCGCCCGCCCTGTGGAACGCCCTCCCATCAGATGTCAAGGAAATAAATAACTATCTGACTTTTAGAACACATCCGAAGGCAGCCCTGTGTTGGGATACTGCCAGGGAGACAAAGTCCATCATGGCCCCCAAGCCGGCTGCCGGACGATCCATCGATCTCCCGTAGATACAGTATCAGCAATTAGCGACACGAGTTTCTAGAAATAGCTTGCCACATTCCAGAGCTCATGCACACTCTATCAGCAGATAATTCACAGCAGAAGTTGCACGCAGGAGAGCATTGTTTACAAGTTTTATTCAGCGTTGATCAGAACAAATAAAAACATGACTGCCTGCATCAGTGTCTCCAGACACAGAGAGAGAAACGAAAGCAATAGGAAACATAAACATCCTGTGAACAGGAAATATGCAGACTCTGTGACTCTCAAAGCCTGCTCCCTTTTAAGGTGGAACGGAAATATCCTAACACCCTGTTTAGGGAAGTTTTTAATGTTTGTAGTTTTATTGTGTTTTTAATATCGTGTTGGAAGCTGCCCAGAATGGCTGGGGATGCCCGGCCAGATGGGCAGGGCAAAAGTAATTATTTATTTATTTATTTATTAGGCCCGGCCAGCCCTGCACAAAATTAGACCAATGCCAACAAGAGATACATAGCTTCAATAACTACTACCAAATATTTTTTTCCTCATCCCCGAGAAAGTATCTCCTAATGAGTAGCAGACAGATTTTTCTTTCTCTGCCCAAATATAACCTAGGGCAATTTAGGTCAAGAGGTGCCAGTGTGCCAAAGCCGTAAGAGTATTTGGCAAGGTCCCTAGTCTACCAAGAGAATGCAGAGACATACACAAAGGGGTGCCCAACCATTATGGCTTGGATAGCAGTGAGTGATGCAAATTTTGCAAAAGTGGCTTCAAATTTCCTTCTCTGCAGTGTAGCAGAGGCTGCCATCACTGCGAGTTGATCTGGGGAACCATTGAAGACCATAGACAGATCTGCCCCTCTGAGGGGAAAACGCTCCCACTTTGATCGGGATGGGGGAACTGTGGCAGTGTTTAGTTAGACTCCAACTCCCATCAGGCCTATCAGGAATGATGGGAGTTGTAGTATAGCAAACACTTTGAGGACTATAGGTTCCCCAGCTCTGATTTAGATGGATGGGCACTATGGAAGAGCACCATTCTTGGGAACACCCTGGTAGACTATGCCCCATGTCAGCAAGTGGAAGGTAGTTGCCATTCAGATTTTATGCCTTAGATGACGTGGGCTTTCCCTGTAGCCCAGGTGGGTGAGCCGCCATCACCACTGAACTTTTTCCTGCCTGAAATAAACACAGCATGGAATAATCCTAAAGTAAATAAAGTTTAATTGCCTGCAAATAGTTACTGAGTGTCTCTCTTTTAATAGCTTAGAGGCATACCAGCACCTGTTCATACTCAGTTCAGGAGGTGGTAACTAGAAGGTACAAAATCCTTTTGAACTCAGTACAGAGGGACACATCTAACTCTACTAATAGATGCAAAGTTCTGAAACGCTTGAGAACTATTTGTATAATATTTCAGCATATGCCACTCCAAGGCATTTTTTAAAAACAAACTTTATGAACTCAGGAGGGTGTAATTTCTAGTGGAGTTTTTAATAGCAGCAGGTCAAGCAAGAATTCAGCAGGTAAAGCTTTTCTAAACACGCAAATGAAGTTCAGCTGCTCATTTCTGCCTGTCATCCAACAGTCAAAGGGCCAGGGAGTCACAGAGACCAGGAGAAAAGACGACTGGCAACCCTTCTTCTCAGGCTTGTTACGTGAGTCACCAGACCCTCAAGAAACACAATTATTTGCCCACAAAAACAGAGCAATACTGCTAGCGAATGCCTGGTCCGAAAAGTTGGAAAGCTGGGCATTTATTTACTCTGAAAACCTGGCTGTACCAGCCAGAAGTCTGACAGAACTGTATTAGCCCCAAATGAAGCTTCAGTGCCATCTCCAAGGGCCTTCATCAAAGGAAATGAAGGCCCCAGGAAGGCCGACCCATAAGCAAAACACATCTCAGGAAGTCAGCATGGCTCTAGCCAGGGAATCAAAGGCAAATGTCAACCAAGAAAGGATTAAAAAGTTAATTTGATGCCATGCATATTTGTCAAATTTGAAAACAAAAGGGAGGTGTGAGGAGGAACAGCAACCACCCCAGATGTCTGTTTTGGTCTCCATGCGGCGATTCCAAGCGTGTTCCAAACTGCTGCCATTAACTGCCATTAAATAAACACACAAGACGTAACCGGCTGTACGTTTGAAAAAATAATATACTGTATACTATTCATTGTATTGAATTGTAGATTACAACAGAAGTACAGTGGTACCTCTGGATACGAACGGGATCCATTCCAGATCCCCGTTCGCATCCTGAAGCGAACGCAACCCTCGTCTGTGCACCTGCACATGCACAGGTCACAATTCGCCGCTTCCACACATGCGCGTAACGTCATTTTGACCGTCTGCGCATGTGCGAGCGGCGAAACCCGGAAGTAACATGTTCCGTTACTTCTGGGTCGCCACAGAATGCAACCCGAAAGCGCTCAACCTGAAGCATATTTAACCCAAGGTATGACTGTAGCTCATAAAGTTCAGCAAATAAAGTAGAAGACCCAGTGGATCAGTTCATTCTCTAATCAGTTTATGCATAAGGTCGATATATGTGAAAGAGTCTATTCCACCTGTCTGTTCATAGAGTCCAACAATCCACACGAAAGGTTGTTGCAGTTCCACAGAATCCTTTCACAGAGTCTAAGACAAGGATTTCCGGGATATTAGCCTTGTTTTGCCATCCTAGGCTTCACCAGTAGTACAAACTCATATATGATGTCACAGGACAGTGGATCTTATAGCATAGTAGTAGCTGTTGTTTTGCACATATTAACTGCCATTAAGCAAAGCAAGATGGGGTGAAGCTGCTTTGTTTTTGTTCTCCCAGTTGGCCATTTGGCAACCCTACTGGGTGGCCTGGAACCACCACCAGATCTCTTACCATGGGCAGGAACCCAGGGCTTCGCCAGCTGAAATTCCTCCTCCTACCCCATTGTGGTGCTTTTTATGGGCACAGGAGCCCTGGCCTCCTTTGCATAACCAGGTGAGCCGAATGTAAAGTGCTAGCGAGTTTCCTGCAGGCTATTTCATGCCGCCGGTTGCAAAAATGAAAATAAAAATGCTGGGCTAAGCAGACCTTGGTCTGGCCCAGTAAGGCACAGCTCCTCCTGTCCTTAAACTAGGAGAGTGCACACACAAACATACCCTAGAATTGCTTAGCAGAGTAATTATGTTTTTTTAAAAGTACTAGCAGATACACAGCCCAGCACGGTAAACAGAACACACACTGACGGGCCATAGCAAAACATAACAACACCGAGGAACACACCCGCAGCAGCAAGAAGCCAGCCGGCTGGGGACTATTGCAAACCAAAAGGATAATTTCTGGGTTATTCCCAGCCTGCAAAGCCCAGATTGGGGGAGGGGGGGTCAAGAAGGTGCCCCCCCTCCCCGGGTTCCCGGCTTGGCTTGCGATCAGTTCAGGAGTGCTGCTTAATGGTTAACTCGGCCGCTTGGGAAGCCAAAGTCACAGCGAGCAGTGGCAGCAACTCTCCTCTTCCCCCTCGCTCGGCCCCGCAGCCGGCTCTCCTCGTCCGGCGCCTCTTTGCAGATGCCACGCAAAGCTGCCTCGGTTTCCTCTCGAGCAGGAGAGGTGGATGCGGGGGAGGAGGAGGGAAGAGGAAGAAAAGGGAAATCACTTTCCCCCCGCCCCAGATCCGGGGCAGAACAGAAGCGCCCCCTTGCCAGGAAGCTTCGGACTGCAGACACCTTCTTGCTCAGGAAAGAACGGGAAAGTGGAGGTTGGGGGGCTATGGGGGGGTTACCGGCGCTCCCCATTTTTAGGGAAGTCCGGGCCGGACGGTGGCAGCCGCAAAGGCCCCCGGGGGGGGGCAGGAAAGGTCCAGACCCCAAAGTGGGGAGGGGGCCTCCATTTCCTACTCTCCTCTATTCCACCCCACCTGTGCCACGAAAATCACCCTAAGAGCAGCAAGATCGGAGGAGAAACTAATTCACACACACACGCCCGTCCGGCAGGTGTCCCGGGCAGAACTTGGCTCCCTCGCCGTGGGTTGCCAGGCCGCGCGGTGGGGCTCTTCTGGGGCCGGTACCCCCAATCATTTCCCCCCCCTCCTCCTCCTCCCAGCCCCGACGCCTCTCACCTGCTCAGCCGCCGTCGGGCCCTTCCCGATCCCGGAGCTGCTTCGGCCGGAGCGCTTGTTCCCCCGCAAAGGCGACCCCGCGACGGCGCCGCCTCCCGCTCCTGGCCACGTGACCCGCCCAGGTACTTCCCTCCGTGCACCTGAGTCAGGTGAGGCGCCGCCTCCCCGCTCACCTGGCGGCGGCCGAAGCCAGGACTGCACGGCCTGGACGGCGGCAGCCAGCCAGCCAGCCAGCCAGCCAACCGGAGTTCCCCCGAGCTGCCCTGCGAGTGTCCGATCGTCGTGGGCGCCGACCTTCCTCCACTTCGCGGCGCCTTGCCTGGGACGCGGGAGCCTGGCTGGAACCATCGGCGCCCCTGGAGCTGGACGGAGTAGGAAGAGACGGAGGTGGGTCTCTGCCCCGAGGAGCTCAGGACCCAAATTCCTCCCTCGGCAAAGCTACAAAGGGGGAGGCAGATGGACTCCGGCGGCAGGAATATTGATAGGTATATTGGGGTGGGGAAGAGATGTTGTTCCAAAATCCTTTATATGTACATAAAATTATTTATTTGGCTTTTCAGATTAGAATTTTACAGTCGCATATCCAAGATTGGGTTCCAAAATCCCCATCAATTGGCTCTGCTGTTTTTAAGTATGCTTGGCAGCTTTTCTTTCTGGCATCTTGACCACACCTATGTTAAATTCGAAATTCTCCAGGAGAAGCTTACAGGTGCGGGACAGAAAACAGCATCACCTGTTGAATTCCGCTTGGCAAGAAGCTGATGAAGAAATAAAACAGGGTGGTCCAGTGTGTGGCCTTCAAGGCCGTTTTGGGCAGCCCTTGACAACTTTTGATGCCCCTGGCCCAGCCCTGGCACAGTGTAAGCGAGGCGCTGGGCTTTGGGAATGAGCTGCAAGGGCTCTGGCAGGGTGCTTCCAAAGCCTAGTTAGCGTTTTTCTCAGCTTTAGAAAAGAGGTGGGAGGGCTGAGGTGAGCATCAAATTTTGCCCTCACTCACCCCACCCCCTCATGCGACAAGACAGTGTGCAGCCCACAGGTTCTGTGTGGTAAAAGGTAAAGGACCCCTGGATAGTTAAGTCCAGTCAAAGGCGACTATGGAGTTGCGGCACTCATCTCGTTTTACAGGCCGAGGGAGCCGGCGTTTGTCTGCGGAAAGCTTTCCAGGTCATGTGGCCAGCATGACTAAACTTCTTCTGGTGCAATGGAACACTGCGACAGAAACCAGAGCGCACGGAAATGCCGTTTACCTTCCCGCCACAGCGGTACCTATTTATCTACTTGCGCTGGTGTGCTTTCAAACTGCTAGGTTTGCAGGAGCAGGGACCGAGCAACGGGAGCTCACCCCATCGTGGGGATTCGAACCACTGACCTTCCGATCGGCAAGCCCAAGAGGCTCAGTGGTTTGGACCACAGCACCACCCGCTCACTTAATATGAAAAGTTGGACCACCCTGAAGTAAAAAGTCTGGTTTGGGGTGGGGGTCTCGTTTACTTCTATATAACGTTTAATAGCAGCTTGATGCGCAGAAAGGAGCAGGTAAAGGTCTTTATGGTATGGGATTAAGCAGCAGTATCTGCTAAAATCTACAGATTGAGGTGCTGTGAGAGCCCTAAGTGTGTTGGCCAATAAAGAAGATGGTTGTTCTGATCTTGAGGCAAGGTGAGGTGATCAGCTCAGGCGGAAGATCTTATATGCCGTATTTCCAAATTGTCTTAGCCTCAATCATTTGCAAAAACATAGAGGAAATTTAGTAGCTGAAACTTCCTGGGCACTTACCATCATGTCAGATAAAACGTCCGCTGCTAAATTTGTGTGCACGCGTCAGTCAGGGTTGCCAAGAGATCAGAAAATGTCTTGGCCTGCTGCTGTGCCTTCACCGCATCGCAATGTGCTGAAGTCAGCAAGGGAAGTAGCAGTATCACCTAACTGTATGAAGCTGCAATGAAAAGCACAGCTACAGAGATGGGTTGAATAGTTGGCGTCTCTGGTGTCAGGCTGCTTTTAAAGGCACGGAAGAGGAGCAGAGCCAGTAAAAGGGGGAAAGGGCATTGAACTGAAAAGCTTTCAAACAAGGATGGGACTATGCTCAGGAGGCAAAGGGTTGCCAACTTTTCAACCTGCTCCTGTAGCTGGGCCTTTAAAAGCCAGTTGATGTGGTGAGCAGATATTAATGTAAATCTCTATGCAAAAAACGAACGTGTTTGCATTAGGGGATGTCCTGAAGTAGAGGACCTTATGCATTATATCTTGCGCTGTCCCTTATATAATGAAGCAAGAGAAAGATTTTTAGCACCTATAATGACAAGGTCCCCTGGCCAGAACCCCTCTGACGTGATTTTATATTTCCTCGCAGACACAGATAAGTATGTGATCTGGTGTGTAGCACTCTTTGCAACTGCCGCTAGGAAAATTAGAGCAAATTATATAGCTAAGGTAGCCACCAACTGTAAAGGAGATGAATTTATTTGACCCTATCTACATCAAGCTATATTCTATCTTTATCACCAAACTCCGAATATAATTGCACACTGTATCAATTAACATTATTTTTAATATATTAGTGGCCATATGATAATTTTAGCTTATAAATTTTATTGTTTAATGTCTTAATTTGTATATTAAGGTACTTTTATAGCTCTGTTTAGAGAAGGTAATTTCTTGATAATATAAATGTTTTAAGTCTTTTGTATCAATCCAGTATATTTTCTTTTAATTGTTGAATGATTCTGTGTACATTGCGGCAGCCTTTGGCTATGTTCAATAAAACCGACTGACTGACTGTAAATCTCTATGCTGTGAGAAGTTTCACCGACTTATTTCTGCATGCTAAGCAGCTATAAAAGGCATGAGAGTAGGCCACACCGCTTTGCAGTGGTGGTTACTGTACACACTTTCTTGAGAGTAAGTCTCACAGAACTAACGCGATGCTTTCTTCTGAGTAAACATGCATAGAATCCAACTATGCGCTGGGAATCACAAGAGTCTTCATAATGACGAGGGGGCCACTAGATCCCATTCCACTTCTTGTGCTGGGAATAGGATCCAAGATTCTTGGCTGCATTTACAAGTCCATTCTGCTCTTTGCCAATAACTCTGAAGTCATATTTCCAACTTTACATGTTTTAACTCCCCACTTGACACCTGTTAATATTATTTTCTAGTGAAACGTCTCCCCCTAGTGGGAGAAAAATGTACTCTACGTCACTTGGAAGGTCTGCTGCCAAAAGGGGAAGGCCTGTCACAACAAAAGCTATCTCTCATCTGTCTATCTATCTATCTATCTATCTATCTATCTATCTACCATCTGTATCTATCATGTGGCTCTGTATAGGCCAAGAGTGGTATTCAACTAAGTTTTACTCAGAGTGAACCTATTAACATTAATGAATATTACTACATTAGGTCCAATAATTTCAACAAGTCTACTCTGAATAAAACTTAATTGAGTACCGACCCATTTATTACAGATTAAGCACTATTTCATATCCCTGCAGTGGTTGCCTAGGTGAGTGTGTAAACGATGGCAGGCCAAAAAAAGTTAAGAAATGTGCGAGACGATGGTAGGTGTGCCATGAGTGTAGCCAGGATTTATTTTAGGGGGGCAGGCTTTATGTTTTTTGGGGGGAGGAACCAAGTTATTTATTTGCTTGCCTCCCCTGGCTAAGCCCATGAGGTGTGCCACAGTGCTATGAGGAGCACCAATGTTCTGAATGACCCAATCACACTCCAATCAGGGTGAGTGTGATGCTTTGGGTGACAAAGTTTCCTAACAAAGAAAAAGAATTTTCTTTCAGGAGGTAGCCATTTGCAGGAACTGTTGAGACCAAATTCCCCAGTGTCAAATAGTGACTGTAAGCTTACCGGAGTCTTCCTTTGGTTCCAATTGTTGTTTTTAAAGGGGTCTGAGTTTGATGACTCAGAACTGGGCTGGGGAACCTGGGGTCTGAGACTGAAATGCTCCCGCGTCTGGTTTCAACCTGTTGCAATATTTCACATCTGATGGATGTCCAGTTTTTCTCTGGAGTGGAGGCTGACCTGTTTGGACTATAGAACTGACAGAAAGGCACTGTTTGCAGATGATATCCTGTAACAAACAAGGTGTGCAGGTGAACGAACTTCTGGTGAATGAACTGGCGGCGTTGCCTGAGTAAATAAGGGGGAACAGAGTTTCTGTACTGGGACTAAATAACAGCTTGTCCCCTCTCGTTTCACTATTTGACTTGAACATGCAGCTGAGTAAGAATTCCAATAAGCTTATTATGCCCATACAAAGCAGGGCCTGACCCAATTTTAGATTGGGACTGTCCCGGCACAGAAGATGTTTCCCTTTGCCCCAAATTGGGAACAGTTCAGCTACCTGCAGTTTCCATTGTATTTTTAATGTTATGCACACACACTAATCAGGGAAGGCTATTGTGCTACCCAGGGACATACCAAAAGTTTTCTGTGCTAGAAAGTCATTCTGCTCCCTCTTCTGTTTATTAGCAGAGGTTACAATCCGCCGGGAAGTTCTCGCTGAAACCAACAGGAGCTGTACGGAAACATGGTAGCAGCAAAGCTGTTAAGAGCGAGGCAGCCTGGGGCTACTAGAATCTGGGTACCCAGATGCAACCACAATGTCTCTTTTGGGCAGCAGGGATGTTAATCAGAGGGGTAGATATCAGGCTGTAATTATCAAAGGGTGGCTACAATCTGCCGCTGGAGTTTGCACTAAAGGCCAAAGAAATTGCCGGGTTTGGGCTACCAAATATGGCACACAAATAGGAGAGCTGTATGAAACCTTTGCAGATGTCTTTTGGGTTGTTAGGGACGGGGGTGGCGCTGTGGGTTAAACCACAGAGCCTAGGACTTGCTTATCAGAAGGTTGGCGGTTCGAATCCCCATAACGGGGTGAGCTCCCGTTGCTCGGTCCCAGCTCCTGCCCACCTAGCAGTTCAAAAGCACGTCAAAGTGCAAGTAGATAAATAGGTACCGCTCCAGCGGGAAGGTAAATGGCGTTTCCGTGTGCTGCTCTGGTTTGCCAGAAGCGGCTTAGTCATGCTGGCCACATGACCCGGAAGCTGTACACCGGCTCCCTCGGCCAATAAAGCAATATGAGCGTCGCAACCTGAGAGTCGGTCACGACTGGACCCAGTGGTAAGGGTCCCTTTACCTTTGGGTTGTTAATATTGTTAGAAAAGCCCGGTGCCCGTCCCTCTCTCACCGAGCAGTGGCCAGAGCGCATGGGGTCATAGGCACACACACAGGGTCTGTGTCCCTTTGCAGAATAAAAGACACGGCAGAGACTGTCGTGCTTTACGAAATAGGGTTTATTCGCCTATTTACACCTTCAGTCTGCATGGAGGGAG